ACTTGCTCCTTCCTTTTTTGTATAATGAAGATGGTTGTTATTTTGCGCAATTTTCCAGTGCGCATGTGAGACATTCAGTGTAATTAATCATTGAAGAAGTCTTTCCACTCGTAAACAACTTCACTCTCGTTGTTACCCCACGACTCGTCACTGTCAGAGGCACAATACGCCTGGTCTGCCTCTAACTCTCGAAGATCTGCAAGGACTTCTTTCTCCTCTTCTCGCAGCATACGTTCAATCTGACAAAGGTTGAAATAACAACAGGCGTCGCATTAAACTTCAGATTATTGTATAATTAAGGTAAACGAAAGCAAGTGGGTTGCTAAGGTGATAGAAAGTGGCAATTCTTGTCTACGCGCGTCTTATAAAGACTCATAAAAAAGCGATACTCACGTTCTCTCTGACTTTCCTCGCACGCTCCTCTCTCAGGTTCTTCTGCGTGTATCGCTGATAGTTTTGCTCCGCCTTTCTGCCCTTAGACTTATCCATTTTCCGTCTAATAGCAGATTGCAGGTCTTCTCTGGCGGCTACTTGAGCAGTAGCGATCTTGTTTTTCTTTCGTGAGACTTTAATCCCGGATTGCTTCTTTATCGCTATCATCTCATTTCTGTTTCTATCAGCGGCAGCTTGCTTTGCAGCAATTTTCTGAGCAGTAGCTTTGGAGGCCGCCTCTGCTGGGTGCGGTCTGATACCTCCTGCCCTACCACTGGCCCGGGCACGGATGTTCTCTAGCTCCCTTAGTTTTCGCTCTTCTGCTGCCAGATGTTTGGCGTTAATCTGCTTCTTCGATATCTTTGGCTGTCGTTCCAACTTGTTCAGCCTCCGTGGCACCCGAGCAGTTGGGCGGACAGTTGGCCTGTACCCGACAACTACTTCAAATGCAATGGCGTTGGAGGTTTCACCCATGAGCAAAGATCGTGTAGAACTTGCAGGCTGATAGGCGATCGTATTTGAACTTGAAGGCGTGCTATCTATTTGAGCTTCCAAGATTTCTCTTCCGCTCTGCATCACCCGCGTCGCTGGGTCATTTGGGACGGTCGATCTTTGGGCTGACAAAATAGCTATTGCACTGTCTAGCGCTCTTCTCTCCGGATCTTCATGTTTGTCAGACAAATCTTCTGAATTGCTACCTGTTTCTCTAACCGTGGAGCTTCCCATCTCAGGTTCCTCTTGAAAGTTTTCTTTCCATGCAACATCTGGGTTGTTCACTGGACTGGGCGTCGTCTTATCCGCCGATTTCGTTTTACTCCCGACTGGTTTGAGCTCTTCAAGATCTGCTTCGCTCTTTGGGGCTACTTTGTTACCGGATTTAGAAAACTTAGATAAAAGAGATCCGCACATGTTATACGGCAAATAGCTCTGAAATCGCTAAAATTCCGTACTTTCGAAAAGTTCACAGCGCGAAGCTTCCAACAAGGTTACTTGTTTGAACGAACTGTTTTGAGTTGTCGTGGTGACGGTGTTAACGCGATAAAGGGATCTGTTATGACGAGGATTATGCACGCGCAGTGGAATTTTCGCGGCTATTCCTGGTGCTTTTGACTCCGTGCATTTACTGAAGGTTAATTATTTTGGCACCTCAAGTAAAAGAAAAATTGATCGTCTGTGTTACGTGATAATTTGCTTCGCTAAAACATGAAAGAGTAGCTTCTTTTAAAAACGCCAACGTTTGTCTTAGGTAGTGTGCTTGCGCGAGGAAACATTGATTAACTGATCGAAGGGCGCGCTATCTAACAGGGCCCCTTATTTTCACGCATACCTTCAAATTTCTTTCTCTGTTTTCGCGCCCACCATTTATTTACTCTGACATAAACAGCGATAATTAGTTAAAATATTTCTTACACATATTTCGTAGACCTGGTGCTGTTTTAAGCCTTCCTGTGACATCATTTTGCAACAGTGTGTCTTAGCCCTATGCCCCCTTAGAGAGTTAAGCGGATGTGTTGTTTCAAATTCATATCAACTATGTAATATCTTACTTACAGTATGTCGCTAACGATTCTTTTTTAGCTCTGTTGCTAGAAGAATCGACCAAGAAATCGAAACTGAACTCAGTGTTATCTTGTTCCAGCTTTACGAAAAAATATTCAATTTCCTCTTTACTAAGCTATCATGGTTTTATGTGTCATTTGTTGTCAATAGGTAAAAGGGAGACGAAGAAGCCGGCGTCATACGTCATCCAACAACTCAAGCAGCGTTTCCCACAATTCAACAGGAAATGTAACATCTGAGATGTCTTTGGCCACGAAACGTACATCATCAAGGCTGAGATCACGTGTTGGTTCTAAGGTACGTTGCCTGGCCTCGATTTTGTACCTTATCATACTTCCCTCCATTCCTCAGTCATTTGTGCTATTGTTACATTTATTCTCTCGTTGCCCCTCTCCAGTCAGGAGTATAAATGGGTACCGGCGAGTTTTAAGGGAAGTCTAATGAAGTGGTGGAGGGTAACCTTGCGATGGATTGACATCCCATCCACGGGGGAGTGGTAATACTCCTATTCGCTTCATGCTGTAGGAACCGGGGGGCTCCAGCTGAATGGGCTCTTGGCTAGAGTATAGACTTTACCGTATTCCAATCTTTATCTGTCAGATAACCGCTATACCTGCGATACCTTGATACGCAAAGAGAGATTTGAACTTTCTTATCCCCTTACAACCGGTCGGAGTTCCTTCAATTCCCAATTAAGATCAACAACGATCGAAAAATAAATAAATGAAAATATCTGTAATGATAAGCTAACCAGGAAGATTAGGGAGTCATAAATTGGCAAGTAAAGCAGGCCAGTTACTTGGATTTGATTTGTGTTAACTTTAGACTTTAGTAGATGGAATTCTATCCGTTTTCTTAATTTCTCTTGGAAATACTTGTTTTTCATCCGTTTTGAGCGAGAAAGCAATCACACACACCCCCCCCCCTTCCCCCTTGTTTTGAGAAATGTTTGTATTCCCTTGTCAAAGTTGTTCCTTAAAAGCGGAGATAATGTATCAATTTTTACTCTCTCTAGTCTAATGAAGGTGATAACAGCAATTCATCCTCACGGGTCAAGTCCCGTTTGCCAGCAACCGATGACAGTGAACACTCGCAAAGTGATACTATCACTTATGACGATCCCGCGGGACGGATGGAGCGTGAGAAGATAATGGCACAGCTCAAGAGGGGCTGCAGCCCCAGCCCTGACACCCACACGGAGGACGAGGAGGAACACAGACCGTGCAGCAATACAAACACGGTAAGACTGATGCATATTGTGCCGCATAACGGTCAATCAGAAGGAAAATGAATACCACATTGAGCAAATAAGAAACTTAAAGTAATGAGTAGACGCGAGTGAACAAGGCCACGACTCGTTGGAGTTTTGCGTCCGATTGCATTCAGTTACAGAGCCTATCAGAGCAATCTTCATATGAGTGTCGTTATTAATCTGAGATTGCGTTAGTTTTACGTAACTTTGCACTGTGATTAATTCAGAAAACTCACGCCATCCCTTCAACCAATCGTTTCGAAATTAAAACCAGTCGTGACTTGGTGACCCTCGTTTCCCTGCGCTTCTATTAGTTCTGAGTTCTCATTGATTCCATTTGACCTTTACCTTTGTTTTGATTGGCCGATGTGATCAATTTGGTTTTTTCGGTTTTAAGGGACTCAATCAAAATATGTACTTATGCAAAACGACATCAATCTCACATTATTGTTGACAGTTGTGAAACTTGCTCTAACGAAATGCAAAGGCAGCTGTCAGGTGTATTCTTTCTGCCCTTTTTTGTCTTCTGGTGCTTTGCATTCTAACTTGACACACACGACATTGCCAAAACCAAGTGTTCATTCCTGCAAAGCCTTTTTATAATCTTCCCTAAAGTACGCACAAACTCTTGTCTTAAAGGAGTCCACAGTCATGGGGGTCACGCACACCGACGCGAACAACGCAGCTGAACGTCACGTAAGAGAAATGAACGTAACAATTAAGTCTGATCCTCCCACACCTGTCACCAGTTCCACACCAGCAGCTCTGCCAATCGGCCTACAAATCAAAGACACCCACAAACCCCAGCCTGTGAATCTTCTGGACACCACGGCACTTGATCAAACACAACCACGTGCTCTGTCTACGCCCAAGTTCCAGCTGTCGGTTATGACGCCTCAGGAGAAGATAGATTACTCAGCACTTATTGAGCAGCTCGGAGGACAAGTGTTTGACACGGTTTATTTTAATCCTGAGTGCACGCATGTGGTGGTTGGTAAACCAAACAGGTGAGTTACAAAACTGACTCCTTACTGTAATACTTTTCACGGTGACCGTAATCAAAAGAAAAAGATGGAGAGAGAGGGACGGGGGGAGAAGGGGGGGAGATAGGAGGAGGTAATGAATCTGGCCGCATGATGCTTATTCGCAGTTAGCAATTTGTTTCTTTAAATACTTCTTTCTCCCTTTCATGCGGAATAGTAAACTTCCTGGGTGTTGTAGTTTGACTCCGTTGCCGTTCTCGTCTTGAAACAATGGTGCAAAACGGAAGATGTTCCATCTTATAGCTTTAGAAAGGGTTGTTACGGAAACCTCGTGTATTAGCAGTTATGCTGTCAAACCGAACTTTGTTGCCATTTTGGTTTTCAGTTTTGTAACTTAAGTCACTAGTTGCTCTTCCTGTTTTGCTTCTCAGAGGTTAGTGGTATTTGGCTAGTAACCCTCAAGCTAGACAATCAGCGAGAGCGAAAAGCACTTTTCACCTATGCGGTGTGAACTTGTGTAGGATGATTTTCCTTTCAAAATCTCTAGGAATGAAAAGTACCTTGCTGCAGTGGCCGCTGGGAAGTGGGTTCTGCACAAGTCGTTCTTGGAAGCCAGTCGGGAAGCTGGCTTCTTTATTGAAGAGTCTCCCCACGAATGGGGACAGGAAATCCCTGGAGAACCTCACAATAAACTTGCTGCTGCTGCTCGACGGTGGAGAGTCAAACTTCGCCAGGAAAGAGCGGTAAGGCTACAGATAAAACGAGGAATTCAGGGGCGAAAAACGTCTCTCTTTATTTAATTACAGAGGGTAAATTTTGCAATTGTTATTATTTTATTTCTCACACGAAGCTTTTGAAATTGCTGATCCTTTCAGTTTGTGGAACGCGTGTCATATATGAACATAGTTATGGCCAAGCTCAGCGTAGAGTCTCAAGGGCTCAGCATTCACCACAATGTTCTCCCTGTTCCCAGCAAACTCAGTGCTCAGTGTCCTGCACTTTCCCGCATTAAGTTTAAAGCTTACTTTGGCTGCTTCCTCTGTCAATCTCCCAATCTTCTCACGCAAGTCATTAAACTTGGATGAAAGTAGTGCGATATCGTCCGCACATAGCATCGGACGACATCTTTGAACTTTCAGCTTTTCAAAAATTCGCTGTAGCCATTATCAAACTTTTTCAATTGCTACATTTAGTTGAAGATAAACAACGTAGTCCTAAGAAGACCTTTTGTTCCTGGCCGTGACTAAGGTTTCCACAATCTGAGTAGATGTCAGTATTGAAGGTGACGTCTGTTCCTCCCATTTGTTAAAACGTTGGTCATTACCATAGATAAAAGCCGGCCTCAGTCCCAAGACTGCTCGCACTCAGACGATCACTTTCCACGATCAACTGATACTCCTCAGCGAAAAACTTTTTATTGTATTGTGAACATTTCACTCTAACTCTTAGGCCGCTGCTGAAGCTGGTAAAAGTCCATCGTCCTGCGGTGCATTCAATAGTTGGGTGGTTCTTCTGTGCGTGGACAAGTCACGGCAGCCAGGATTTAAACGTCTGTTAGAATCCGGAGGGGCTAAGGTCTCGGGATGCAGGCCACCGTTCAAGAATACTAGCGACTTCACGCACGCATTTGTAGGTAAGTATTGTGAACTGGCTGTTTACGCCAACTGAACTAAAAATCGCTCTGACGAAGGGCTAACGCTCGAAACGTCACCTTTTGTTCTGAGCCATTTGCTCGCAAAAGTGAACGATTTGCCTTAAACACCTTCATATTTAAAGATAAAACACTTTTATTCCGTTGGAAAGACTAGACAATTCTGGTTCGAATTCCCCGCCCAAGCCAGACACGCCGGGGTGGAGGGAGTAATATTGAAGTTTCGAATTGATCGGCGCCTAACGTGTTTGCAAGAAAATAAAAAAAAAAACTTGTCGCCGTGTTTTATCTATTGAATACTCTCTATTGTTATTTTATTTTAGATTTAGCAAAAACGAAAGTGGATTCTTCTGACCTGAACGCTCTTCAAAGGGATAATGTTTGGTGTTTGAAGCCAGATTACATCGCCGAGTATCTAATGCAGGATCCACCACCTCCCCCTCAGAAGTACTTACTCTCAGAACCAGTTATACCTGGTGAACAGGACAGATCGGTTCCTGGGCAGTCAAGAAAGAGAAAGGGGGATGATCTTACTGGAGGCGATAAAAGAGTTCGTGTTTAATTTTAAACGATGAAAGATTGCAAGGCGCTCGCTTGATCTTTTGTTAAAAGCATTAGTACTACGATGGCTTGGAGTATAAATCAGTAGAGAGTTCTCGCGTCTCCAGGAAGAAGTCAAGACTCGTCCCGAAACAGAGTTGCTAAATTTGGAAGAAGGGGACTTTTACCAACAGAATTTGTGAACCAAAAAGATTCTAACCCCTCAAACCCTAAGAGTCCCCTCAAACCCTAAGAGTGACTCTTTACAGTAATAATGCTGTTCCATTCATTAAGATCTTGAGGATAAAGGAAATGATCGCCAACCTAAGAAACTTTGATTCAGTGTTAAACAAATTCTCTTTGTCAGTACCAAAGGAAATGTACAGAGAAGAGTATGGAGAATATGGATACTGATGTTAGGGTGTAAAGAGTTTAAAGGGGGTCTATTTTAGCAGGTTTTCCTAAGGTCGTGACCTGTGTCGTTAGCAGTTCTCTTTGCTGATGTATTTAACGATCGATTTTTCCACGTTAAGTCCACTTGCTGAGGTAATTTTTCTCAGTCCAATGGTGTCATAGACATTTCAGAGTGTTCAGAACACGATGGGAATGTAGGCTCTGTTATCGATTCTTTGCACAGCCTAATTCCCTCTCCTGCATCGTTACTACCCACGTGATTTGTAGGACGTGAAAATTGACTGATTCAAACTACTGGTGTCTTTTCGTTTTCTTTTTAGAGTAAGTGAGGTAAATATTTATGACTTGAGTTAGACTCCTGTGAAATAACCTCTAGAGAAGTCACCTTTTGGGAAGTCACTTCATCGCAATCCTTTGCCATTCTTACCGTCTGTGGTATTGTCAAACAATGCTAATCAAATTAATTGTAACTTAGAGCATCCCCTATCAGAAGATTTATTTACCTTGAAACGATTTACGTGCTGGCGCAAATTTAGGAAATGGAATGTGACTGGCTAACTGTCCAGAAGAATGTTGCGTTTGAGTTAGCATATGTTGATCTGGAGAAAGGCAACGACGTCCTTGAAAGGACAGCGCGAAGGGTGTGTTGAGTGACATACCATTTTGAATTAAATATATTACGCATTTTATTGAGTTTTAAATGTCAATAAAGTAAGTATTTGATTGTTTTGAAAAAAAACTTTGTCGTTAGTTTTTATTCTTAAATTCGCCTTGGAGTTTGGCCAGCGTTCCATAGCCCCTGACTTTCTAATTTGCGACACTCACCCAGATTGATAGTTGGCACTTGTGAAAATTTGGGGTGATTACGAAGCAACAAAGGTGTCTTTTTCCTGCCTATTCCTTGAATAAGAAGAAAGGAATAGACGCCGTGCAACAGGTGGTGGCTATTGACAACGCGCCTTCGCGTCTAATCTTTAGTTGTCACTGTTATTGCGTCGTTGAGCGACATCCGGAATACTACGGTAGAGGCAAGACTTGCCGATTCATTGTAATGTCTCTGGATAAATACAAATTCCACAGCAGGGCCATCTCTTGATGTAAGGGAAATTTATTTTGGATACAAACGAAAGAAATTACTTATTACTTATTACTTACTTTGTGTTGTATATAATTAGTGTAAAACAGTCTGACCCAACACTCCCCTGATTTTGTCCCACTCTCCATACCACGTTCTTTCTGTCGTATCCAAGATGGCGGCTGGCATGGCCGGTGTACGTCGCTTGCCTCTTGTTGTTATTTTGGGTTCTACTGGGACAGGAAAATCCAAACTAGCCATCGAAATAGGTAAAAGACTTGGCGGAGAAATCATCAGCGCTGATTCTATGCAAGTTTACAAGGGTCTGGACATCATAACGAATAAGGTAACTGCGGAGGAACAATCGCAGTGCCCTCACCACATGATCGATTTTGTGTCACCGCTGAAGGAATTCTCTGTGGTAGATTTCCGAAATATGGCTTTACCTTTGATCGAAGACATTAAAAGTAGGGGTAAAATTCCGATAGTTGTTGGTGGCACAAACTATTACATAGAATCCGTGTTGTGGGATATACTGATAGATGAAGATAGAAACGACAATTCCTCAAGCGGTGAAGAACTTGTTGAACCGGAGGGCCAGGGTCCTTCAAAGAAAATAAGAAAAAGAAAGCTTCTTGAAAGCACAGGCGTTTTAGGTTCTGCTACAAAATATAATGAAGCAGTAGTATCTCCAGGAGAGGCATCCAAAGGATCAAGGCGTTCCGAGGAAAGACCTGAACTTCAGTTTTGTAATGATGCCGGAGTAAGAGGAGAAGATGAGCACAGTTGTAAGACAAGCCTTTATGATAAGCTTAGGGAGGTTGATCCGGCCATGGCAGACAGGATACACCCAAGTGATTCTCGGAAAGTTGCACGTAGTCTACAGATCTTTGAACAACATGGAAAACCACACAGCACAATCATACAAGAACAGCAACAAAGACCTGGAGGAAATGCATATGGTGGACCTCAGAGATATAAGGATATCTGTGTGTTTTGGCTGCAATGCCAAAGAGACATCCTGAATGAGAGGTTAGATAAAAGAGTCAGTGAAATGCTGAATAGAGGCTTGATTAAAGAACTGTTGAATTTTCATAGAGAATATAACTATGTGTTAGCAGGAAAAAATTCTGAAGCCAAATACACTGAGGGTATATTTCAGTCCATTGGATTTAAGGAATTTCATAATTTTCTCATCAAACAGCAAGGCAAAGATTTTGATGAAAGCAATGCATCAGTCGAGGACAAATCACTTCTTAAAACAGGTCTTGAGAACATGAAGACAGTCACACGAAGATATGCCAAAAAGCAAATGATGTGGGTACGAAATCGCTTCTTGGGGAGACCAGTTAGTTCTGCACCCGATGTATATGGTCTAGATGCGACAAATCTTGCAGATTGGAACAATAGTGTCCTTCAAAATGCACTAGAAATCCTAGATAGATTAATGAAAGATGAAAGACCAGTAATTGAACCACTCCCAAGGGTGATCATTCAAGAAGATCGACATGCAAGACATGTGTGTGAGATTTGTGAAAATCGTGTCATTTTGGGTGAAGAGAACTGGAAGAAACACTTGCAATCTAAATCACATAAATGGCATATGAAAAGGAAAGATAGGGATAAACAGCTCAATGCTATCAAAGATCTATAATTAACTGAACAATGAATAAAAATTGAAAAACTATTTTTAAAATTGAGGACATAACATCCCTAAGTAATACCAAGCTTGTTGAATATCAGACAAGGGTGTTGATTAATTTGTTCTGTGCTGTGCTCATTTCTCTTACCCTTTTGTGTGATTGACAAACATGAAGGAAATCTGTCATCTTGGTCTGATAGAAAAATGATCCCCTATTCATTAGCCATTAAAAGAGAAGTCTGGCTGTATCACTGTGTAATTCCTCTTCCCTTTCTCAGAAATGGCGTAGGGATGTTTGTAACTAACTAGCAATTGCTCAACATAGACTGATGGATTTCAGTGCAAAATTCTTATTAACATTTAACGTACATGTACAGCATGTGGTCAGCTGGGTTTTTTTTTTATTGACACAGGAACACAAGTTCACTGTACTTGCATGGTGGTATGCTGTTGTTTCACTTTTCTAGAACAATTTGGCAAGCATTAATGCTTGAGGTTATGGATGATTTTAATCTCTTCATCCTATAACTCCCAGAAATGATCAGCATGTAACATCTCCCTACAACATCCATACAATATTCAGCAAACAGGTGATAAGAAACCTTAAACTTATCAGGTAGCAGTTGTCACCTTGATCAAACACCAAATTCTGGTAACTAACTTACAAAGAAGTGTGTTGCAGCCAGAGGGGAGAATTAACAATACAATCTTGGGAGTTATAAGGTTAAAGGAATCCTTCCTAAGTTTTTGATTTACTGTACACTCAACAACTGGCATTGTGTTTTGGTTTATATTTTAACTTACCATTAAAAAGTTATGGGAATTATGGCATCTGACACAATATAGAAGCATAAAAAATTATTTCAAGAATAGTTCTGTTGTATTGTGGGAACATTGGACCTCAAATAATGTAAAAACTGCAAGAATTTGTGCACCCTCATTAGTTTTCTTCAGCAAAGGATTGCACACATGGGGTGGTAAATGGATTCTGGAAATCTTGTCAAACAATTTTTTTCCAATTCCAGGTTCCATTGGCTACCGGTAGTTTCATTGTTTCCCTTACTTGAGCCTTCACTTGTTTTGGTCAGTGACCTTACAAAACAAATACCGGAAAATTCAAAATGGCGGCAGCAGCCCAAGGGAAGTTTGTGTGGTTAGAAACGCTTCGTAGTGCAAGGAAAACTAGCCTTGTTCAAGATGGTAAGTCGCGAGTTTTACTCAGAGCTAAGCATTTTAATGAATTATTTGTTTTGGAAGACTGGTTCAAGGCTAAAAACAGACAACGAAGAAATTTCGGAACCAATCAGGTTCGACATACGTAAACAACCGTCTCTATGGCACTTGTAATAGTCAAAGGTATTATTATTTGCAAGAACTTGTGCTGTTTCGTGTCCTTGAAAATTGTTTGTAAACTTCTTGAGATATGGACAGTATTAAAGTATTCAAACATTCCTTATTTTCGACGAAAGCTGAACTTCTTCCGTAAATAACAAATCATGAACATACGACTGACTGTCCAAATGTGTAGTCTAAGGGTTTTAGATAGGAATCAATTTTAAAAGGTTATATGGTTCAGTTGTAAATAATATACCCTTCAATGTTTGGACGTGACATTATTGCTGTAGGTCATGGCAAGAGAACTTGTTTTATGAATTAATCCCAAAGTTATTAATTGTCTACAGTATTCATTTTCATCTTTCTCTAGGTCGACAAAAAGTTCATTATACTTTTCCCGATGGAACAGAGATGGTAGAGGAATATGAGGTATCTTCTGGAGAACTCTTGGGTGAGTTCAGTTAAAAAACACAATCTTGATACAAAATTTACAAGACAGTAGTACTTCTTTGAGAACACTTTCACTAAATCAATGTTTCAGGAGAAATAAAGGATACTTGCTGAATTTTCTCATTAAAGATTGACATTAACCCATTTTCTCCTAGTGAGGAAATGGAAAAAGAAATCTACACTTGGTAGAGAAGGGAAATGGGATTATGAGATAGGTGAAGACCTCAGGCCTGTCAATTTGGATATGGAAAATATCAGTGAAAGTAGAGGAAATGTAAGTATGGTGTCAGCCTCTAGGTATTAACAATTTTATTCACTGGTTCAATTCATTTACTGAAAACAGTTCTCACAAGCAGCGATCTGTTAACCCTTTCACTCCCAAGATCTAATTAGTAATTCTCCTTACTATCTGCCATACAATTCTTATGATGTTAGTTCAGAGAATTTGGTATTGGATCAACTAATGATCCCATGATTGATATTCTTCTCTATTCTCATCACCTACCTGCTTGATACTGTATTGATATTGTAAGGAGAAATTCTGTCTTGGTCAATTGTGGGAGTGAAAGGGTTAATAGTCCTTCATTTAAATGGACACATTTTAGGATGATAGACAATTTTTGTGGCTCCTGTGTTGTCTGTGTTGTCTGGTTGAACTGTTTGTGTCAAAAAACAAACAAACAAACAATTCAAGGATAAACCTGTTATTTGCTTTATTTTATTTCTCAAGCAGTACACTACTAACACTTTCTAGTACTCAAAAAGTGTAACTGCTGTAGTTGGACTTGATTTCAAACAACTTTGATTTGTATTCCTTCTTGTTTAAATATGGTAATGTACCTAAAAAAGCATCAAGTTTTTAAAAAATAGTTTTAAAATTTTTTCTATCATTTTATTGGTGTATTAAAAATAATTTTTTGAAGGAGTGCAGCATGCTGTTTCATCAATTTTTTCTCCTTAGCCCATGTTTACAAGAAAAGACAACAGTAAAGCCTTTCAGTGGAGAATAAGGAATCTTCCGTATCCATTGGAAGTATACAGTGTGACAGTTGATGATGACAAACACTCCATGATAATAAGGACAAGCAACAAAAAGTACAGTTTGTATGACATTTCAATTTTCATTTGTAACAGAAACACTCATCAACACAAGCTGAGCTTGCAAGCCAGGGCTTAGAAGGTTATGGAAACTGGGTTAAGTTTTGGCTGAATTAATTTTGGTGCTTAGGTTAGTTTTTTTACCTTTTCAGATACTATAAAAGGTTTCAAATTCCTGACATGGAGAGAGCAAAAGTGGACTTGGAACAGAGTGCAATATCTATAGCCCATGCCAATAACACACTCATAATCACAGTGAGTTGAACATTTCCTTTCATTCATCAGTTCATCTTAAGTAAACCACAAATTTTTCAAAGTTTTAGCTCTTGTTGAGATGTTTTTGGGAAATAATGGTTATCAGTGACATGTTTTCAAGGTGATTCCTATCTTGAGGGGATGCCTATCGGACTCTCCTCACTGTTAACCCAGTACAGGGTGTCTGTGTCAGTCATCAGTAGAGAGTTTCTCACTAACAGTGGCCAACGTACTCTCTACAGAGGCCAATTTACATTATCAACTCAGTTGATAAAATTAAATTATCTTCTAATTCACTCAGCGACAGAGCACCACAGTTTTTTAACCCTTTAACTCCCATGAGTGACCAAGACAGAATTTCTCCTTACAATATCAAGCAGACAAGTGATAAGAAAAAGAAAAGTATCAATAAGGGGATTACGAAAAATCAAGAAACTTCCCCATTTCTGCTAAGTTAATGTTCTGTCAATGGCAATACCAGTAGTTTTAGTTGAACCTCAAATTGAACAGAGTTGATAATAAGCAACCTAACTTATGTTGTCATTTCGAGTAACGCTTCATCTATGGAATAAACGTTTTGAAATAAGACAGTGAATCTGAAAGCCAAAATGTTATTGAGCCATCTCTGTAAAGCGGTTTGAGTGCTTTATTAAAGAGTGTGATGTCTGTGGAATATGAACCTCAGTGTAATTTTTGTGTTCACAGTACAAAAAGCCCCCTTTGATTCTTGAACAAGAAAAGCTTATCCGACAGGAACTAGTCAAAATGAAATCAAGTCGCGACGGAGATGTGGAGTGCACACCAAGCTGACAAAAAGGTCCATATCTGGTTATTGTGTTGTAACTTGCTCTCTTCAGTGTAAGAAGAAGGCTAAAGGACCAGCTGGGTGACATCATCAGAGTCGAATCAAGAGTTACAAAACAATGAATTGCGAAAGTTGATGTAAATTCTTTTAACATAATCTGCTCTGTTTGATAGTTACCCTGTAAAGTTGGCGAATGGAAATTTATTGCGTAACAAAAATTTGAGTGCCTGTTCTGCTTTAGACGGATGTCTTAAAGACCCTGCCTGGATTATAGTAGATTCAGAAATACCGTTTATTTACTGAGTGTAAGGTTTAAGACTGTCCTGATGGCTTGACTGGATTGAATTACGAAAGATTGCCCGTGCTTTTCTGGAGCTTTGATCAACTTTAAAGGACTTGGCTTTCCTGTAAATAGATAATTTGGTTAAATCAACTGATTTGATAAAGTAATTTGGCTACCGTCGATAAAGAGTTTTTGAAGCTGACGTTGCAAGCGTTAGCCCTTCATCAGGCTGAGATCCAGGGGCTAACGCTCGAAACGTCAGTCAGCTTCAGAAACTCTTTACGGTGGCCAATTTACATTATCAGCTCAGATCATAAAACCAAATTATCTGGTTATACCCTCCCCCCTTACCACACTTTCTATAGAAAGTTACCCCCCCCTTTCCTGTAACTGTTGCGCAATTAAGCAGTGACCTGCTGCAGAGATATGTTGATTATAAAACATTAAAATGAAAGTGATAAGGTGCCTCATACTGATTGAACCAGTGTTACCCGCATTTAAGACAATAGCAGTGAACTTTCTTTAGTGATATTTCCCATGAAATTTCTTTATTTACCCACGCTACTTGATTTTCAGTGTTTAACATCGGTTTAGCGGTGAGGAGTTGTACAATGATTCCTGGCTCTGTTGTCCCTTGCCTCGGTTTCATGTAAAGCGGCAAAAAATTTAGGAGTTAAGGATAAAAACTGGCAAATTTTAACCATCGGTCGTAAAGAGATTTAACCGTTAAAATGTTGCCTATCTGATGTGTCATTTTGGAATTTTTCTCTTGTGGGCAATGCGAGAAACAGGAAACACTCTATATCCACCCAACAGCAGTTTGATCTGGAATAACCCTTGTTTCTTAGCTCTAATGGTTAAAGGGAGAGCGCAAATGTGTTTTAGAACAATTAAAATGAGTTTTATCGAGCGATTATACCAACCTAAATGTTAAAGTGATATATTGATCATTGTTCAAATCAAATCGTGGCCTAATGAATGGAAACATTATTACCAACAATTCGGTATCTTTATGCTTGCGTCTTACGGCTCTCTTCACATCACAGAACAGTTTACCCATGTGAGAGCCGCAAAACTGCTCCAAAAATTAAATGTTAGGCGTAAAAACTGACAAATTATAACAGTTTTAGTCGAAGAAAAAGTTTAACGTAAAATTTTTTCCTATCTACGTTTGAGTCATTTTGAAAATGTTAAAATCTTAGACTATTATGTATCTTGTCTTGCAGCCAATGCGGAAAAACAAAATTACTCTATGTCCACCTAACAGCACCTCAATCTGGAAAAACCCGGCTTGATTCTTGACTCTAATGTCAAAAGCGAGCGCGTAGATGTGTTTTAGAAAACTGAAAATTAAACATTAACTTTTCAAAATGATTGTAATTAATTTTCAACATTTCTGTAAACCGTCACAGAAGGAAATTAACTGTTAGGCGTAAAATGGTCAGAATTTTAACCGTTGGCTGAAAAAGCCATCACCCATTGAGACCCTTTAGTGAAAATTCAAACAATGCCACTAATCCAAGTCATATTTCTCATGGGATTTTTCGAACTAAAAGACCGCATCCAAAACTGTCATCTGTGTATCAGTTTCAAACCGAGATCAACGGCTTTCCTTATCTTATTCCCACGACTGCTTGTACTAACAGCTGAATTTATTTAACGTTCAGTTATTAACTCCTGCTCTAACAGGTGTCGCATTATTCTTAAACAAAACCATTCAAAATTCTCATGATAAAACGCCTCTAAAATTTCTCAAGGACCTTACGATTTACTTAATCTCACGAATGGTGTCTCCCGCGTGTGTGGGTTGAATAGTTATGACAGAGTTGTAAGCGCCACTGTTTTAGTTTCATTGACTTTGAGGTTGATCGATGCAAATTTTCTTTATCTTGTTACTTATATTAATATGTTGAACTTAATTTTAGAGTCAATGATTATCTATTTCCATAATGGTTTAGACATAAAGGTTGGGACATTACCTCTATTTTTAGCAATATTAGCAATATCGGAAAATCGTCACCCACACTTAATCGATTCTACCCCTTTTCCCAAGTTTCCTTTGGTTATCGCAAGGACTTTCGTTACTTTAAAAACTGAAGGGAACAAAATTTAATTTACCTCAGCTTTTAGCAGCTGAGTTTATTGAACACACTGTTGGCTCTGTACCGGCAGGTAACGTATTTTATTAAAACAAACCCATAGTAATTCATTTTAATCAAACTCTTTTATCTTCTAAAGGGCCACCAAATAATTAATATCAACCTGTCTTTTCACGTACACATCATTCAAATATCGTTAGTTTAAAGGTCAAATGAAGTTGAGATAGAAGGTTAAACTTTGGATGAAAATCACTCATTGATCTTGTTGAAAATTTCAGACCGTTAAAGAAAACGGAGTGTCGCGTCGTTCTGGGAACTCTTTTCAAATTTACGGATGGAAATTATTTTCATCTTAAATCCCGAAACGCGTACCGGAAATGCTCAGTTCGACTTACAATTATGTCAGCAAGTATTTTTATAACGTTGATAAATTTATCGGATTCGTCATTGGCGACGGCAGACGGGCGAAAGTGCATGGATCAAATTTTTCTCAATTATAGTATAATCCTTAAATGAATGCTGTAGAAAAATTGCAAAAGAGAAACCCTGTGTGTCGCAATCTATGCAAATATTTTAATTAAAGTGTAAAGAAAGTTGAAATAAGAGGTCAAGAAGGTTAATGTTTGCCTTTTCCTTTTGCCGTAAACGCTACTCCTAAGCTCTTGCGCGACCGGCGCTTTAACTTTCGTTGTTAATATTCGTACAGTAAATTCGTATTATATTTTCAGTGAAAAGGCAAATTTCTCTCGCAAGTTTAAACATAAATGATCGGATTAGAGGTTTTTGAACCAAACTCTCATGGAGTTTGTAAACAGAATGAGAGAGATGGTATGAGTTTTGAGCTCGATAAAGAAATAGAGAAAGATGTTTTTCGTCTTGTCACGTGCGTGGGACAAATAGAAATTCTGAGTCCCCATGAGGGATCGAACTTCAGACCTTCGAATTCCGCGCTCCGATGCTTTACCACTGAGCCATGAAGACTCTACGGTGATGAGCGAAATTCGTTTGACACGCGTCCTGCATACTGCTAGGATCAGCAATGGTGATAGCGTCATGTTTGTAGATAGAATGAGAGAGATGGAGTTGTCAGGAGAAGTCTAGCCTCCGTTACATCGTCCATCGTCTCATCAATCAGGTAACCCTTTCACCTCTTGGAGTGACTGGCCTCTAATTTCTCCTTATTGTATTTCCCTTTAATAGAATGTTAAAGTCGTGAGAAGAAAGGAAATTATCCGCACCAATTTGAGAAACTCCTGATTGTTAAACAAATTCTCCTAGTCATAAGCATGAGAAACGTAAAGGGAGCACTGTGAAGAATATGGATACCAATGCAAGGGTGTAAATTGTTTAGAGTCCCTTCACCTGTTGCCTTGATGATAATAAGTGAAGGAGTTATTTTTACCGGCGGTCAAAATGTTTGATAGTCAATCAAATTTGCAAAAGGTTTCACAGATTTTTCAAACTAAAGAAGGTTTCAGAATTATCAATTTCAAGTTCAGAAATGGCTGACTGTGTTGAGTAAGAATTTGTCGATCTTAATCTTACAAAGAGCGACCATGCTGTTACCTCTGAATATGTAGAATCACTGCCATATAATTAATAAACTGTACTCAATAATTGGTGATTTAATTTTGCTGGCAGCTCGATCGCATGTGTGTCGTTTGTGGTAACTTGGATTTTTTCAGTTTCATTTATGAAGACCAATTTATTTTCAGTTTGAGTCCTCTAAGAGGAAATGGCAAATGCGTAAAGCTGCAATTTTCTCCTCTTCACAGGACAATTTTTGCTGACATAACAAGTTAAGTTTCCTTTGAAAACTGTGCAGAACCTTACTAGTATTTATAACCACGATGGCGAAACAATATTTGCAAAAAAGGGCGTGGATATGCAAAATTCCTCGTTTTCTTTCCTGTACACTTGAATTTGCTGAGTTTGCACCTTGTTGATAATTTACTTGTATTTTCACGGATTCGTGTAAAATCATTATTTGTGACAAAATTTCCGTTGGCATTCGGGAAGGTTATCGAGAACTGTGGTTTGTAAATCATCGATCGTTGCACCATAAGCTAGCCGAGTGAAAACTCGCGTCAATGTTGCCATATCCATCTTGAAATATTTAGACATTACTATTTAAGCTCATCACTTGCAATCCAGGAATCTTTTATATCCTCGGAAACCTTGGTTATGTTTCAGACCGCATTCACCACATTCCACCGGCTTTTTTCCAAACTCGGCATTGTTTTACGCTTTTTTTTTTTTTTTTTTTTTTTTTGTTACTTTAGTTCAAATTTAATTTTTTAATATTGCAAATGCGAATTGAAATATCCTTTTTTTTGGCTTACAATGCGACCTTGAGACTATGCACGTCTTTGCGACAGGGGCGAAAGGATACCGTCAATACGCAAGTTACATGACAGAGACCGACAGAGGCAATGTTTATAAAATCAACATTTGATGATTTTTCAAGCGCTTCATTTTCTTTGGTTCGGTGACTGGAGGGAGGGTTGAGGCCTTCTCACAAATTTTATATCCTTTACTTCTAGTTACATATCTATACAAATAAAGGTGATTTCTTTCACTGAGCAGAAAGCACACTAACCAAACACTAGCCAAATGTAATAACTTATGTTTGACACCATTAACATACACTAAATGATGAGTGAATAACGCGTAACAGGGGAAAACAACCGGTTTAAATATACGTCTTTCCAATTAAGTTTATTCTCGGAATTCCAACTGCATTATAAAGTAGTATAAGCTTTTAATTAGTCGGAAACATTGCATCTGTACTTCGCCAGCTTAGCGCACCAATATTTGGTTTATTTCCAATCTTTGACGTTACTGAATTGTGCAGCAAACAAGTATAAATACCAACTGTATATTTTTGTTGAGTTGCCAAAACTAGATTAAAAATTGAAATTGCGAGTTTACCTTTCATGCTCATGATGTTTTTGTGCTGTATTTCCAATGTTCGTCAAGCCTTTCTGACTCAAGTTGCTTTATTAAAAGCAAATATCGATAACAACTGTAAATTTTTGCTGAAGATTTGCCAAGAAAGGAATCGAAAAAAATAAAACTTTCCCATGCAGAAGCTCTGCAATTCAGCCTTCGTCGGGGTGCTGTATGCATTTATGCAAGTTAGGTGATTTTGAGATGTCACGAAAAGTCTCGAAAGAATTTCTTCTGCTCGATTTCCCTCCCTAGTTTTTGTGGTTAAGCTCGCAGGTTGGGGAATCTTTTAGTCCGATAAACGCTTTGTGCACAATTTTCTTCTCTTCGTGATAAACGTTCAGTTAAGATTTTAAGTGATTCCATTTTTAAAGATGACAATTCGTACACTTAGAGGAAAAGTTGCCAAGAAACGGTCCACTGTTTGCCTTTTTGTTCTCGAGATAAGATCGAAATCTTCCGTCGTGGCATGGGTTGATGTCACTAATCGCTATGGAAGCACCTGTAATGGGCAAACTTTTGGAACTCAAGGTGTCGTTGCACATGGAGAAGCCTCGTGGAAGAACTTTTGAGCACTAAATCGAATCAACAAACTAATTATTGAATATTTTGTAAGCTGTTAACGCACTAGCGCTTTAAATTTACCCACAAGCATTCAATTGTCTGCAAATATACGCAAGTTCTTCATAATTGCAAAGGGTGATCCTTAAGATTGGATATTGTAATCAGCAAATCTCCTGTGCATTTGTGGAAAAGCAAAATGATTTATTCTCAGAGAATTATACACATAAGAGTTTTCTTTTTTAGCCGACCACAATTTTTTCTTCTCCAGTTTTGTGATATAAACTGTTTTTTTTTTTGAGTTAATAGCATGCGATGTGTATAAACGTTGTTGACGTTCAGCCGAATGAAGGCGACCGGTTTAAGCGATACTGAAAATTTTGCATTTCGCATGAAATTTTGTTCAAGATTATTTCAATAACAGTGATGGCCCCATTTATTGTGAGTAAAATAAGTTGAAGAGTAAAGAACCATATCAGCTTATTTTGACTTATCTTTTGCTTCCCGTTGAATAACGGGAAGCAACAGATTTCTCCTGTATATTTTCTCTCCAAAATAATCTGACTGAAACATAAATGATATAACAGACTTTATTGATTTTACATGCATGCAGCACGCTGTCTTTCATATCTATACAGAATGTTCTAAAACAATGGTTTCGGTGGTTTTTAGCTAAAATATGCGGCCACCTGTTACTTAAACATTCATTACATGTGACATTTGCAGACTATTATTCGGTAGAAATCTCCGGATTCTAATCATTTCTTTTCATAAATGCTCTTAAAATAACAATATACTCTATTTTCGCAAAATAAAACGGCGCTTGGATCTTCCTTTCTTTCACTCTTCTTAATAATCTCTAGTATGTTTTTTTTGAATATCAAAAGTTACTTTTTTAACATATCGTTTTACCTAAATACACTGTTATTTTTTTATATTAGTTCTCCTTTTAGAAGTATTATCTTTTATAAATTTTATACCATTCTTTTTGCTATGAAACGGCTAATTGTTAGCACAGTATTATTCAAGAGACAACCGCACTCTTGTAAATCGCGTGAAGTATTCTGAGAGTTTTTATTTGGTACTGATGAGAGAACTGGTGCATGTTCTACTGAATTCTCCATCCTGCTACGGTGAGTCCACCATCAATAGTCCTTTTAGGATCAGTAAAAGACTTGTTCTCTTTGAGAATCGATGAGATTCTTGAAAGGCATGTTTTCTCTCATTTGGTCGGTCACCGTGTCAGGAGTCGGCCGGGTGTTCTGTTGCTCTGGGCGGTGGTGACTGGCGTTGGTCTTCTCTAGATAATAAGCATGGTGAATACGTATATGTGTACGGAGATTACTCGAACTGATGAATTTCCAGTTGCAAATGTTACACTTGTACGGTTTCTCCCCCGTGTGCGTGAGAATGTGTGACTGGAGGTTCCCGGATGTTGTGAAGGCTTTGGAACATTGCTTGCACTTGTAAGGTCGCTCGCCCGTGTGGATTCGAACATGCCTTCGCAGATCGCTGGAGCTCACGAATGCTTTGGGACAGTACTGGCACTTGTGGGGTTTTTCACCCGTGTGCGTGAGGATGTGTCTTTGTAAATTGGTTAGCTGGGCGAAGCCGCGGCAGCAGATATTACACGTGTACGGCTTTTCGCCAGTGTGAATGCGGTTGTGAATCTTCAGGTGCGCTGCAAGCGCAAAGGCCTTAGGGCACTTCTGACATTTGTAAGGCTTCTGGCCAGTGTGGATCAGCACATGGCGTTGGAAATTCCATGAGCGAGTGAACACTTTGCTGCAGTGTTGACATGTGTAGGGTTTCTCGGCTCCTGTCGTGTCGGTGTCCTTCTCCTCTTTAATTGACGTGAAGTCTTCCAAGCGATCGTCTTCGGGAACTTTTTCCCGGCCCCACGCGCTCACCATCTTTTCCGTGTCTTTGGGAAAACCATTCTGACCATTCATTTCCCTGCTTGTATTGATGATATGCGGTTCATTGTTTGACAAAACCAGCGGTTGGACATAGGGAACCCCGAGACGATACAGTTCCGCTTGTGAGGATGTTACAGTCGGTGGGGTGTCGTGCGTGTTATCTGCGGACATAAAAAAATGTAACAATGAAAAGTTGCTTCAATGACACTTCGTTTACTTCAGTAATACACTTTTACAGCTAGCTTAGGTTCGGGTTGCACCTCCCTCGAAGGAAACCGCATTATTAACACGCGTGGCGTGAATGAGATTACACAATTTATCGTTTATCATACGCAAAGTTTATCAAATCAGCTTAACAAGCCTATGGTCTAATAATGTTGTTAAAGAAGCCAAGATTTTCCGGCTAAGCCGAACATTCAATGTAATTTGTGCGGAAAAGTTTTCCTTAATAATTGGCCCTTCAACGCCTTTCTTTAGAAAATTGAAATTGAGGTAATTAGATTTGTTTATAATTATTCAGTTTTTACAGGGGTTTTAATTGAACTTCTGAATCCTACATTAGCAACATTACCCCTAGACTGAAAAACGAAAAATCGTAACTGACTTCTTTGTATCGTATGTCTGTTTTATAAAATTTGAAAGAGGATAGTAGCCCATTGCGTTTGTTAGCCCATGTGAACATTTCACTACAGAAAACAGTTCTGTTTGGGTTTTGACTATGAATGTTTAATGGTTTAAAATACCAATTTGAAAAAGTCATCGAATACCGCGAAGCTCTACTTTGGCGCATTTTAACAGTTTTGCTAATCTGAAGGCTCTTAAAACAAACCACAAAAATAGACCCAAGCACGGAATTTTACTAACAAAACTCTGGGCTAAAAATGTATATCCAAACGAGATGGGAAATATTTCTTGTCAGTCGAGAACAAAGCTCGCATGACTTACTCCAAGCTGTTGCGTATTCAAGAGTTATAGTAAAGCCTTAAAATAAAATTTCTACAAGAGATTTGAGCTTCAATATAAAGGAATCTATGAAAAGATTTTTGGGTTTTTATGAGCCTGCTAACGACAGAACGAAGAAAATCTCTCCGCTGTTTGTACTCAAAGAATAAATAATTCAACACAAGCAAGAAGCTGTTCTGTAATCGTATAGAGAACAAAACTTTTGGACTCTTTTTTCATCACACCATCCTTTTTTTCTCAGATTTTGTCCAAAAGACTAAAAGAAAGCTTTCCTACTTCAAGAAGAGTACGACGGGCATCATTATAAAACATTTTGGGATTTTTAGCCGCTAATGATTTCGCTTTGATGCCTTTTAAAAGACCCTTCAGGTATTTTGCGGGTAGTAAGGTCGGCTTATGTTCAAAATACTCAACAAAGAGAAAATCTCATCAGAAAATCGTTAACATGGCCGTTCAAAAAATAAGAACTTCAATAGACGTTTTAATAATCCGGCTGTGTCTCCTTTTACGCAAGAAAAGAGCAGTGCTGAGATACGGTATTATTCTCGAGAGGTCAGTCCTGAAATATTTTACTATCGGTCGCCACGCAGTGAAATGCACAATCAAAAAATGATTTATAAAATCTTTACACCCTGACTAATTCTAAGAGTAAAAATATTTTTCCTTGCTTGTAATTTTAAGTCAAATTCCTTATCTTATGACATTGCCTTAAGAAAGAAAATAGAGAAATTCATAAATGCTCACAACTTGAATGCTTGAAAATGAATTAAACTCAACTTACCAAAGTAAGTTATATTGCTCTTCTTGAATTCTTTCTTTTTGATTAAAAATGAGCGAGGCATTCTTGATCGGTAAGGTTGGTGTGCTTGATGGTGTAAACTCTGCGGATGGATGTTAGTCCGAACTGAAGGCTTCTCTTTGGCGTATGATTCAAGATCGAGCGCGCACTATCTTTAGTTTAAATAGACTGAAGAAACTTTGTGCTGGTTGACTTATTATAGGCGCCGAGACAGGTGCGAGAGGATCTACAGCGGTTGTAAACAATTTCCCACTTGCTATGCGGCGCAAAGTTTCGTTTATGGAAACTGAATGCCCCTTGATCATATCACGACAAAAGAATAACAGTCTGTTATTTAAAACAACAAAGTCTTTCCAATGCTACTGGCAGTGTATTAATTTATTAAAGACCTGCCTGGGTCCCATCAAGAATTCAATGCTTTACAGGTTGCGCGAGTAGAAAAATGACCAAACGACTAATCCACGCTGACAATAGGCCCCTGTCGGCCAATCTAAGCTAGAATATCGCATTGCGCATGCATGATAGAATAGTTTGTTTAAATCTTGGAAGGCTTGTTCGCTGCTAGTGGCGCGGGCGATCGACCAATCAGAGCGCAGAACGTCAAATAACTTTCGCATGAGCACAACTGAGCGTGAACAATTCTACCGATTAGAATTCTGGCCGACAGACTCACTGGCACAAAGCACGGCGAATACTAAGGGATTCTACACATTTGTCTTGGTGTAAGCAACACATTCCTTTTCTCGGGTAGTAACGAGTTACCGTGATTAGGATGTCGTTAACACTTTTGAAAAGACTTTTCGAAAAGCGTACTAACAACTAAAGCGCTGTTCTTTTGTGGTGCGCGTTATAAAATTTTAATTTGAAAATATTTGGAGGTATGTTATTTGTCAGTGAACCATGCCATGTCAATTATTCATACAATAGGTAAACTTCCTTTTGTCCCCGACTTCGGAAAAAAAAAGCTTTGAAATATTTCATTCGTCCTTACACTTAGTTGAAAACAGAAGTAGTTCCGGCGTTCCAATGAAGCCTCTTATCGACTTGTTAATATGTTTGATTTTCGTCAGCAGGGTCGAAGTTGGTGTGAACGATTTATCAAAACATTTCAAACAAGATAGACACTCTGTTCGCATGAGCTAATTACTTTGGAGAACATGCCTTTGTTTGATTTTGGCCACTGCTAGCGTTGTGCACTTAGCAACGCCACCAGTCGCTCTTGCCTTTGCCACTTGTTCGTTTGGTGAAGGCACGTGCGCTGTAGAACAGGTGCGATACGACCTCCGAGCGATGAGAACAAAGCTAAGTTGAAATTCTCGCCGAGACAATAGGAACCTCTAAGTTGAGATTTTTCACTCGAATCTCGCTCATATCTCAGCAATTAGTGCTTCAAATCTCCGAAATAAAAGAGAAAAAGAAAGCGCTGTGGTTGACGAGACAGTGGTTGCGTATTTTATACTCTTTGGCCCACAATAGGAGATGAACAATGCACACGGTCGGTCGGCGAGTTAAGTTTAAATCAACCTGTTCAGAACTAGCAAAATCGTAATGATGGCTGTCAGTGTATCATTACTCAAAGGAGAGTGCAGAAAGTTTCAAATATTTGCGCTTTATCTTTAGAACTCTAGAAATTAAAAGCTTGGTTTTCTGTTAAAGAAAGAGGGATTTTTTAAATTCTGGTATGGAAATGTTTTATTTTCGAATTTTCCTTTTGAAATCAAAAATCAGATACTTGATCGCTTCCAAAAGCTAACGTGAGCTCGGCGAATGCGCAGAATTGGGTGAAACCTGTCAGGCAGATTTGCTCACTCTATTTATTCACTGACAGACAACCACAAATAATAACCGCATTGAGTTAGTATAAGCCTGTGAGACGACAAGTCGAAGGAGTGACAGTGGACATCGTGTGAGCAAATAAAGCACCTAGAGACAGTTAAACCCGCATTTTAAATACAAGCGCATTTGGAATAAAGACGAACGAATTGCTAAACAGAGGATTTTACCAGAAGCTTCTTAGGATATATCACACTCAGTCTCTTTTCACGATGATGGAATGCTGCGAGACGAATAGAGACTACAAGTTTTAAAAGACACATGGCTCGGATTTACATGTGCTTAGGAATGTATTTTAAGTTCAAGGTGCGAGTTAATTAACTAAACAAATCCATTTAAGCCATTTACACATAATAATAGATCGTTACGAATTTCCTTTGCAACAGAATGTAACCACGCTCGTGTCAATATTGGTTTTTAACTTCCCACGAAGCGAGCAGAGAGAATCTCGAGGAATATTCCATATAATGAGGTTCTTATGCTCACGTCAGGTGAACCGCATTCATTTTCAGGCTGCCTTGACGCATATTTAATAATATGGCACTAGTCTTAAGTACAATTAAACTGAGATTTAAATCCCATAAATCCGATAAACTCACACGAAACGAAATACGAGCGATCGATTCTACGAGTGTGAAAATTAACTTGATTCGTTCCGCACCTAGCTGCTGCAGAGTGAAATGTACGAGAGAGAAAGTCTATTTTTAGAGCAAATTTTTCTCTTGAATGATACGACTGGTTTAATTCCATTCGTTTCGAATTATACCGGTTGACAAGACATAGCAGGTATACCGAGGAAAGGGTAAAATAGTTATTCAGTATATCTCTTCTGGATTTGTGCCAAATTAAGATACCTTCACAAGCTCATTTCTGATCTGGTGACGGAAGAAATCAAAAGGGTGGTTGCAAACAGGAAACCTACTGAGGTCATTTAATTCAATAAGATATTTTTCCAACTGGCTTTAGTTACAGGGTCAATACACGCCAATACTGTGCAATAACCGAGATTTTGATTAAAAATTGCCCACGCTTTTCTTTCTTGTTGAAGGACCAGTTTAATTTCTTTGTTGAAACAGATGGCAAATTCTATCGTTGGCTCGTGTCTTTATCGAACTGGCCCAGTCTCTTAAAAAAACAAAACAAAAGACTAAGGTTTGGGGCGTTACTCCTGTGGAATTAGGACCTTTTGTCTTGTCATTCTGTGGTTGAAGCATGGTTTGCCATGGACACTATTGTCTGTACACTATGGACAGAAAACTCGCTTCTATTACTAAGAGCTACACAACTTATGAGAACTGATTTGATAAATTCTTACTGAAACACCCAACGACATTTTAGTCAGAGCGGCTTAGAAAAAATAAAAATTGGAGCGGACAGCGGGACGGTGAAACATATTATCTGTGCGCATCTTTGCCTTTTTTCTAAAATTAGAAAATTCTTTGAGAACAGAAACACCAGCTAAGTCCGTTGGTATCGATAAAATGCGTCCAAAATAAAAAACGAGGGCTCCTTTTTTAACCGCCCACACGCACTTGAAGTCCGCATTTGACCACGGTCAGCTTTGCTTAAAAATGAAGATGCGTGGGTTGTATATGTAAGTTAACTTCTTTTAGTGAGTGGGTTTGTTGAATTTGATGTAACAATCGACGCCAGCTTTGTGTACTTCTCTTGATGAGTCTTAGGAAGGAGGATTAAGTTCAGACGCTTTGAATTTCATTTTCTTTTTTTATACATATATAACTTCCTCAATCAAAACATGGGGTTTTTCGATGAGAAGTTCAAATTCCTACTGCCTTCGTCCAAATTTGAAAAATTCAAAACTGAAAATGACTTTTCATTGACTGAAAGTTTCTGTTACGATGTCTTTTTCAGAGGAAGAAGGAGGAAGAAGGAATTCGTTCGAAGAAGACAGCACAAAATCGATTCATGGTTTCAGTTTTCTGTAATATTTAAATGCCCAATATATTTCTTTAGTTTTCTGCTGGGATAACTGGTGGGAGCAAGAGCAGTAGGTAAAAATGGACATCGAAGTTGGACCACGATTCTGCAAAGTGCGGGGTGAAGTACTCAAACGGAATTGCCAAAGTGGTCCAGTCTCACTTTAAATTGAATACGCGTTTATAAAATTATTATCCAAGGATTAAAACGTAACCCTCCCACGTATGATAAGACAAACTCTCGCTGAAAAGAAATCGCCACTTAGCTCAGGAAAAATTGTGTTTCATAATTTTTTTCGTCCTGAAATAAACTGCAGAGGAATGAATCAGCAACGCTCGATTCACCCTCGTAATCCATCGGATTTCGCGCGAGCCGCATGTCAACAAAGCTCTCGGCTCCTAGGACACTATCACCATCTGGTCAGTAAGTGTATCTATACAAATTGGTCATCAAAGAGCGCATTTGAATCGTATTAAATAGCGCAGCCGATATTTCTTTAGTAATTATACTAAAGAAAATGAACAAAACTTGTCAAAAGGTCGCGTGATTCTCTGAGATATACTTAGGCCTATAGGATCTCCAAATCATTGAATTATTTTTTTAGGCCGAAATTCTTCTTTTATCGTGAATACAGAACTATTATAAAAGCATTTTTTACCGTGATGATTTTACGTCAACCATTACAGCTAAGACTTATCTGACAAAACTAAACAAAAGACATGATATTACAATTTTTTTGTAACTGGTTTCAACAGAAGAACCATTGGGAAACCGATGTCGTGACTTGGCCGTATACCTTGGTTAAAAGAAATATATAAAATAAAAATAAAGTGATTAAATAGGCCTTTGAAAGAGAGCCAAATAAATAAATTTCTGATATATGATATAAGTAACTGATTGGGTACTCAACATGTATGAGTTTTGGCAAAACTTCAAGGCTAACAGCCGAAGGGAAGAAACAGCTCTCATTTGGCTCAAATTACCTCTACACGGCGTGTTTAATCTCACGGGAAAATAGAAAACAATTAATTTTATAGAAACAGTTTATATAGATATTTCTGCTTGAGTTGTGAAAGGTGTGAGTGCCACAGCGAAATTTCTGTTTCTGTTACTTGCCGTAAACTTCGTGTTTCAAACTCTCTGTATTAATGAACATGAAAATTAACTTAACTCTTTGTTATGAACCGTAAGGAAATGGAAAAGAAAACAAAGATACTCAGTACTGAACAACACGTTAAATCCAAACCACGGGCTAAAAATCAAATGCACGTTTCACTCGATTGATACATAATTTGCTCCAAATTAGTGACAAATTAGTGACTCCATTCGCTATTCAGCGTACGGAAGGAAACCTTTTCTTTCCTGTCATAATGATTGATGTCCGACCAATAATTTCATGTTTAGATTTAAGTGACGGGTACACCTGTTACTACCTAGTGCCTCAGGCTGGGGGCTTTCTTAAGCATTTGCTTCAAAAATATTATAGATGTCTTTTCCCCTATCGTACTTTCATTAAATACACGCAAAGAAGTTAAAGAAGGTGCATACAGTTTGTTTCAGCTGAAGAGCCCGACTAGATCAGAAAATGTTCGAGTCAGCACTCATAGAATTGACCTAGCTATGACAATGAAAGCTTTGACAGGTAGAAGAACTCAAAAGAAACGCAGAGCGCCGAAAAATGAAAAGCAAAAATGAGCTAAATTAGGAAAAATTTAAAGACGGAAAAAAAAAAAAAAAAAGCATATTCGGGTCTTTATTTCTTCTAGTGAATTTCTGAGCTCGATTTATTTAAATGTGTCATCTGTAATGTTGGGAATTATTCATGGTAACCGTTGTTATTCGATTGTCATTTTGCTTACAAAGGACTGTTGTTGTAAGCTGGTTGAACGTTGCTCGATCAGAAGCTTTATACAGTGATCATTATTAAACCGAGAAAAAGCTTTAGAGGTGGGATTTATTTAAACACATAACACGGTGAGAATATGGGATTGGCAAGAAATTCTGCTTACGCTTTGCGATGTGAGCAGAGATCAGCGATATGCAAAGCACATTATAGGCTCTTGAACAGGGGCTTTGTTAATGATCATTGTAGTTTATTATGGCACTGCTTCCCTTCAGAGTTCATTCAGTTGCAATCGACTTAACTTGAAATCGTGAGGATTTCCATTTGGCTGATAAACGACGTGTCGTAAAGGTAGGCACGGAGCCTTCTTGGATCAACATTCTCTATTTTTATTTTCCAACCGAATCCTCTGTTTTTAAGAGTGCAAGTAAAATTGTTTTGTCAAATAAAATGGAAAGACTTTATTTTTCATTAAAATTGAATTCAAATCGAGAAATTCCGGCTGATGCGAGCATAATAAAAACTGGGGAGAAAAAGTCTTTCAAAGAATCACACGGAAACGGTGAGGTGATTTTTGACACTTAATTCCTAAACTGACATTTGTTTTTAACTACCATAAGAGTAAATTGATCTTGGCTTGTACCCGCTGTTATGAAAACAAAGCCACATTTTCGCTTTTAGTTTACGAATCTCGGATTATTTTGAGAAAACCTAATCCTTTTGAGGATAGCGTGCGTTTTTGCGTTTTCGCTCGAAAACTTTCCATGGGCCCTTGTACTCTCCCAGAGCGTGGATTTTTGCCAGTACAATAAGGATTACATTGTTAGAGAGCAATATGAGAATCCTCAATAGCAAAACGGTCCCAGTGCGTAAGTCAGCTTTACGGTTATTTATTGAGAAACTAAAAGAGCGTGATTGCTGTCATTCTTTTATTCATGCGAGATTGGACTGGTGTTGATTAGTTCAAGCTATTTATTTAGCCATCGGGAAAGGACTCCATTACATTTAAATTAAAATGGCTGTGCTAACCTAACCATCTCAGAAAATAAAAGAAAACGAAGATTTCAAAGGTATATATTTTGCTAGTATTCCGATACGAAGTGTATTCCAGTTAAAAATCATCCCTGAATCACATATCACAATTCCGCTTGCTCTTTCCATCTAAGTTAGTAATAGGGGTCTTAATTGTTCAGACACAAATTTCGTGAGTATTAAATCACTTTGCCTTGAAATGTTAAATGCTCATTTGAACGCCGCATAATCTGCGTGTTTGGTCCGCTTCTCGTGTTGAAGGGAAAGGCCATCGCTCTGTAACCTCCATTTGGTGCTCATGTAAAGAATAACAGATGACATGGAAAGATGTCATACATTTGGTACACACGCCGAACAAAGAGACAAATCTACCTTTCCTCCGAGGGAATGCATACCTCGGACCTTAACATGAACCAGCTTATCATGAACTGCAAAAAATTTAATCGCCATAGCGAGCCAGGCCTTATACTCTATGTTTGCTTTGATTAGATAATTTCCAGAATTACGAGAATCAAATGAATCATAAACATCAAAAGGCTTTCTAAGAGTCTAATAATATTGTGGGCACTTCGTCGTCGAAACGGTTAAAGATTATGGTTTTCGAGCAATTTTTTCATATTTAACATTTCAGACCAAGGTCTTGCCTGTGGTTCCTGATCAAGTCACATCTGTGTACTGCATTGACAAATCTTCCGTTTTCATGTCAAATAATCTGACTAGCTACAATATGCTGGGTTGTTTGGCAAAATAAAAAGGAAGCAAATGTAGAAAATTTGGGTTGCAGTTTCATTCATCATTGAGATAGCACAACTATGAGTTTGCCATTTTGTTCCTATTTTTGAGGCCCTGCATTATAGAGTTATTTAAAGTGATTGTTCGTAGTCTGTCTACCTTGACTTATCAACTTAGGCCAGCATACCCGCGCATCGAAGCAGGTATAACCTGCCAAAAACAAACTGATTATTTGGTAATTTCTTCGTTGAAATAGAAAAGCCATCAGCTCTCTTCAAAGAAATTGAAAGAAAATAATGTTTCACCAGAAATTTCCCTCGTTTTCTTAAGAAATAAAAAGAAAGCATCGTGTTCAGGCACAACGGACCCTCCTGTATTTGTAAGCTTTAGGGACGAGTGATTTCTTTTCACTTGGATGTTAGAAGAAAGAGGAAATGAAAAGAAAGAACAAATCATTTTTTTCCTTTGTTCTAAGCTTTGCTCTTTTTCACTGTTATAAGTTTAACGATGGAACCCATAATTTATATTATCAACTGGACGCTTTCAACATTGCTCTTCTTAACACTATGCTTGAAGCTCGTCACGTAATAATCTTTTTTTCATAAATCCACCAGCCGTCCATCGCGAATGTTGCAGTCTGATATGTTGCGCTACTCGCTATCTATGTTGCGACCGACAAGTAGATCTATACTAAAATAACTAGTTTATTAGCTTTCGATTTCTATGCGTGATGTTTAATTCGTGTTTAAAGGCCTTCATTCAAGTTATAATATGAGATGGCAGCCCACAAACGAGTTCTCTGGAGCTCATTTGTGAGTGATTTAGTTAGAGCACACATCCTCTAAGTGAATTTACACCTATATTTCTTTGTCTTACGGCTGTGGCAATATTGCTTTACATCTTTACTTTAACGAGAAAGTGACCCATAAACTTTGTACACAAAAAGGATCGGATAAGTGATCGGCAAGGGGTGGACGGAGAGAAAAAGTTAGTTCGATATTAAAAATCCACCATCATAATGACATGACAGAAATGGGCAAATGATAGAAGATGCAATACTGCATGATGTTTTGCTGGTTGAGGCCGCTTTATTCGAAGTTTTTGTTTGTCTTAGCACGCGCAGTTCGCGATCCTGTTCCAAAGTTCGAGTGTTGGAAACGGAATCGACGAGACAGCGCATGAGGGGAATTTCTGCGCTGAATTTCTCAGTGAATTTCCGAATTTAGGCGCAAATATATCTATTTAAACAGAAAACTGGTTTCATCAGTGTACTGAATCCATATGTGGTGTGTTATTTTTCAGAACTCCCTGATGCATAAGTATTCTACGGATCATTTTATTTTCTGTGCTTTGCTCACTTTTAGCTTAACCCTTAAATAAACTCACGGAGGGCCTTCCCCGGTGGAAATAATTTTTTACATGTTTAGAACACTTCATATTTTTCTTACTTAGAACTTCAATTTCGTCTCTCACAGTCGAAGTCTATTAGGTGTTTTTTTAGTTTTTTGTTGTTGTTGTTGTTTGTGTGTTTTTAGTATGGACTGATAAAGGATGTTCCTGACGAGGAAAAGAGACCTCTGGGAAAACGGAGAACACGATGTACGAAACTTGAAAAGGGTATTCTATCCTTGAACAAGCTCAGAGTCACTTTTGTAGACGACTGTATTTCTATGGCAACAAGCACTGCTTGATCAAGTCTATTTTTGCGCGACTATATCGTCAAAATCAGGAGTGAAGTCCAAATTCATCCAGTAGTTTTTATCTTTGGGAAATCAGAGTTAAAATACACTTAGGGCTGTGTCCTTTCAACGTTTCTCGACTCTTAGTTTTCGCGTATAACAACTGACAAATTGTCAGAAAGATCACCCCTCTTTCTGTGATTGTAAACGGATGGAATGCGTGAATTTACACCCGCAGTTCTGGTTTTACGTCCACAACACATCTTCTTCACTTCTTGCTTTATATCTTCCTTCAGTAAAGCATAAATGAAAGGGTTAATGGCTGAATTTGTGATCATGAGAAGCCGAGATGTCAAAACAACCTCAAAAGTAACTTGGCATGGTAAAGAAAAATAATCACAGAGATTCCTGTACGCCGAGAGCATCCAACATAGCACAAAAATTAATACAACCAGACCAAAGACCCTCGTTGCAGACCTTTCCAGCCCTCGCGGCAGGGAATTAAACCTGTTTGCGTGCGTTAAATGTTGATTCTTCGCAAGGGCGCGAATCTGCCTCGAATGCCTTCTAGAAATGGAGAAAATATGTCCGTAGATAAGCAACATCACGGCGCAAGGAAGGAGGTTGAAGAGGACGGTTTGCAGTGTGCCATATATTCTAGAGGCTTTAATTGGATCTACCGACGCGTTAGAGAATTTCCACGCGAAAGGAACGAGAGAACTGATAATCGGTATGATCCATGCGGTTAATATCCACAGTAAAACGCGAGAATTCGTCATGTTCTGCTGATAGGTCAGCGGCTTCACCACGAAGAGATACCGGTCAGCGGTCATCGCACACATGTTGCCTATGGAGACAAAGAGCAGAAGGTCGAAACTTCTTCTCAAGACATAGAAGTTACAGGTTTTCGTCCATAGAGCACATGCGGAAGAAACAGGGATCAAGAAAATCCCAACAAAAAGGTCCGCCAGCGACAATGACAGAATAAACCAATTAGCTGCCTTCTGGAGCCTATGACACCTGAAAATGACGTAGATAACAGGAGTGTTTCCCGCCAAAATGATCAAACCAAGCAGACCCCTTAGAATCCAGTACCACACCCCCACTCGTGAAGTGAACTCAGAGGAAGTAGTTGTACTGTTAGACGTGCTGTTTTCCATTACTTTGTAAGATCGAGAAGCTGTGCTTTAGTGTCAGTTTAGTACTATGGATTTGCCGTTAACTGTGAAAATAATAAAGAGACGAGAAAGTGAGATGGATTTAGAAAAAATCGAACTGTTGCAGTGTTTCTATCGGAACATATAGCACGTGGTGGGTTTTAGTCCTCAATAGAAATTAAGAGGGGAGAGGAGCTTATGACAAGTCTTTCATTGACATGGATTAACAACTGACAATGTTTCATATTAAAGCAGTAGCAGAAAACGACAGGAAATTCTTTTAAGTTCTTTTATACGTGTGATTTTGGCGTTTCACTTTGACTTCCTTCATCAGCAGATATCGAACTATTTCGCCGAAAACTGTTTACCCGAGAGAAATCGTTGGAAATAACGACTTTTAGCCGTAGGTTTATCAAATACATTATCTGCTCGTCTTAAAAATTTTCCTGTAAAAGATTCCTTTTGTCATGATCTTTGTAACAACTTCAAGTCAGTTCTATGTTGATGTAAGTAACGTTTAATGGCCGCTGCAGATGGTAACAGATAATTACTCCACAGAAAACGTATAACTTAGGCATGTTATCGGCGAGCGAGAAAATACTGAGCGATCTAAGCAATGAAGGATAGGTTTTGAAGATATAGGTTCTAAAGAACTGAGACGTCGGAAATCAGATTCAGTTAAGGACTGAAATACTAAATTTTAGGCCAAAGAAAAACACACGGATCAATATCTCGTCAAAAGCAGTTGCAATACATTTGCTTCGATATTCTCGGTTCTGCGTAAAGTAAAGCTCACCTATGTGCCGAGAAAAGAAATGAGTAAACTTACCTGCGCAAAACGAAACTGAGTCACAATAACTTTTGCTTCACTTTCCGAAAAGCGTTTAATTCCTTGATATGTAAAACTCCACTGTTTTGAAGAACGCCTTTGTTCAATTTAGTCATTAGCAAATGCCGCCCGCCGTTCTTGGTTCCTGAATACTTCACTCGAACTAAAACGAAAATTTACGCAGCAAATGGGAGTTAGGTGTCCTGGGATGTGTTATGAGATTGTAAAGGCATCAATTACCTTTTTGTGTCAATCTTCTGCGATCCTTGAAAATATATGATGGTGCAGATCGATCTAAATTAAAAGAAATCTTTGAGATTAAAAGGTGGCCAGTCGCTGTCTTTTCGGTCGATTACAGACGCTTGAAATATAGTTCTATCTAGACAGATGTATGCAAATGATGACGACTAATTAGGAAATGCGTCAGTTCTAAAATATTATCTGATTCTCCCCTTGGCCTTTCAAAGGTCATAGTGAAAGGGCGTGACTGTAAGGTGAAAGCAGATGATAACTTTGGTAAATAACCAATAATCGATTGTGACGCTGGTACAGAGTAAAAGCTTTAAATCATCCATAAAATAAAAAGAAGTTTTCTGCAAGACCCTACCCCCTACCTACCTACCCAGCTCGTTCTCGCGTTGATGGAAGAGAATAATTAAAACCAAGAGGTTATGCGATCCAAACTCTTTTTCAACTTTCAATTCTCTCTCTTTAACTGAAGCGTTCATTTTCGCAGCCGACAGGCCAAGGAACCGAACAACTACGACTGAACCCTTCGTGAACACTCTTGTTCTTGTTGTCCTTGTTTATTTCTCACCGTATAGTTATGCTTGTGCCATTCTACACTCCGCAGTCTTAAACTGAACTATCCTTCCTTTCCGTGAATTAATCCGTCTTAATTTTTCAGCTTCCTTCGAAATCTCGAGCATGTTTAATCTTAAAAGCTTGCAAGAAAGCTTTTGTTATTTGGTTTCACTTGATCGCTTAGTAAATAGGCAAAAACACTTTAGTATATAAGTTGCGTAATCTTCCTTCATTTTGACTGATTTTACTATCAGGGAAAGGCCCTGAGTTCTTAAAGTAGTCGAGGAACTGCAATCAAATTATTTCCTTCTTCTTCTCTTTTGATGTTGATTGACACTTTCGACAATACAAAAAATAATATGAGTCACGTTTTAAAAGTTAAACGTATTAAATTGAAAGCTAGTTTATTAAAGAAAATCCACTCAGTTTTGGCGGTAGGCTTTGTTGAACTGGGATGCAACCACTTTGCCTTCAATTACCGGAAAATTTGCATGAAACATACGTGCGCACTCAAAACATCTCTAATAAGTGGCTCCTAAAAAAAGCGGGTATAAATGAATCATCGTGTTCTTAGGAAAGTTGATTGCGATTTCCAAGACAATGAAGTGTGATTCTGAAACACAAAATCAGGGTGAAATAATCGTAATTGTATCATTTTTCTTTCTTTTTATGAAAAGTTTTTAAATACGTGACGGATTTATCTCGCTCTTACTGTCATCTATATCCGCATTGAACGTAGCAAAATTATCAGATTAAGTTTCGTTGCTTAAGTATTCGTAGTTGGATAATTCGCTTTGGTAAATATATATTAAAGATCGCTTTTTTAAGATTTTCAGATACTCCGGCACTGGTAGAATAGCACAGTTTCACGATTTTCATTTTAAAAGAAAGTGAAGAGCCTATGTTAAAATATTTAATCAGTTACCTTTCTGTGAAGCACTTTACCGTTTGACATTAACATCCATTTCTCAGCTGACGGATACAGGGAAAGGTGTGACCGGGGCGGGGGGTGGGCGGGGGAGGAGCTTCAGTCCCCTACATAAATACGAGAATTAAACTCCGCATCCCCATTTTGACGAGTACATTTAAAGAAGAGCCACTTTTAGAATCGACTAACTTTCTAATTTTAGGATGTTGTTTCGGTGAATACTGAGCGGAAAAGCTAATGAAGGCCCGTTCTACTCATATTTTATTATTTGAGTAGAATTGAACAAATGGTTTTACTGAGTATGTATGATCGCAACGTCTTAAAAACGAGCTGAGTGGGTGCATTGTGACTATCAGGGACGCATTACCCTGATTTGACCTCTCTCACCACTCGACAATTTGAGGGTTTATATTTGACACTTGCAATTGATTAAAGCAAAAACTAAAATGTGTTCTATTTCACAAGAGGAGAGATTTGAAGTTTCCCTTTGAAATTCTTGACGCGAGAAATACCGTTCAAAGTAGACGCGATGCGTGAATTTTTCTAAAATTCGTGCGTAAAACGTACTTAACCTTACCGTTCACTAGTAATTGAGTAAAACTGTCTGTGCTGGTACTAGTGGATAGATCTGCCCTAAGAGAGTTTGCTCAGAATATTAATGATGAAAAATTGTTTCGTGAGAGAGTAAACCGTAATTCTGTTAACTCTCGATAGCCTTTTCCCTGAATCCTTGTGGGTGTTCCGTCGTAAACGACTACATTGTTTTTATCTCCGACATTAAAGTTTGCTCCTCAACCAGGTGTATATTTAGGATATATACTGACTTCGATTATCATCTGATCTGACATCATTCTTGATTGCGTTTAAAAGCGTCCGAATCCTTTCATTTAGGCCATCACCTTGTGGCAAAATACGTTCAGCGTGACAGATGAAATCAAAAGCAATATTTCGGAAAAATTTTAAAAAGTCTATTACTAACATTTCCGGCTCGCCTGGCAAGACGTAATGAGTAAAACGTTCGCAAAACTATTTGAACATATCAATTTTAGTAAACAACCAATGAATAACACTATGGTAAGTTTCAAAAAGGACCTGTGGTGCTGCGTTGGTAAGAATATTACGAGATGATTTGGCTTTATCAACTGAGTTGATAATTGTAATTGGCCAACGTAAAGGGTTTCTAAAGCTGACGCCCGTTTCGAGCAGTCGGCCCTTTGTCAACAACGTTGCAATATTGATGTTAACGGTTTTAAAAATAACTTACAACAGCGATTCGCTAAATGGTGCAGTTGTCCCTCACTCAGCTTCCCAAGTGAACACACCAAAAAGGCTAATCGAGTGACTTTTCTGATATATATATACTTTCCCTGGTTTTTATTTGTATTTAGATAAAAAAAAAAGTTGTCTGAGGAATTGAAAAGGGGCGTGTCCGTTTTCTTTCGTGCACGTTAAGTTTCATCTTTTTCAAATAGGAGGATATTTCTGTTCTCAAAGTTCGTGATAATTTCGAAATGAAAATGCAAACTTTCATCCAACCGTTTTAAGAGGGTCTCGACGGGGTATAGTGGCGTTTACAACTAACATTTAAATTTTTTGAGTTTTTTACGGCTGAAAGTTTAGTTTTCGGACCGTTTTATGGCTAACGGTTAAGCATAGAAAACGGTTAAACCCCACTGAGACCCTCTTTTAATGTGGCGTGGTTTATTTTCTAAAAACTACTCGAATTCACCAATTGTCGTTGAATACCTCAATCATGTCAACATGGAGAAATCCAACGGAACAAATTAACCATATAAGATGTCGAAAATAAAAGAAGAAAACTAGAATTCAGAAGTGTGAGTATCTTTCAGTTCCTCTTATTATCTGGCACATTATTAAATTTTTGATTGACGTTAAGCAATAAACATCCAAATTTGAAAGAATCAAACTGCAAAAGGTCTGAATGAAAATTTAAAAACCCACATACTTAATGAACGCGATGAGACCGTTAAGCTGTAAAAAAAATCAGCTTGGAAACAGACTTTGGATATTTTTTATTCGAGGAATGAGATCGGACCATATTTATAGCGAAAAGAAAAGTGCAACAATAGATTGATTCGATTATCAAACGGCTAAAGATGAAATAAATCAAGTAAAAGATGACTATAATGATTCGCTGACTCTAATGCTCAGGGAAGAAGAATTAAAAAAATAGATATAACATGCCATGCATTTGTAGTTTTTCGAATGGCAGAGTTATGAAACAGAAAAGGGAATACAAAACTGACCTTGATAAGAATATTCAGTCAGAACGGCCGGAGAATTAGAAACTGTAAAGCACTACTTGCATCTGCTGCTGGGTAATGGACGATGAAAATTATCTTCGGTTAAATTGAACGGTCAGCGACAGCTGCAATCAACGTTAAGTGCTCAGCGCACAATTGGCAAATATGGCTTATCTGGAGAATTGACGTGAATGGTTTAGTTTTTCAATATATTTCGACTGATCGTGTTAACGCGACAGCCGCCGTCATTAGTAATCTGCTCAGTCTGCACACTGAGAAACTCAGGTGCCGGTCATTATTCATCGCCTTTGGGGGGTGGGGGATTAAAGGATACATTAGGATTATAGGGGGGGTCATATGGTTTTTAGGGAAACGAAAGGGAAAGGGGATCAGTCTTCATTAACAGAATATAAAGACGGGACTATCGAAAAATGAGTGTTTCTTTTGTTCCATTCACTGCCAATGAGGGGGATCATTAGATTTCCACAGGACCTAGTTGGGGGGGGAGGGTCATGCAAGCTTCACCGTACAAAGATCCTTCAATTCCCCCCGACGTTAAATAATAACCGTTCCCTGGTTGTAATCTCTTCCATTCGATAAAGTAGTTATCGTAGTGCATTTTGAGCTCCAATGCCCCTTTGATAAATTGGGTTTTATAGCTTGTCCTTTTGAAAAATATCTTCGCCTGAATTTTACAAGATTTGTCCTTAGCGATCCGAGTTAACATCCTACATCTTTAACGACACGCGTTTTTCCTTTTGCTTTATTCGTCTCTCTTTTTTGTCTTCTCTCTAACAAACAATTATTTCAATTCAATGCAATTCTCTGTGTTGTTAAAAACTGAAGGACTAAAAAGATCAAAACTTACCGCTTCCTTAACATGTCATTCTGATTATGGCATAGCCTTTTATTTACTCTTTAGTAATTTTCCTTCTGATGAATGGCAAAGGCAGATGTTGTTTTTCTCACATTGGTATCAAGTCGTTGCATCATTTAGACCCTACTTCTCCCCCTCTCTTGCGTAAGAGTATTTCTTTTCCGCTCGGCTGCAGTGAGTTGATTTTTAGCTTTCTTTTATTCAGTTAAAGTTCCTGCGGGAATAAGTCCTAAAAATGCGCAACTAATATAGTGGTTTCTGGAGCAACTGACTTTTGTTTCATTTATTTTTCCTTTATGTGACACATAGAAATCCCACCGCTTCCATCATAAATATAGAAGAGAATTAAACACAGAAATTGTCAAGAAACAAACGGCCGAAGAACCAAGGTAATTGCTTGAAGAAAAACCCTTGTTTCCGCGTTTTAAACTATAATGCTCGACTGAAAGTCTGTTGAAATCACTATGAAAAACAATGACTCCTCAACTGACGTTCACGTCTTGGAAACGTCCGAGCTTTACAAGTTCCTCGTGATAAGAAGAGTTGATGTACTCATTGTCCAAATAGAGCGCATGCGTATCTACAGCCGTCTGCCAATTGTACTGAGATAAATATAGAGTGTTGTGCTCTCCTCCACTCCTGGTGGAGTCTTAGACTTTCTAGTCAGTGTTCAGTTGCGACCTTGTGCTGTAAAACTGCACTGCTATAATTTAAATCAGAATATATGGAATATCGCTTTTAAAGCGAATATGTGCATTATAAAAATATTTCATCTGAATTTACTCGCTGGTTATTTTTATTCCGTCTTAACCTTCTTAATTTCAGCCATCAGTTTTGCTTTCTTTAAATAAACATCCAAGTTACCCATCTGCCTCATTCTCAAGACGAGTTTGCCTTCAAATGTTTTCCCGACTTGACCCAGATTTCGCCAAAGAACTTTTCAAACTAACACAGCGTTTCTCTTGTGTATGTGATATAGCTCCTTGAAGATATTTTTTTCAACCACTTTTGGTTGTATGATATATTGCTAAATTTCAGCAAAGGCGAAACTTATATCACCGATTCATTGCTCTATGTAGAACAACATGGAAGCTTATTGTTCCTCTTTTTAGCTATCTGACTCTCCGTAGCAGTCTTTCCTACATTAACCGTTCCATTTTTTCCATTCTGAACAAAATCTAACTGATCCGGTGGAAGAGGGAGGACAGTTCTTGAAGACGTTCTCTCTTTCTCTTTCTTCTTTACCCCGTCGTATACATGCTTTACAAGCTCCTCGAACGCTTCATTAACGTTTGTCGAATCTAGTGCGGAGGTTTCCATGAAGAGCATGTCTTGATCGATTGCGTATTGGTGGCCTCGTTTCGTTTCTACCATTCGTAGATGTTTCAGGTCGGATTTGTTGCCGATTATGATGACTGACAAGTCTGGCTCGGCGTGTTCTTTCAATTCTGTGATCCATTTGTCGAGGTTCTGGAATGACGTTACCTTGGCGATATCATAAACCAGAATAGCGCCCATGGCTCCGCGGTAGTAAGCACTTGTAATGGCTCGGTATCGCTCTTGGCCTGAAACGAGTAAAAGTCGTGGTTAAGCAGCATTTTGAACTGAAGCAATTTTTAATTGAGTGTCGAATATTATCCAGGATTGCATTGCATTTGCTTTGCTTCGTACTGTGATTGGTCAAAACAACTCGCGTCAACATTTAAACCAACCACGCGCAAGATTGAAACGCAACTTGGTCCCTAGCGCTTGAAGAAGTTTTCGCACGTTTACTTTGAAATCTAATTGGCTTCTTTCTGCGTTAACATGTTTATGATAAAAAATGAATCACTTTCCAAAAGAAATTTAGAATAGGCAGATTTCACTGGGAAAAATCTGACAGCAAATTTACAACACCTGAAAATGGTAACATTATGATTCCCGAAAATGCCTTTGCTTTAATTAGATTTTATAGGCTTTCTATTTTGCAGCTACTATAATTTTAGAAATTTTGCCTAGCGATCTCGTCTTTAGCTGATTTAATAGTGCTATTTCCAAATGGATTCAACTGGGTGGTGGATGGAACCTCGTGTCTTGCAATTATGGTCTGAAAGCGAACGCGCGCGCTTCGCATTCGTTCGAATTATAATCACACATATGAATTCAAACCATATTGCACTCCCGACTCAGTTCAAGAACTACCAAAAGCTATTACAGGGCGACCGTTATCAGAGCGAATCTCTGCTGCATGATAACTTTGCGGGTTCCTGTCTATGCAGACTTTGCGGATAATTCTATAGATAACTTCCGCTAAAACGCGATATCTTTTCGCCCATGTAAAATGCCATGAAATTACTACCTTCGGGCAGTTTGCATTCCTCGTATTGAGACTCACGCGGAATATCTATCTATCCGGTATTCCTCTTCAGTATAACTCGAAAAAATTGAAAATATTAGGAATGGTTAAGTTTAAATTTTCTCTTTTTCGTTGTTTACATAGTGCTTCTTGAACGTAACAAAATATAACGTTTGTTCCGTAGAACACAAAAAATCGCCAACCCATGAAAATAGGTAAACAAAAATCCTTATGTTACTCGGTACTAGATGTATCATTCCACCAATACTAAAGCAGCAGAAAACAGGTCAACATATTATAATATAATTGTTGACTTAGCCCTACGTTTTGATTTATAATCAATTATGGTAATTGAACAGTGTTGAGATTAATTCGGTCTGAAATTTACAAGCGTTATTTCATAGTCAAAAGAGCGTGAGTTTGTAACTGAAATCACAGGTATGATTTCCGTCCAAAATTGTCCCCCGCGTAGTTGAATTGCCTAGTAATAAAATCCTTTTGAAATCTCCTAATTTACTCGTCTGAGCACATAGCCGATATTCTTAACATAAGAATAAGAACATAATGTATTTTGGGTCTTTTCTTTCCGCGCAATTTGATCAGTTACTTTGTATTCGAAAGTTTGCTTTGTTCAATTTCCATTGGCTGTGACAATATACGCCATTTTTTCGAAAATCTTCTTCTATTTTCGGATCAGTAAACTTCAGCAAAATAATTGACAGTATGCAAAAGGTTCGGCTGATCGATACAGAAACAAATGAAGGGGAATACTGAAAACAGGAAGTAAGGCTTAACTTATTCAGTATCAGCTAATATCGAGCTACTTGCTTTAACACTTTACACCCTAAGATCAGTATGCATATTCTCCATACTGTTTTTTATACATTTCTAAGGTGCTGACAAGGAGAATTTGTTTAAGAATTAAAAGCTTCTTTAGTAGGTGATCTTTTCCTTAATTCTCGTGACCTTAATGTCTGATTCAGCTGTGCCACCGTAGGGAGAAATTAGATGCTAGTCACTCTTGGGAATCAAAGCGTAAACAATTCATGGTATATAGTGTGCAATCGGTTGTCAAAAGAGGTTAAATGCGTCTCTTTCAATACTGAATCTGTTACATGAGAAAAATAAGGAGATTAAACTTGGATTGTGTAGCCGTTGATACGAGAATAAAATTTTGTCAACCTTTTTGTTTGGCTTAGGTAAAGTTTAATTTTCGTGACAAAGATGATTTTTGTACAGCTATTTGCTAAAGAAAAATATGGGTTTCTTTTTATTTTTTTAGCCTGGCTCATGAATTGTGCAGCTTTGATAAGGGTAATTAGATCAATATATTTTATGCCTTAACTTATAACTTACATAAACAAAGGTATGTCTTTTTTTGAGCTGGGAACCTGAGATAACTTAAATACCTATATTTGTACCTTTTTGTCTTTTTGAAAGACCTCGAGTACGACGCCTTTGTTCAAAAAGACAAAAGAAATTTCAGGTTATTTCTGTCATAATTAATATAATGATATGTTCAACTTGCCTGCAGTGTCCCAAATCTGTGCGCGAATGTTCTTTTCTTCCACTTCAATGGTCTTTTGAGCCAGTTCTACGCCGATAGTTGCCTTTGAACCGAGATGAAATTCATTCTTGGTGTAACGGGATAACAAGTTCGATTTCCCTACTCCAGAATCGCCAATTAAAACGATTTTAAATAAATAGTCGTACGAATCATCGAAGCTGGCTTGTTGTTGAAGCATATTGTCTCAAGCGCTCTTATGTAACGCTGTGATAAATCAGAGAGTTTTAGACGAAATAATCGCACGCATCCAGCATCGTCAATTAAACTGATAGGTTCCTTATCCTTTGCTTGTTCCTTTCTATTTGATATTTACGCAATTCGTCTGCTTGAACTGCAAGGAAATCGAAAATCAAGTCACGTTTTTTTATTATGTTTTTAACTGCTCCGAAGCATCATACTAAAGCTGACTTGACTTGCAGATTTTCCTATCATATTCTGTATTATTGCATCAGTAACAGCTAAAATCATCAAAAAAAAAGTCTTCGTGGCTAGACGTAGGAATTACCTACATCTAGTACCGCGTGTATAATGTGTGTTATATGAATACCTGACATTTTCACTTTAAATCGCTGACGAAAATATCCCTGAACATCAAGTCTGTCGACTCATAGCTTCAAAGTTGATAATAAAACGTAGTTTGAAACTCGTAAATATGTCCATCAGAATGATAGAGATATATTTTTTTAATATTTTATCACTTATAACGTCTAAATTTAACTTACCTGGAGTAGTAAGCAAGTTTCAGTTGTACAACAACATATTAAGCGATGTCCACAATCGGTAAGCAATTAGTAAGCGTAAATATCGTTAAGATATTCTTTCCCGCCGTTTCTATTTCTCCTACGAAGTGCTTCGTTTTCTAAGCTTTAAGCAGTCTTGAATCACGGTATAAATAGGTTTACAGTTTCGTCTAATACGAAAGCACTTGATTAGAATGCTATGTTGTTTTGCTACGATTCCGTATGTTAATCAAGTTGTATTTCCATTCATCTTTAAACATGAGGTCAGGATGCGTTTGCTACGGCAGGTGACCTCATAAACAAAAGATTCTGAAGAAAATGGCTCTCAGTACGATAAAGCTATGCTTCTTAACTGAACCTAATCATCAATGAAATTGGGAACAATCTTGTTCAGACATAAATCTTATCAAATATTTCAGAAGTTGACAATGGTATCATTCACAGAACAAATATCGTCTCTCAGTGACCAAGTTACATATATTGTAAACTTCGTATTGTAAATTTAAGCGCCTTAGAATATTTCATAATTTTAGCGCTATATGAATCTAATATATTATCATAAAATTATAATAACCTGATCAGTTGGAAAACGTTTACAGGACATGCCCTGAAGACCAGCAGGAACCCGTCGAGGTGGATGGAAGCCCATATCCCTAGATAAAGGGTTCTTTCTTTGGCTGCTCTGATACAGTCTTGTAAAATCGATTTAAACCTAAAAAGAATTATTGTAACTTTGAAAGAAAAGAAAAAAACAAGAAGAAATTACAATATTTATTCATCATTTGTCTGGTTAGGAAATCTTCAGTTTGATGTACTTTGTGCTGTCCAAGTTTCATTGTTCAAGTGTACCCATAACTCCCAAGATGTGATTGTTAATTCTCCCCTCCTCCCCACAAATGCTCTTGTAAATTAGTGACGAGAATTTGATGTTAGAATAAGATTGCAACTTCTACCAGGTAAATTTAAGTTTTCTCATTACCTGTTTGCTGGATGGTTTATGAATATTGTAGGGAGAAGTTACATGTAAATCACGTCTGGGAGATACAGGGTTGAAGAGGTTTCAAATCAATCATTGATCCCAAATAACCAATTACCAAGTCGTGAAACAGTACGATAATAGTCTGTATCTCTTTTGCATGCAAATAGAGGCTTATTTCGTTGAATATTTTTCAGTTTCTTTGCGGTTTGTTTACAGTTTCAGCGGAGACCCGGATCGTGTGGGCAGATAGTCCAATGACAAGCTTCTCGAGTAGTGACGTAGAATCTAAATAAGTCATTATTTTGGATGGGTACAAATAACTGCAAGATTTCGCTGACTGGGGAATCTTTCGAGGACTATAAATTTGTGGACGTAACAGTGGTTGAGGACAGTTTGCCACCGGAGAGGTCCCATTTGACATGGTTTGGAAGGAAAATGGCAAGTTCGGCATTCACACCGGCCGAACCCTCCGAAAGACTTCAACGAGTCCTGGTAAAGCTGACTGCGGATTCCTTATCAAAACTGTTAGAAACCAAAGCATCCACTTCACAGACGAACAAGTCAGAGGTTGTCTAAAAAAGTTTCAAATAGGAGACGGCCTCGATGAAGACAATGTAGTGAAGGAAAGCCGTGATGATCACCAGTGGCGCTTTGGCGGTAGCAGGGGATATCTTGACGACAGAGTGTTGTATTCCCTTGGAAAACGTAAAAGATGGCTCGTATCAATGGTTTTGAGAGATAAAATACCCGAAGATTTCGACGCTGAAAACGATTACAAGGTTATCCTTGTAGAAAGACTATCAGTCCAGGGGTCTTCGTGGTACTGTTCTTCTCCAAGGCTCAGGCGAGGCGATTGTCGGGCGGTTTTAGAAGGGGAAGAGGCGAGGAAACCGAAACGAAGAAAGTTCGCCCATGTCGGCGATTTACGGGGTAAATCGAACGATTCCAGCAAAACTGAAATCGTTTACGAGGTGAATCAAACGGAACCTTCTTCATGTTGGCCAAGCTACCTACAGCACGATCGCGACTGGAGGGAATTCAGAGCGGAGAACAAGGCTCGATGTAAAACAAAAGGGGTGAAGAACAAAACACGTTTATGGGGAGAGCTTAGTAAGTACGATTTGAACAAGACTACCCACCAAACTTTGCAAGAAAGAATTCTTGATTTCAGCCCAGAGACTGATCTCGGTAAGGACGAGCTTGTTTCAAGCTCAGATAACCAAGAGAACTTTTCACTATTGAATAAATGTGACTTTGATGTAGGAAAATACATTTCTGAAGTTTTAGCTGCAACTGCTGCAAAAAGTGACCGTAAGATCGGTAAGAAAAATGGAAAGACAAGTGTCCTCAAGGAGACAGAATTAACGGCTGTTAACCCTGCTTCTTCTCAGTTAGTCAAGTCCCATGGAAAAGGTTCTGCAGTGCATGTTGACCGTGTTAACATTTGGGTTGGTATCCATGATGACCCAGAGACTGGCACTACAATTGCTCATCCAAGTGTGCCAGTAGCAACTGAGAGTGTTCCCCAGAATAGGTCATTTTCTCTAGATGTTGACATCATCAGTGGCAAACTTGACATGCATGCATTGCAGGTGCAATTTGGAGAGATGTACATAGAGGGTGAAAGTATACCCCGGAGATTCAGTATTGGCCTCTCAGATCCATCCACAAAGTTTGTCTTCACATGCCAGCCTTATAGTATTAAGACTACAGAGGAGAGAGCTGAAAGAGTTAGTGTTTCTGTTGTGAGTGATGCCCTGCCTTCCCAACAATCGCAGCACTGCAAGGAATTCTTGGAGAATTTCTTTGGTATTTTGGAGCATGAAAGCAAAGTTATGGAAAAACCCCTACCTGCTGATAAATGTTCACTTGGTTGCAGCCCAAACACAAGCAACAGCCAGCTCAACAGAGTAGCAGTCATGCCCTTTGATTTGTTGTACGATATCAATAAATGTTCCCACAAGGCATCCACTGTGAGTCTGGCTTTACCTGATATTCTGAGAACTGTTGCACTTTGCCCTGCCCCATCAGTTGTGGCTGCAGATGGAGGAGCTAAAACTACCAATATACCTGAGACTGTTGTATGTGAAGTCTGTTGCTGTGAGTTTTATCATTACACTTGTGATGGTAAGTAATAATCTTTTTCTCTAATCCTGTCAACTTGTAATAAGAGATGCTCAGGTTTTATGTTTAGTACACTAGAATCAAGTTTTAACCCTAACCCAAGGTACTTTGTTTTGGTCTTAAAAAAAACATATAATTTGCCTCTCTGTCCAGCTTCCATTAAAAAACCCCAATAACTTAATAGCTATATTTTACAAATGAATCAAATATTAAGAAATAGAGAAGCAGGTTTTAGCACCCTAACCACTCCATTTTTTGTTTAGCAAATAGTTTTATTGTATACCATTCAAAAGTTTTTAAACCCACATCTTGAATGAAAAAAGAACTACTTATGGGTCTGTCAAGTTACAGGGAGGTACAAGAAATGGTTCTGGCTTGGAGTCTAAATGGGTACTTGTACTTACAAATAGACAAAGAAACTCATCATAAATGCGGCAGGGTCATTTCTTGTACTACTATCCAGGCTTGAGATTTTCATGCTATTTTCTTGTGTTCAAATTTAACCCTAGACTTCTGAAATAAGTTGTTCAAACTTAGCCACAAATATTTTGGTTCCTAAGTTGTACAAACATTTTTTAGTCCAACAGATGTATAACCAATTTGTGGAATATTGCAATAGAACCCTGACACAAAAAAGTATTATGAGATAGAAAATAGCTCTATATATTACTTTATTATATTACTTTACTTCTTAAGGGAGAGATATTGTTTGTTGTGGTATTGTAACATTGTAACCAAATTTCCTACATGATACTTGATTATTTGTAAGTCAGAAAGAGTTCATTTATTATCCTAGCTGTATTCATTATAAATGAAGGTACATGTACTAATATTACATTGTAAGACTGTTCATGAGTTTTAACGGTATAATTTGTAGTTAAAAGCCACTTGCAGTGTATTTTACCATTAGCAAGACTTGTAAAAATAGTTTTTGGAACTTTTAGGTACATTTACAAAATAGAATTATGTAAAAAATAGTTTTTGGAACTTTTAGGTACATTTACAAAATAGAATTATGTAAACACAAGTAGGCTCCTGTAAGTAAGTTTTCTTCTCTTATCTAACTGCTGGCATTCATTACTTTTAGTTACAAGGACTTTGGCTTTTCCTTGCACTGCTCTGAAGTCCTGTCTTCACTGGTTCTGCAATGAATGCTGGAAGGCTTATCTCTCTGCACAGTTACAACAAGGAAAAGTATTCATCAAATGCCCAGCATATGACTGCAATACCATTGTTGATGATGTCACACTTATGGGTCTTCAACCCAACAAGTTCCATAAATTGATAGCCATGAGACAAGAAAAAGCCGTGGAGATGAGTTCTAAGTGGAAGTGGTGTCCTGGGAACAAGTGTAACCTGGTTGTCAGGGCAGCTTCACTCAAAGGCTCTAAAGACATAGGGGACAAGAGTGCTTCATTGCCTGTCCATTGTCCTTGTGGGCACGACTGGTGTTTTTCTTGTCAAGAGGAGCCCCACTGGCCAGCGTCATGCTATGAGGCTAAATTTTTTCGCTCACAGACTGAAACATATGAAAAAATTTTCAAAACAAAAACTGGTGGAATAACTTCTGTGAGCATAAAGAGGTGCCCTCACTGCAGCTATCCCATTGAAAAGAATCAAGGATGTCCTCATATGGTTTGTGGCATGTGCAGGGGAGAATTTTGTTGGACCTGTCTTGGACCCTGGAATGATGATCACTGGAGTGCAGACTGCAACCAAAAGTTTAAAGAAGAGGAGGAGGTAGAGTTAGTAAATGATATTGGATCAACACGATTTAATGCCAATTTGCGGGTTGCCATTGTGCACCGCATGGCTAAAGCTGGTCCCATGTTGTACAAGAAGTACAGTGCTGTTAAGAAGCTTGAAGATGCGTTGCATGCTCAAGAAGCTTTTCATAACCATTGTCTTCATGTTAAAAGATCAACACCATCAAGTGTTAGTTTGTTGCTGAGCCTTTACAACTCTCATCATCTCCCTAAGTATGTCAAACTGTCAGCCGATTTCAAGTTTTTAGCTCATTTTGTGGTAGAGAATGTCTCAATTTTAATGGCAGTTTCCAAAACAAAAAGGGGACACAATATGCTGAAGAGACTTGTATCAACCCTGCTGTTTGTAGCAGACAGATTGGAACATATGGCTAGTAACAGAAAACTTTACTTGCAAAGGGACAAAGTGCACTTTGAAATGCTCTTGAAAGCAGGGAAGCATTGCATCCACTGTGTGAGAAGGATCTGCATAAACATTCATCAGCACTGATAGAGAAACTTTTGAGAAACATTAGATTGAAATTGTCATTTGGACTGTGCATATATAGTGAACAGTTATGTACTACCTTAAAAATTTGATTAAGAATGATGTGAGATAGAATATAGACTAACTCATTGGAGGGATGGGTATTAGGGGAGATATGAATAATGAACAATGAAATGTGAGTAGGATCCAGCTGAACACCTGGAACTGTAAAAGTATACCTTGATGACTGATAATTTTTTTTTGGTATACCAAATCATTGAAATTTCTTCTGGATTTTTCAAATAAAAAAGTACTTTAAAAAAAAGTTTTTGAAGATTTTCTCCGTAATAGCACGGGTACAGGAAAAGCGTGGATGAGCGCGTTCCTTTGCTCATTTGTTTACTTAGCCTGAATGTAGACATAAACAATTCTTGTCTGAGGAAAGTCTTTATCACCTGCTTTTGAAAAAAAATTGGAACAAGAGCTTGATTAACTGTCAAATTTTCCTGTTCAATTTTTTGGGAAACATACAGATTATTTCATGGAAGGTGCACACGAGCGATTTTTATTCACGAGTAGCGATGCATAGAAAAACGAACGTGTGAGCGCAGAAAACGATTGAGTTTTTTGATGCATCGCAACTCGTGAATAAAAATCGTGCAATCTCTTTTCGTGGTATGATGTTTTTATTTCATGAGCACTCCGTTTTATTTCCTTACTGACCGACACATTTAAAAATCGGAAGCGAACGACTTTGAAAATACATCTTTAAAAACATTCGCAATTTTAGTCATTTATGTGCGCGCCTTAGCGGCGACAGCGCGAGAGGCTTAAGACGGAATTGCACCTTATATTCTCAATAATACTTTCTACATATCCCCTAAGGTCCGCGTGCATGCATTGCATGCCTATAGTCCTCTCAGGAAACCGAAGTAGACTGGTACTACATTTTGAAAAAGCAAAATGGCGACCAAGATAGGTCGTGAAAAACGCGCTTCGAAAAAACCTGAAACACCAAGGTTAGTAAAGACAAAAGCACAGTTTGATTTTCTTAAAAAGTTAAGAACCATAATATTATTTTGGGTCTGTGAGTAGCGATCTACCTGCCTTAACACAGTTGAAACCTAAGCCTTTACATAAGTGCATGTGAGCTTGTTTTGGTAACCCACGTGTTTTTTCGGAAAGCGACTGGAGCTTTTAAGTTAGAAATCGAAATCTTTTAGTCAACAATTTTTAGCCTAAGTGAAGTTCAGTGATTACCGAAGATTCGTCGATGAAAGCAATCCCTCAGAAAGTCGTGAATGTTACTTGGAAATCAGCCCTCAATTAAGTATGCTTCCTCATGATTCATACATGCACGAGTGTGATCATCGTTAGATGTCGTGAGCAAGAAAGATTCCAAACTGTTGACTCTCATTTCCCGAATGTTAACATCAAGGGATGTGATTGCATGTGCATGTCTGTTAACGATTTTCACAAGGCATAACGCTAAGTGAAACAGTTGTTACCTTTGTTTGCATGCATGTATTGTAGCAATCTCTTTTATTTGTGCAACAACTGCAGAACAACTTTTTAGAACTTCATGCTAAAAATGCTGTGGCTTGTAACTGCAAATATACTTGTACTTGATTTGCTCACATAATTCAGGGGTAGTCTTATGACTACTAAGTAAGGCTTGTAGACAGGAAGTGGCTCTCTAGAATTTGTCCAGATGAGAGTCCTAAGGTGGGGGATGCGTTTTCTACTGACCTGTTGCCCAGCTTGAATGAATACTTTGAAATTTAATGTTATGTAGGGGAAAAAGGAAGGAAGGGGGCCTATTGGATTATTTCAATATAATATCTATTCTTTTTTTCACTTTCATTTCTTATTATTGTAAAATTTCATGTTTGCTATTGCTGTTATTATTATTGTTGTTGTTGTTGTTGTTGTTATCCCAGCTATTATTGATGTTAGCATTATTATCTTAGCTCATCACTTTTTTTATTCAATAGCTTTTTTGACAAAAGAAATGCTGAGGAAGTTGACTTTCCCCGTGGTGGTGCTTCTGCCTTAAGTCCACTTGAAGTGAGGAAAATCAAGAATGAGGCCGAGAAGGATGTTCTGTTTGGGGTAATGGAACAACTTGGATTATCAAATATGACAAATTCATTAATCTGTTTTCCATTAGAGAAATTTTCAATGAAAATAATTCAAGATTTAGATTTTTGCTTTAAATCTAACTACATGTATTATCAGGTTAAAGGCTTTTAAAATTGAGAACACATGTAGTCATAACCCTTGACCTTGAATGCTTGACCTTGTTACTTGTAGAAGTCATCAGTAGATCCAGAATTGCTCCCAAAAAGTGGAAAGAAAAGTAAGAAACCCAAGAAGTCTGAAGTGGATGATAACAAGCCTGAATTTATAGAGAAGTCTAAATCAAAGTTTGTGGAAACTCTGACTTTCAAGGTACAGTTGTGTCTTGTGACCTTTTTATACTTTTTATGTATTTATCAACCATTTTGATGTTAAGCATATACGGGGCTAAGTGTGATTTAGTCAGGGTTAAAATGCATGTCAATGCAGCAGTTTCACCAATGGGATATGAGGAATTCTAGGAAGCTTTGATACATTTGAGATGGTCTGCACTTTGCCCTTAAGACTGTGGCGTGAAGGGTCTATTTCTATCACAGAACTTTTAACCCTTTAACTCCCTGATGTGATTAACATGTAACTTCTCCCTATAATATCCATACACTATTTAGCAAACAGGTGGTGAGATTACTAAAATTCATCAGGTACAAGATGTTGCCTTGACTGAACACCAAATTCTCATAACCAATTTACCAGGAAATGTGTAGAAACTAGAGGGGAGAATTAACAATCAGATCTTGGGAGTTAAAGGGTTAATTAAAGAGACCTAAAACTCTTGACAAGCTTAGTACATGCTCAATACTTTTGCTCTCTAAATTTCTTACAGAAACTCTATGTGGGAATGAAAGTTCTGGGAGCTATCCGCGAAGTAAATGAATATGACATGGCTATAAGTCTGCCAAATGGTTTGGGTGGATTTGTTCATATTACAAACATAAATGAGAAGATCACTGAGAGATTAAAGAACATCTTAGAGGTTGATGAGAGTGGAAACACAGAGGTTAGAGAGTACTTTAAATTGCAAGGCACCAATATCCAAAAATATGTTATCAAGGGTTGTTTTAGTTTTGATGTTGAACTCAGGACTCCCTCCCCCCCTTAAAATTAGTAAATTAACTCTTAAGCTTCCATGAAGGACCAACACATTTCCTCCTTGCAATAATAACACATTATAAAATAATTCAAATAGTACATGTGCTCTGATTGGCCATAAAACCATTTTACATGAGTGTATGTAAACACGGATTTCGTTCCTCTTTCATTAGTTATTTTATAAAAGAAATGTAAAATGGTTTCCGTGTTTACATAGCCTGATGTAAACACTTGGGAGGTTGGGAGAACACTCCTACACTTATCTCGTGTTCTCCTTTATATCAGGCTATGTAAACATGGAAACCATTTTAAATTTCTTCAATATCAAACAGACAAGTGATGAAAATAGAGAAAAATATCAATTGGGATTGTTAAGTGATCTAATACTTAATTCTTGAAACTCTGTCATACAGAGTGTATGACAGTCAGTAAGGAGAATTGAATGAGATCTCAGGAGTGAAGGGAATTATGAAATTATTGGGCACTAATCAGATTCTTGAAGATCACAGATGTCCCAGGCACACATCATGATAAAAAATTTTACTTGACCCTTGCTAACAGGCAATGTTGTGTTGTGGAAGGTGACATTCATATGATGTGTGAGAATGGAAAGTTGAATTTTTGAATTGTGAAATGCTGTGTTTTGTGAATAAAACTGACTACATGTGAGTAAATTTTATCGTGAAAAAGGTCACATTGAATTTCTTTAAGCTTATTTTTTCCAGGGACTTTTTAATTTTATAGTGTGTCTAGACTAGAAAAGACATCATTTGTTTGCTGTTTTGTAAGTGCAAGATATCATGTACAGGAAAACTCTATCTTTTTTTACACAGGACACACCAAGTTTCCCAGGGCTTGCAAAATTCTTTACCGTAGGATCTCTGGTGCAGTGTTCAGTCTTGGAAACTGAAGGCCCAAAACCTGGAAAAAAGAAAATCAAATTATCTGTGGATCCTAAAGAGCTTAATAGTGGCATCACCAAGTTATCTTTAAAGCAAGGGATGGTAAGTACATGTAGAATTGATAATCATTGGATTATAAGAGATGTTTACCCTTCATGCATACTTTTATCTTTTTTCATCATTAAAAAGTCAATACAGATAAGAATTGCAGCATATTCATCCAAATATGTTCTCTAAGAAGGGAGACCAGAAGGGGTTGGAACCCGTGGTTAAGTTGGGTGAATGGCCAACTACAATGTACAGGACCAGTGCTCTACATGTTCCAATTATGTGTACCTTGTGTATATATCATGAGTGGCAGAGGAAGTTGGTATACCTCCCCTAACTGGGTGGTTGATAACCTTCCACTCAGCATAATAATCATAGATAATGTAATTAATCTCAAATAAGTTAAAATTTAAATCTCCCCTTTCTCCCCCCCTCCCCCCCAAGCAATGTTGCCTGTAATAAGTGAGCATTAATGCAAACACTAGGCAACTGAAATGAAGGAGAAGAGGGAGATGAATGAAAGATGTAGAAAAGATTCAGATTATGGTACAGTGCACTAAGACTTTTGCCACTCATTGTACATGTAGCTACCTACTGTACATGTACCACATAAATGAATGCTATTTATTGATCATGTATGTTGGGTGATTAACATCTTTGTGAACATTTCTTTTAGCTAAGTGAAAACTGACCGATATATCATTCACTGGTTTGTTCTGATTGAGTAACACATCAAGTGCCTCCTTACAGATCATTTAAAGTGGCTAAATTGTGCTAATCAGTTGCAAACATTAATTTCATTTTAAAAAATTGTAGGTCCTTTCAGGGTTTGTAAAAAGTGTTGAAGACCATGGCTACCTCATATCATTTGGCATTGATGACACAACAGCTTTTCTACCAAAGACCAGTCTAAACAGAGGTATCAATTGAAATTAATTGGAATTTTGTAATTTGCTTATGCACAAACCACATACTTTAGTATACACACACCATGCGTATGTTTTTTTAGATGACTCTTCATAGAACAGTGTTTCTGTCATTTTCAGTCTAAACAGAAACAATGGATGATGATTTATAATTTTTATGATTGCTCCTTTTAGAATTTGAAGAGGGGAATCCCCTTTCACTGTTAATTAAGTCTGTGGCAAAAGAGCAGAGAATCATAACAGTCAGTGTGGACACAGATGAGGTTCAAGGTGCAATGGTATGTACATGTCACTGTAAACAACTTTACTGCACCAGCTGTAAGCAGCAAGGCTTACGTTAATGATCCCTTGTACATAATTACATTTTAAAATGTTTATTACCAATACTATTGAATGCTGTCATGGTTCCTTTAGCCTCTAGCCTCTAGCACCTATTAATGAATAAACTGCACTTCTTTTAATTTTACCTGTTAAAGTAATTTTCTTGTTTTATTTAAATAAATACCATTTTTGTGAGTAATAAAAGTTTGTTGTTGTTGTAGATTACAGAGGATATGAAATTGAAGTTCTCAGCACTTCTTCCTGGTATGCTTGTCAAAGCATCTGTAACTCAGGTAATATCTTAGTCCTTGTGATATATACTGTATCTTAGTTCTGACTGGAGTTTGGTTTTATACATTTCAATAAAAAAGTGCTCTATCCTGGAAAATTCCACATGTTTTGTGCTAGTAATGTCATTGTCCCTATAAAAAAGACTTTTGTTACAACACAGGTGACTCAGAGTGGTCTGATCCTGGATTTTCTGGGAGGATTTGAAGGATCGGCAGACATAATTCATCTTCCAAACTGTGGTGGGGATGGAAAGAATTTGGAAGAAACCTACCCATTGAAGAAAAAGGTTATTAGATATGATGTCACACATAACTAACTATGTAATATAGTTCCCAGCTATAGTTTTTCCCCTTTTTTTTCAATGTATAAATAACTAGTGGAGGATGGGTACACTTATACCCAAGGTGTGTAACCAAAACCCCCCTAAAAATTTCATGAAAATTTAGTGTTTTGAGTATCAATTGTTACTCCATCTTGTTTAATACACATGTAGAGTGAAATTTAACCAGTGAGGTTGTTTTATTGTATACCGTATTTACTTGTAACTAGAGAATTAGGGCTTATTTAATTTTTGCACCTTTAGGGTGACACTGCTTATTTGAAAATTGTATGCAACAAAGAAACATTCTCTTTTAATTTAATGGTATACTGTACATGAAAAACTAAAGGCTTAAGAAAAACAACTGTTATCACAAATTAGATAATCAGCTAAATTTCTTATGATTTTGATGCTGTAGGACTTCCTTCAAAAACGAATGGAAGACTTCAGTTCATCAAAATATAACCACGTTAATATGCATTGAAGGGTGCTTTTTTTTTTTGAGCCCTGAACTCTTTCTGCTTAAGCTCGAAACTTTTGTTTCTTATGTAGACTGAATTTGATTGTTTAGTTTTGAAAAAATGGCTATCACTTCAAGTGAGAAATCACTTCACACAACTTCTGAAAAAAAAATTCTGAAAGCTACATGTATCCTACATGAAGGTTTTTCCATGGGAAAGACCTTCAAATGAAGTGTAGCCATCCAATTAAATCACCTGTTTATGCAAATAGTACAGTTTGCTATCAGGCTAGGTACACATCGGCACACATTGGCACATATCGGAACACATCAGTTTACATTGGCACTGATTGGTACCCATTGGTACATATTGGAACACATTGGCACATATTGGCACACATTGGTACACATGGTGTGTGATATTTTCCTCCCTAGTTCCTCCCTAATGCATCTTTTGTTGTTTGCTTCTTTGGTGTATTGACAGGTGAAATGTCGCATTCTGTATGTAAATGCCAATAAGAAGACAGTAGGTGTAAGCCTTCAAGAGACAACTGTACTCCATAAAACTGCAACCTTTGGTCAGTGGTCAGTTGGTGATGTCATTGATGATGCCGCTGTGTTCAGAGTTGATCAGAAAATGGGTTTATTTTTGAATTTGTCCGATGGAATTCTTGGATTTACTCATGTAAGTTTTATAAACTAGTGAAAGAGATTCAACCACGTGGATACACACACTGTACTCCTTTGTACCTGCATTTAACAAAGGTCAAAATTATTGTTACTCAGGGCTCAGAAATTTTATAAGGTTTGTCTTTATTTGGATTTGCTCAGGTTGATGCAAAAAATGCCTTTTTAAGGTTTACAGTGTCAGGTCAAATTTGCTCAAAATGCTTGAAATGACAGATGCAGACCTGCCAATCCCCCTGGTTATAATCCTACATCTAGGATAGAGTGTCTTGCCCATCAAAATGACACCATTCCATGGTCAGATCTACGCCTTTGCTTTTGACCTCTCAAGATGGGGAACCTTTTGTTTATTACCAGTTTTCCCTGAGAGTGCTGCTGACATTGTTTCATTTTGGACTTTAGATTTCTAGAGTGTCAGATGAGCATGTGGAGAAACTGGGAAAGAAGTATAAAGTTGGAACCACTCACAGGTAAATTGAACCCCCTTGTAGCATGATGATTTTTCAGGAGTTTTATTTTTTATTGGAAAAACTTGTGTTGTGGATGAAAAAAATGGTTGCATTTCCAGATTACCAAAATTTCTGATACAACCTAATTTTGAAATTTGATTTCTTAATAAAAACAAGAATCAAGCTAAAATTGTACATGTTTGTCTACCTTTTGTGTAGTTCCCCAGAGTTCTCCATTCAGTAGCATTTAAATTTACAGAACTTTTTTTCTGGGAGAACTTTATACGTGGTCAAGGACTATTTACAAAATCTTCAAGAATTGAAACCTACACACTTTTTGTCAACATACCAAGGTTTGATTAGTAATCCTCCCCTTTAGCTGCTACACTTTTCTTTTTAAATAAGTCACAAGAATTTGGTGTTAGATCAAGACAACAACTTCTACCAGATGAGTTTGTGTATTCTCATTACCTGTTTGCTGGATAAGGTATGGATATTGTAGTGAGAAGTTAGATGTTAATCACATCTGGGATTGAAAGAGTGAACTACCTTAATAAACATCAATAGCAGGAAAACTATCAGTTAACCCTTTAAGTCCTGGATCAAATTTAGAATTCTCCTTACTGTCAACTATACAACATTTATAATGGTAGTTCAAAGAATTTAGCACTTGGTCAATTAATAATCACCAAATTGATATTTTTCTTTATTCTCAACACTTATCTGGTTGATATTGTATTGATATTGTAAGGAGAAATTCTATCTTGGTCACTCATGGGAGTTAAAGGGTTAAAAAATTTGGTGCAAGAAGCACTTTCTTGTAAATTTTTCAATAACAACAAATTTCACTTGCCCTATGGGCTCATGAAACTTTGTTGTCTTCGAAAAATTTACTTGTGCTTATTAACATCAAATTGCACTCAAAAATATTTTGTTTTGGCCTGGTTTCACTCATCATCATTTCTAATGTGTATATTATCTTTCAGGTGCCGTATCCTTGGTTTCAATTCGCTGGATGGCTTGGTTAACCTGACTATGGAAAGGTGAGTTCTTGAGTTGTTTACTTGTTCATGCAACTGCTTGAATATGTAACGACATTTATGCCACTCAGTTTAACTGTTTTGAATTTCTTCTTGTTCTATTTTTAACAAATTCAATTGCCCTGCACTTCATCTTTGTCATTAAAGCACATCGATGTACATGTTTGTATAAAAGATTTTAATGCTTTCTGTGATGATCTTATCTTTACTTGCAATCAGCTCAATAACCTTTTTTTTTCTTCTTTCTTTTGATTCACATTTGTGCAAACCTAACGTTAGTGAAACGGTTCTTGCATTATCTTCAAAATGATTAAGACACTTAGATACAGCAATGCAGTTGTACATGTATATAGAGACTTCTTTTTGCTTTCTCGTTCAAAGGTCTGTCATTGAGCAACCATTTTTGAGTTATCGTGATATCAAGCCAGGAGAATTGGTTAAGGTAAGATGACTGCCAGCCCTTGGAAGGTTTTCTTTCCTTCTTTGTCGGGGGGTTGTTTTCTTTTCCACTCTCCCCACTCAAGTGGTCGTAATTTTCTCTTTACATGAAGACTTCTAGCAAACTTTTAGCAGTAGGGGGGCAGCGCGTGCATTATGCCTTAGCAATTGGATAGGAAGCATTGTTTGCATATTATTTTTTTTAGTTGGCGTTTTGGTTTCATTTTCTTGGGGAAAAAATTAGTTGGTTAGTTTGTTAGTTCACCAGCGGCTCCTTGGCTTCTTAAAGATTTTTCATAGTTTTGATCAATCGGTATAAGGACTTTGTGTCTTCAAATTCTTTCAAAAGTCTTACTGGTGATTAATAAATTGGACTGTGTCTTGCTGCTGTGTGATCTTGTGTATCAGCCATACAACTAAAAGACCAAAATATACTGCACTCGGTCCTCTTACCACTATACCAGCTTAAAAACTTTGCAGTCAGTTAAATTACTGGTCATAATAGCTCCTGGCTTTCACCTTTCAATGATTTTTTCAAAATGATATTTTTATACGTTCTTCTTTTTTTTTGTAGGGAAAGATAATGAGCTTAGAGAAGTTTGGAATGTTTGTCTCTTTGACGGACCACATCAAAGGCTTGTGTCGTACACTTCATTTAGCGGATATAAATCTTCAACATCCAGAGAAGAAATTAAAAGAAGGAAAAACTGTTAAATGTAGGGTACGTAAGTGTGCGGGAAACTTTTTATTGAGAAATGTTTAATTCTGTAATTCTGTCATGGATCAGAAAGAAGATTATAGGGACTCTATGTGTAGTTCACAATTGCTATTCTACTACAATGAGGTCATGAGATTTACCAAATGAGGTCATGAGATTGCGCAAAATATGCCACTGTATTCCACTGCAGAACAGGGCTACACTGAACGATCCTGACTTTGAGGATTCACTTTCACTCGATTTCACGGTAGTATATCGCGCACTCTGAGGAATCCCCTTCATCGATCGTTACGTTAGTATCTCGCGCAATATAAGGATTCTCTTTCATCGATTGTTTCGTTAGTAGATCGCGCACTCTGGGGATTCTCTTTCATCGATTGTATCTTTAGTATACTGCGCAATCTAAAGAATCTCTTTCATTAATTGTAACGTGAGTATATCGCGCAATCAGGATTCTCTTTCATCGATACTAACGTTAGGAAATCGCGAACTGTTAGGATTCTCTTTCATCAATAGTAACGTTAGTATCTCGCGCACTCCAAGGATTCTCTTTCATCGATTGTTTCGTTAGTATCTCGTGCACGATAAGGATTATCTTTCATTGATTGTAAAGTTTGTATCTCGCGCACTCTAAGGATTCTCTTTTATTGATTGTAACGTCAGTATATTGCGCACTCTAAGGATTCTCTTTCATTGATTGTAACGTTAGTATCTCGCGCACTATAAGGATTCTTTTTCAACGATTGTAAAGTTAGTATATCGCTCACTGTGAGGATTATCTTTCATCGACTGTTACGTTAGTACCTCGCGCGCTCTAAGGATTCTCTTTCATCGATTGTAGCGTTAGTATATCGCGCGCTCTAAGGATTCGCTTTCATCGATTGTTACGTTAGTCTCTAGCGCACTCTCAGGATTCTTTTTCATCGATTGTAACGATAGTATATCGCGCACTGTGAGGATTATCTTTCATTGATTGTTACGTTAGTATGTCGCGCACTCAGTACTCTTTTTCGAGGATTTTTACGTCAGTGTATTGCGTACTGTAATATAGGATTCTCTCTGATCGATTGCTACGTTAGTATATCACGCACTCTTAACATTTTTTTTTCATTGATTGTTAGAGTAGTATATCGCACTTTCTAAGGTTCTCTTTTATTCGATTTTTACGATAGTATCTCGCGCATTCTAAGGATTCTCTTTCATCAATTGTCATGGTAGCTTAGTACGCACTTTGAGGATTCTCTTTCATCGAATGTGCCGTTAGTATATGGCACTCCTAGGATTTCTCTCATCGACTGTTATGTTAGCATATGGCGCACTCCTTGGATTTCTCTCATCGACAATTATGTTAGTATATCGCGTACTTGAAGGATTCTCTCTCATAGATTGTTACGTTAGGATGTCACGCACTCTTAGGATTTTTCACACCAATTGTTAGTTAGTATATCGTACATTTTAAGGATTCTTTGCCATCAATTGTTACGTGAGTTAATCGCACACTATAAGGATTCCCTTTCATCTCTTTTTTAATTCAATCGTTTGATTAGTATCTCGGGCATGCTTAAGATTCTCCTTTACCTATTGGTTCGTTAGTATCTCGGCCACTGTAAGGATCCTCTTCCTTTCAATTGTTTTGTTAGTATCGTACGCACTCTGAGGATTGTCTTCCTCGTAAATGTTTTGTTAGTATCTCGCGCACTCTAAGTGTTGTCCTTATTTGAATTGTTTCGTCAATATCTCGCGCATTCTTAGGATTGTCATTCTTTTAATTGTCTCGTCGGTATCTCGCGCACTCAACGGATTCTCTTTCGGTCGAATGTTATGATAATATCTTGCGCACATTGAGCATTCTTTTTTTATTCAATAATTTCGTCAGTATCTTGTGCACTCTGAAGATTCTCTTTTAATCGAATGTTTCGTTTGCGTCTTTCGCGTTTTACGGATTTTTTTTCCTTCCATTGCTTTGTTTGTATCTTGTGCACTCTGAGAACTCTTCTTCTTTTGATTAATTCTTTAGGATAAATGCAGTGTAAGGACTCTCTTTCGATCAATTGTTTGTTTAGTTTCTAACGCAGTCGGAGGATTCCTCTTTCATGTAATTGTTTCAATAGTATCTCGGGCACTCTGAGGATTCTCTTTCATCGGATTGATTCGTTGGGGTCTCTTGCATTCAGTTACAGACTGTTGTCTTCAACATGTATTTTTAACTAGCACAATTGTTTCATTTTAAGGCTGGTGTACTAAGATTTTTTTAAAATTATTTAAAGGTTCTCTCAGTTTGGCCAGATCGACGCCGTTTGCTGCTCACTCACAAGAAGACACTAATAGAGTCATCGCTTCCAATCATCACTGAGTACTCTCAAGCACAGCCTGGAGTCAGTTGTCATGGCTTTGTTGTAGCCATCAAAGACTTTGGCTGCTTTGTATTATTTTACAATAATGTCAAGGGCTTGGTGCCACTACGTGAGCTTGGGTGAGAACAGTGTGTTTAAACAGTCAAAAACTGAGTGGAAGGTGAAGTTGCCTCGTCATGCGAAGATTCGTTAGCAAAAAATTGGAAATAAGAGTTGATATGGTGGCCACAGATAAAACCAAGGGAACTGCCTAAAGCGCGGGAAAACGCGGACGGGCAAGTTGTGATTGGTTTTAGATGTGCGGCCCTGCTGATTGGCAAAGGGGATGGGGCGAAATTTTTGGACCAATCAAAGCAGTCCTTCATGACTTTCGATACTCATTTAAACATTGCTGATTGGTTGGTGCGCTGGACCCTGGATCGAAAGGTCTGGGTTCAAGCTTTGACTGGCTCTTTGTGTTGTGTCCCTGAGCTAGACACTTTAATACCTAAGTGCCTCTACCTCCCCCCCCCCCCCCACTCCCCCTTGAAAAGTATAAATGCCCTTTGCTGAACTTTGAAGAAACCTGACACCCCGAGAGCCAACGATTTACTCGGTGATTACCCAGAGGTTTTGCGCGCAGTGGACAAGCATCCCATCCAGCGGGGGGAGGGGTGGGGGAATACCTTTAGTTTCCCTATGCTACAGGAAAAGAGTCTCACCAGTCATGGACTTCTTAGCCTTGAAGACTTAACCTTTGGTATTCAATTGTGATTGTGAACAGGATTCCGGCTGATACTGATCCTCGCAGTGCATTCTACCTTGGACAAGTCGTGTTGTGCCATGTGTTGAGTTGTGAGCCAGACCAGATGAGGTTAAGGCTATCGTTGAAGGTATGTTGGCTAATTATCACAAACTCCGACCTTGCTTTCTACAACTGTTGTAAGTGATGGGTGGTTAATCCTCGTTAAACAGACTCGCGTAAGTTAGACACCCTCTCGGGCAAGGTAAATAACTCTCACTTTTCCTCTCCTTACTGTGGAGTACATGAACAGCACGGGTGGATGCTACGAAATTGTCAGGTGGAACCTTGTTAAATCCTGAAGTTAACTTCAATTTTAGGATCGGAAAGTTCCGCCCCATTGTAAATTTGCCCCCTTTTGCACGTACTTCTCCCGCATAATGAAGAGTTCCCCCCATTTTTATCAGTGCACCCCAAATCTTGTAACTCGTTTTAAGTTAAAACATGTCTTTTCTGACGGAACAATCCAGCGTTTGACACAAGGTAGAACATTTGCATGTTAATCAAAATTCTTTACATACTTTCAGAAAAGTTCCAGGCCTGGTCCTGCTTTGGAAAATGTCAACATTACAACATCCGTAAGTAAATAACTTAAACGTTTTCGTAATTGAGATTTTTCTTATCTTATTTCGTGGTTGCGTCCGTCGCTACACAGTTTTGGGATATTTTGTAAGTAACAACAGGATGGTAAAGCGCAGTGACTTGTTATACCTTTGTGATAATGAATGATCCATCGGTTAAAAAAATATTTTGCTTCTCGATATTCACATTTATCTCCCAACCAGTTGTACAAAACTTAGATCATTGGCGACTTTGTCGTTCGTATTTACCGCAAGTTCAGACAACACACTTGTTTTTGTTTCGATTTGTATCGAGTTCACAATGCTTCCTTGTGATATTTGTCTTCGTTCTGGTTTGCTATTGCGATAACTGAAGTTTCAGTTTCACGACGATCAGCCCAAATGTGCTCTATCATTTTCATTGGTTTTGTCGTTTTTTGCATTGTTTATTGTTCTAATCCGTATAATACTCTCTTGCTTGCCTCCTGTACAGTTGTTAGAAGCTGATGTAGTGAACAGCAGCGAGGAAGGGCTGGATGTTGCCCTTCTTCCTAGTGGTGCACCAGCATTTCTTCCAGTTCCGCATTTATCAGATCATGTCAGCAACTGCAAGGCTCTCCTCTCTGTCTACAAACCCTCCACAAGATTGACCAGTGTTGTTTGTTATGGCAGGAACAAGAGGCAGGAAATTGTATCCTAACTCGTAATACTATGAAATGCGAGTTTGAAAGAGATTTTCGCAGTAATGAACACTGCTTAAGCAATAGTGAAAATAAGGCCTGAAATTAAGGTCTTATTACGAACCAACATAATTTCCAGCTTCCAGTTGGCTTGTCAGCTCAGTTGGTAGAGCAATGCACCAGTATCGTAGAGGTCATGGGTTCAAATCTCGTACAGGCCTGAATTTTTTTCAAGCCTTATTTTCACTACTGCGAAGATCGCTTTCATGCTCAATTCTAAATCCGCAGGTCACAAATATGATGTTCATACATTCACCGTTACTTTTTAAGGGTTTTCTCCTTACTCGTCCCCAGTCGTCTTCAAAGCAGGGCAACATACGCGGGCAACGACCGATGGGTTAGTGCCACGCTGGTGTTGACTGGGGACTAGTCACAGTTTTGCCTGTGTGACTAGGGGACCCTTCTGTTCTGATAGTTTCTGGTCCTTTAATATTTTTTTTTTGACTTAGTTACATTTATGAAAGAAATTCAAACGATGAAAATGTCATGAAACGAAACAGAGTAAACTGTTTGACCCGCCTTACTATTCCTTAAATCGTAATACATTGACTTACAGCCATTCCCCCCGTTATATGAATCTCTCAACTTTCAGTACATGTGATGAATAATGTAAATGTACTGTGTATGATGGTACTTAGTGCATGTTAACAGTTCTAAATGCGCCTAAAATCAACTTAAGGATTACTTTCAGTTCCTTAACCACACTTTAACGTAGACTGTTTCTTTGAAACCATCTCTTGTGAAAGCTGCATCTGAGGAAAGACTTATTACCAGCTTTAACGACGTCGAAGTAAGTATAGTGTTTCTACAGTGCATCTACAGTACATCTACAGTATATCCAATTCAACCAGGGAGAGGTCAGAGAGAAAATAACGTGGTTGTGAAAGCGTTTGTGGGGTATTATTTACTAATGTCATTATTTTAATCTTAGGTGGGAATGATCTTACCTGGTTTTGTCAAAAAAGTGATGAGTTATGGAGTGTTCGTTGAGTTTTCAACGGGAATTTTTGGGCTTGCTCCAAACTCGGTAAGTACCCTTGCCGTTCTTCGTAAAACAATCGTCGCTCTTTGCTGAGAGACATTACACATAAGGAAAAACAAGGGGTTGAATTATTACACTAAACTCATAACAAAGCCTGCTTTTTGTTGACAGGAAGCTCTCTTGAATAAGCTGCGACAGGCTGAGAACGCTTAGCGAGAGATCAAAAAGCTAAGCTTGTTTAACCGAAACTGTCGTTGTATTTTCCTCTCTCTGCCCCACGGTCACCGAGTATGGGCTGCAAGATACACCCTTTCGTATCAACGTCTTCACTTCCCCTTACCCTTCCTCCTCATCCTTTTAAGGGTAAACGCAGGTTTCCTTTATAATGAATAATACTCAATTATTACTTGGGGAGAGAATTGTCCTTCAAGAGGGCAGCGTCGTTTCCTAATTGCAACAAAACTGACCCTAGTCTGCACTTAACCCTTTAACCCCTAAGAGTGATTAACATCGAATTTCTCCTTGCAATATCACCCCCTAAATCACACATAAAGGTTACAAGAAAAAAGGAAATCATGACCAATGATAGAAGCTCTAGATTGTTAAACAAATTCTCCTTGTCAACACCTTAGGAAATGTATTGAGAACAGTATGGAGAATATGCATACTGATGTTGGGGCGTAAGGGGTTAGAACAGAGCAGATGCCTTCTGATTCATTTACCGTATGGTTTCTCTCACCTTTGTTATTTCAATCTGCAAATTTGAATGTTTATGGGTTTTTTTTTTTTTTCAGTTTCTTGCTGATCATTTTGTGTCAGAACCCGCTTTTCACTTTCCTACTGGACGGACAGTTATGGCAAAGGTTTGCTTTATTCGAATCAGCTTATTTTATTTAGATCATTACTTCTAATTTAACTGATGTTGTTCAGGATCAAATCGCGGCATTATATTAACAACAACTGACTGCTGAAGGTTTACTTTCTCGGGGAGAGGTAAAATGTAAAGCTAAGTAAGAGTCTTTAGATAGAGACTAGGATAGAGCAGTTTTCAGGGCTCTTTTTAACACACGTCCTTTGTCCTCTCTTTCTGCATTTTAGGTCACTGAAATTGACGAAGAAAGGCAGAGATTTCTTGTTAGCCTCAAAATGTCCGACTGTTGCCCTGAAATTATCGTTGAAGGGAGTTCTGATCCTGCTGTAGAGTTGTTGGAAAATTATCTCTTTGAGAGACAGAAGATTGTTCAACAGTTGGCGTCCAGTTCAGGTGTGTATGGTAAGGGTGACAAGTTTTAAACAAATGTTGATCACTTCCTGTGTTCACCAATAAGTACGCCATGACTTCCACCATTCATTCGTAAATTGTAATCATAACTACTGTGGTTTTGTTGTTTACAGAGGACATGGAGGCTCTGTTTTCACTTGGTCCAGGATCCTGTGTTGAAGGAAAGGTGAGGAAATTGAACGACTTGTAATTTGTAATGTTGTTTTTTTAGTGAAGCATTATTCATGCTCAATGTTGAAGTTAAGTTGTACTGATGATCAAATGATTCAAGATCATTTCGGAACAAATAAGCACTCATACATTTTTCAACGACCTAAACTTCCTCGAGCTCGAATTCGTATTTTTTAAATGTTCATTCAATGTGACATTTCTGCGCTCATTTTCAATTTTATGCACTTTTTTGACATTTATTGACGTATACCATTTTTCCAGCCCCAGTCAAGAAATGTTTATAAAGAGCTTCAATTGGGGTTCATACTTTCGATTGTGAAATTGAGTTACTAGGCACTCCAGGTAATATTGTGACAAAGTTTATACTTCTGCGTTATTTCTGTGTTCAGGTTCTTAGTGTGAAATTCCGAGGCATCCTTTTGCAGCTTGCCAACGGCGTTCAGGGTTTTACTCCCCACCAGCTTGCCAAAGGTATATTTACTAGGAATTTTGTTGCTGAGTATTATCATGTTTCACGTATACATTCGGAGAGACTGTGTAGCTGATAGTTTTTGGAAAATCCGCGAGAGAAATAGGACGTAGAAAATTCACCTCTCTACCCGCACGTCCTTCTGCTTCATTTACTGCTTTGCAACCTTAATTTTGGATGAAAACACTTTCAAAACCACTTGCCACGCAGGCAGACAGTTTGACGAGGAAGTCCTCTTTACATAATCGTGTCACAATTCCTTTTGAATCTTGTGGAGCATTTGTATAGAAAAACTCTCAAACTTAAGCAATATCGTTTGCCTCTCAAGTTGTAAAGCTTTGAAAAAGATATATTACATGACTTTGTACAATATTTTTCACACTCTGACGTTTTTGTTTGTTCTTTTAAGGAGTAAGCTGTGAGCCAGGCGAAGTTGTGTTCGGCTGCGTTTTGGACTGGGATTTCGATAAGAAATGTGTGATTGTCTCATTAAATCCAGAACTAGTAGCTGAAAGGAAGGCCGTGGAGACTCAGAAAGAAAAACAAAAAAGGGTAAACTTCACATATTCTACGAGGTGACTGGTTTGCAGCACCATGAAGATAATGCTTCACGTCACCCGCCTTTTCTTCTCAACCAATCAATCAATCAATCGCGACTTGGTCAATCGCGTTTTCCGCGCTCGAAGCAGTTTGCGTGTTCTTACTCCTCTTGGGCTGCCTGTAATATCATCCGTACGTCTGATTGGCTGTTGTGATTAGTTTAGTTTGGGTTTGAGAGAACTCAGTCAAAATGCACTTTTTTTGCCAAATTCTCGTAACCATTTTCGAGGAAAATTTATAGCAGCACGAAGGGAGGATTGCTGATTAGATCTTGAGAGTTAAAAAAATCTCTTATTAAGATGCCATTTCGTAAAGCTTTCTTCTAACTTTGTTTATTTAATGGTCTAAGCAATTGTCTCTTGGAGGATTTAACAATTTATTTAGGTTGGGAAAGACATCAGCATGTTTGGCTTTTGTGTTTTTTGCAGCTGAAACATGGACGCATTATAAAGGCTTGTGTTCAACTAATCAAGGAGAGCTACATTGTGGTGACGATTCCTCAACACAATTACCAGCTGGCGTATGCACCTACTAAAATGGTGAGGCTAGATTATTTGTCGTTCTACCCAGAACCAGTTCAAAGTGATTTCTTTTCTTGTGGCTCGTTTGTTGAAAGTCTCGTTAACTTTACAGTCCCCAGGCCATATTTCATTCTCTAAAGCTGAGGAATATTTGTGCGGGTCTCAGCCCAACCACCAGTCCACTTTGTTTCGTTTCTAATCGTATATGTGGTCTGAATTCCCGAAATATTATTATCTCTTTCTTGTGAGTGAAACGGCAGAAAAATTAGAAAAAGATGTTATGATAAGAAACAGCTTTTCATGAATATGTAACTCGCGGGACTTTTGATAAACTTGCCCCCCCTTGTTTCGTAAAACAAAGGCAAGTTCATAAATATATCTGACCTTGTGAAAACTGGGTAGGTTACGGTGTTATACATTTAAGTGACGGATTAAACCTTTACACCCAAACATCAATATGCAAATTCTCCATATTGTTCTCCATACATTTCCTTAGATGCTGACAAGGAGAATTTGTTTAATAATCTAGAGCTTCTTCTATTGGTTGTCCTTTCCATCGTTATTCTCACGACCTTAACGTGTGATGCTAGTGACTCTCAGTGGTTAAAGAGTTAAAAGAAGGCTTAAGTTTAATCATAGTTTTGTTTGAATTTTTGCGTCGTAGCATTTGAACGACATCAGAGATGCATCAAAGCGATTTGCTGTAGGACAAGAATATTCTTCAATAGTACAAAGGTAAGGGATAGGGCGCCTTCTACCACAGGTATTTCTTGCTGTAAAGTGACGTGATCTAGGCCCAGTTGTTCATGGGGCGGATAACGGTATCCAGCGGATAAGTGTTGACGAAACGTACTGCGCTGTCTGTCGGATAAATATTTATCCAGTTGATATTGTTATCAGCCTTTTGAACAACCGGGACCTAAACGTTACCTCAGTTTTGTGTCCTTTTTTACTTTGATCATGATATGCCAATTTTCCTCCGCTTAGTTTTAAGTTTTCCAAAACTGAGTTCAATGGGCTGCAGTGCATTTATTAGTTGGATGTGCCTTTTTTCCTTACAGAGGCGTCGGCTGAAAATTCATGAAATAATTCCAGGGGAATAAAATTATACATGACCATTAAGAGGTCACCCGATGTGACACTTTGCCAAAATCCGGACAAAAAAAATATTCGAAACTGGAAATTGCAATGATTAGAAATTCTAACAAGTGTCACAATACCTTATCTTATCTTATCAATACCTTATTATACCTTAAATGTGAAAATTCTAACCTGAGAGCAGGTGTACACCAAGTGCCCTTGTTGAGTGCCTCAAGTTTTTCGCGGCGCACAGGCAGCGTATAAGATGCACTGTCTGGTTTTCAGAAGTGCTATTTAAGTCAGTTGAAGCTTTCACAAGTAAAATAAAATTTCGACACAACTGTTGAAATATAACGTTGTTTAATTGTTTGTTAACTTGTTTCCGCTTAGACCAGTCAAGGCGAACGACAGCCTTCTACCTTTAGTGATCCTTCAAGAAAAACAAATTGGAAAGGAAAATGTCGTGCCTGGTGCTATTGCCACAGCGCAGTGAGTGATAATATGTTACTTTTGTATAAGAAGCGTAAATTTGTCCTTAATCAGTTAAGAAATACGGTGTTTCGCATATCATTCACGCCTTATCTCTTTGTTCGGTCGGTCAGTAAGCTAAGGAACGCAAACACGCGCAGTATGCACTAGTACACTACGCGCAGACCCCCCTTTTCGGCGCAGTCAGTCGCGTGAATCAAAAACTTCATCGAAAAAAAAATTGATGTTAGCGCGGAGCGCAGACCTCAGGGAGCGGGGTACACCAAGTTTTATGCGTCGCGCTCACGTCTACAAAGATTTTTTAACTCACGCGAAGGACTTTGCTGAAAAGGAAGGGAATGTATGAAAGATGAAAACTTACTTCTTTGTTGGTAGACTCATCGTTGGGCGATTTTCTCAATGCGTCGCCAAAGTACGATAACGTTTTTTCGGCTGTCATTTAAACCCGTAGTGAATTGTTATCTTATTTTAGGGTGAAGTCAGTTAAGGACCTTCAAATGAATGTGAATTTGTGTAATGGGAAATTTCATGGAAGAGTGCATGTCACAAAAATTTGGGATGAGGTTGTACAGGTAAGAAAACGTATTGGTTTTCTTCAGCAATTAACCTTTTGAATTAGTTTAACTTACCTTACAATACATTGAATAATTTGCAAATTGGTGTCGGGGTGTTAAGGTTTAACCCTTTAACACCTTAGAGTGACAAGCATATAATTTCTCCTCACATTATCACCCCTTAATCATCCATTAAGGTTATGAGAATAAAGGAAATGATCACCAACGAAAGAAGCTCTTGATTGTTAAACAAATTCTCCTTGTCAGCACCTTAGGAAAGGTATGAAGAGCAGTATGGAGAATGTGCATACTGATGTTGGGGTGTAAAGGATTAATTAATTACTGTATTTTTACTTTCAAGGGAGAGTCACCACTGAAGGGCTTCCACAATGGGGATAAAATTCAAGTCAAGATTCTTGGATTTCGCGACGTGAAGACGCACAAGTAAATTCTAAGTTTATGATCTTTGATATGATGTCAGTTTTTCGGGCTTTGTCAAACATCCAAGTTTTTTTTCTGGACAGTGTTGACTGGTGATAAAAGAGTGATGTAAAGCTTTCTGTCAAGGGGTCTCATAATTGAATGATAGAGCGCTTTTTAAACGAGTGTCGTTAAACAAAAAGCAAATTAATCGCCAAGGGTAACCAGAACGAAGGAAAATATCAGGAAGAATCAATGAAAACTCGAATTGAGTAAACAGCTTTCAATAGAAAAACGTGGCTAACCACGTTTATGGTTACAAGTTACGGTTGGTTGAAACTTTTCGTTAGATTGGATGGGAAAGTGCGTTTGTATCTGATTGGTTGAGAAAGCAGCGTGCGTTTCTCAGACCAATCACAGAGCGTACCGCTGCGAAACCAATTTTGGACCCTCATTGTCAATTGAAAACTGATCCATACGTCAGTGGTTTATGATAAACAGTCTGCCTGTTTCAATCCTGTACGTGGCAAAATTTTGGTTGAAGAAATAATTTTGTCTTTCAAATTGAGGGCGTCAATCTTTGAAAAGATTCTAAGTAGGTTTTGGTACTGGATATTCATTTTACGCAATATTATTTATTGTTTTAGGTACTTACCAGTAACGCACACCAATTTCACTAAATCTGTAGCCGAGCTGACAATGAAACCCAGGTAACCTAGCATAGTGTACTGAATATTTCGTGGTCGTTCTCTATGTAAAATGTTTTTTTTTTTTTTTTTACATTAAATAAGTAGATGTTATTTTGTCTTGCTGTTTTAGAATTTACGATCTTCTTAAACGTGGCCTCATGCTTCGTTTTAAAAATGTGAAAACCCCATTTTTGGAAAAGAGTTAGTCGATCGATATATGATATATAATACATGATGACTTGAATTTCATGCTCACTGGTCAGAGAGCCAAGCAAGCGCCGCCAAAAAAAAAGCAAATGCATTCATTTGAAATTCGGGTTCTTCTGACCAGCGTTAGTAAACCGAGAAGAAAACTTATTGACCACTTATATTCGTTTCCAGTTTTAAACAACCAATGCAAATAATCAGTATGAGGTTTCTTCCGCCCTCGGAGGAAAGGAGAGAAATCGAGAGAACAAATCAGCTTGTTTCTCTTTCTTCCGCCCTCGGAGGAAAGGAGAGAGAGAGAGAGCTTGTTTCCCTCACTCTCGCCCTGCTGACGGGTAGAAGAAGAGAGATCCTGGTAAAGAGAATGTTAGACTGGTGCTTAAAGCACACGGACATGGTTGTAGTTTTTTTTTTTTTTGTGACATTACCTCAGATTAATTTACGTTTCGTCATCAATCTTTGTCTTGTCGTTGCCCCCACTTTTGATAGTGAGTTATTAGAAGTCAGCAGTGATCAGCAGAGTGCTTCAAATGGAAATGCTGAAGGGGGTGGAGCTGACAAGAAACTTGTGGACTACCAAGTTGGGGAAGAAGTAAATTGCTATGTGAAGTCGGTACGTGACAATATAATTATCATAGGCAGCGAAGATAGCTGTAACTACTGTATCTCTTTAGTCATTACTTCTGTACTCAGGATACACGCGGATGGGACGCGTGTATCCTGAGAACTTCGTATTTGAGTAATTCCAATTAAATGCGGAATTAATGTAGGATTACTTTGGTTTTGCCTTACTTCGCCATACGATTGGTCCAAAAAAAACACGCACCACTTTTTCCACCAATTAGATCCAAAACCAATCGCGACCCGTCTCACGCACTTTCCCGCGCATTAAATAGTTTTTTTGTTTGCTTTTCAGTTCTCACAGGCTCCATGTGACATTTTCCTCTGCTCTGATAAACTGTTGTAATTATTTTGGTTTGGGTTTTGCGATACGCGTCCTAAGAGTGAAATGATTTTATAATGGCACATTCATAGGTTGCTTCTGTTGATACTTTTTGTTGATCGATAGGCTACAGATTATTGCGTGTGGATGATGTTGAGTCCAGCTGTAAACGGGAGAGTAGCGCTTCTACACGCCTCGTCTGACTTGGAGGTAAGGGCTAGGTACTCGCAAATACGCTGTCCTAAACTATGAGCGATTTACTTGTTGACTCTTCATAACCGTAGCTTCTGTTAAATGTCATTGTGCTAGTTAATTCATTTGCTACGCTTTCAGGTGTTGAAGTCCCTTAAAACTCATTTCAAGCCTGGAGATGGATACAGATGTGTGGTGTTGAGCGTGGATGAAGAAAAAAAATTGCTGGACCTTTCAATCAATGGTGAGAACTTTTCAGTCATAAGTCGTCTCCGAGTTAGATGAAACCAGAATCTGGGAGCGCAACGGGGTTTGGTTGATGAATTTGGAACATTCGAGAGCCATAAAACAATACTGCAACAACGATGAAGTCAGTTTGGATGTTGATCGCATCAACATCAACAGCGATCAACATCCAAAGTGACTCCATCGTGAGACAAACGAATAAAGTTCATCTCCTATCTTACACCAAGATGAACAATAAACACATATTCTATTACAATACTTCAACTGTTTGCTTTTGCAAACAGTGATCATGTTTGGCCGTGCCCATACTATTGCCAATGAAAATTTTCTAGCTCGCCAAATTTTTCTTTGGCTTTTTTTTTTTCGTCACTTAGTATAGGAACCATCACTCAAATTTATCATAGGGGAGAAATTCAACGGTTCAAACTTAATCATTGTACTTCTTTAGTCAAAGCTGGATCTAAAATCGAGGTCACCCAAGTGTTAGCAGGCCAAGTTGCCAAGATTTTTCCCGACCAAGGACTCCTCGTCCGGCTTCCCATGTACAAATATGGTGTGGTCGGTCTCACAGACCTCAGTGACAATTATGAGGAAAATCCTTTGGAAAGCTTTACAACCATGCAGCTTGTTAGGTAAGCCAATGCCTTTATCTATCATTACGCGCTTGAAATTGATGGTTTTCAAGCTAAAAAAAAGTCATATACGTTCGGTGGAGTTAAGATGGCTTAGCGTTTACGTTTTTGACGCTAACTCTCTGTTGGGTTGATATTTTTCTCAATCCTTTGTTGCGTTCCTTAAGAACGATATTTTGTAAAAAGAAATACCCGCTATTATGCAGGTGGATAAGCAATCTTTTGGGGAGGGGGAGGGAAACAAGCATTTTTTTTTGGGGGGTAGGGGATGGGGACGTTCAGGAAGAGAGAATTTATATATAATGTAATCAAATAGGCTTTTCATCAGTGATCAATACTTGCCTCAATGTATAGGTGTTTTGTCCTGTCAACGAAAAGCAAAGATGAATTTGATCTGTCACTTAGACCTTCAAGGTGAGAGTTTTGTCACAAGTATACATATTCTGCCGATTTGTTTCTCTGAATAGATATAGTCACTATCCAAGGGTTGCATTTTGGTGTTGTTTTGTGGAGTCTGCGATCTAATGAATTGGTTTGGAATCGTTCGGAGACTTGATTCATGCTAAAGAGATAAATAGAAACTGGTCTGGAGAAATATTTTCCTCGTAACCCCTTATAACTTGAGCTCTATGAATCTAGTTTTTAATCAAACGAATTCCCCTGGTAAGTATTTTTCTTTCTCCTCTTTAACTTTTCTACTTTTACCCGTCATTGTATTGATATTGCGGGGAGAACTCACTTATTGTTTACTCCGAAAGTAAAAGAGGTAAATTATTCAGGTCCACTGGAACTCTTAACTGAATAGCTATGTTTTTTTTTCTTTTCTTATTGTGTGCTAGGACACAAGCAGTGGCAACAATAAACGAGGGAGGTAACTGAATTCTTACTGAGTGTATCTTTTTTTTCGTTATTTGTCGGAAGAATTATAAAGTATCTTTCATTGATAATCCAACAACACTGTAATTAAGAAATATACGGCTTGTTCCATCTGATTTTTTTTCTGGGTTCTCTGTACAGTTGCAAATACTAACGAGGAGGATCGCGAGATCAACAGTATAAGTGATCTAAAAGAAGGGGACATCGTCCGGGGCTTTGTTAAGAGTTGTTCTGATGTGGGTGTCTTCGTCAGGTAATATATTATATATATACTAATTGCTTGAGTGGAAAGGCCGCACAAGAAAATATTTGGCTCGTGGTCATGACGTACGGACCGAGTAATCGATCAAAAGAGAATTCTAATAGAGTGTAAGGTACTAACAAAACAATCGATCAGTAGAGAATGATAACAGTGCGCGAGATAGTAACGTAACAATCAAACAGAAGAGAATTCTAATAGTGCACGAGATGCCAACAAAAATATCTCTTGCTAACGAAAAAATCGATCGAAAGCGAGTCCTTTCAGGGTGCAAGATACTAGCGCAACAATCAATCAAAAGAGAATCGTAACGAGTTATCACGAGTTACTAGCGTAACAATCAATCGGAAGAGAATCCTAACCGTGTGCGAGTTACTAGCGTAACAATCGATCAAAAGAGAATCCTAACTGTGCACGAGATACTAGTGTGAGAATCGATATAAAGAGAACCCTAACCATGCACGAGATACTAGCGTAAAAATCGATCAAAAAGAATTCCAAAAGTGTGCGAGATACTAGCGTAACAATCGATGAAGAGAAAATGGTAATGGTGCGCGAGATTCTAACAACAATCATCAAAAGAGAATTCTAATTGTGCGCGAGATACTAGCATAACAATCGATTTGGCCCCAGTTGTTCGAAGATCGGATATCGCTATTCACCGGATAAATCTCTATCCGGTGAATGACGCTATACGTTTTGCTATTACTTATCTGCTGGATAGCGATTTATCCGTTGGATAGTGTTATCCGCCCTTTACACAACTGGGCTCTGGAGAGAATGCTAACCGTGCACGAGATACTAAGGTAATAATCGAACAAGAGAGAATTCTTATAATGCGCGAGATACTAGCGTACAAATCGATCAGAAGACGATCCAAACCGTGCGCTAAATACTCGTGTAAAGCCCCGTTCGAATGGTCATAATAGTAGATTACAATCGATGATAGTTTCAGCTATCATTCACTATCACTGACTATCATGTTCGCGTTCAAACAGTTTATGATAGTTGACAAAATCACGCGATGAGATCGCGTAATTGTAAACAAGTATTGCGCGCGCTGAGGTTGGTGGCATTTCGTCGGCAAGTTTCAAGTTGAAGATACTGAAGCCTACCAAGAGATGATTAGAATGAATTACAAGACATAACGCGAAATTTTGACGGCTATTTTAGTCATTTTACCGTTTGCCGTTTCGGTTTGAGCCTGTTTTTGGAAATACTGCTGACCGAAAAACTATCATTCACTATTATCCGCTCGTTCAAACGGCAAAAACTATCATCGACTATCTTGTGGAATTTGGACATGTCCAAACTACATGGTAGTTGATGATATCCAATGATAGTCGATGACAGTGTATGATAGTACTAGTTCCTGTTCAAACGCGCGTGATGGTTGAAAGTATCATCCACTATCGTGACCGTTTAAACGAGGCTTAACAATCCATCAAAGAAAATCTTAATAGTACGCAAGGTACTAGCGTAACAATTGATGAAAAAAGAATTCTAATGGTGCGCGAGATACTAGATTAACAATTGATGAAAAAAGAATTCTAATGATGCGCGAGATACTAGATTAACAATCGACGAAAAATAATTCTAATAGTGTGCGAGATACTAGATAAACAATCGATCAAAAAAGAATTCTAATGGTGCGCGAGATACTAGATTAACAATCGACGAAAAATAATTCTAATAGTGTGCGAGATACTAGATAAACAATCGATCAAAAAAGAATTCTAATGGTGCACGAAATACTCGATTTACAATCGACAAAAAAAGAATTCTAATGGTGCGCGAGATACAAGCGTAATCGATCAAAAAAGAATTGTAATGGTGCGCGAGATACAAGCGTAATCGATCAAAAAAGAATTGTAATGGTGCGCGAGATACAAGCGTAATCGATCAAAAAAGAATTCTAATGGTGCGCGAGATACAAGCGTAATCGATCAAAAAAGAATTCTAATGGTGCGCGAGATGCTAGCGTAAAAATCGATCAATGGAGAATTCTAATGGTGCGCGAAATACTAGATTAACAATCGACAAAAAAAGAATTCTAATGGTGCACGAGATACTAGATTCCCAATCGACAAAAAAAAATTCTAATGGTGCACGAGATACTAGATTAACAATCGACAAAAAAAGAATTCTAATGGCGCGCGAGATACTAGCGTAATCGATCAAAAAAGAATTCTAATGGTGCGCGAGATACTAGCGTAATCGATCAAAAAAGAATTCTAATGGTGCGCGAGATACTAGCGTAATAATCGCTAAAAAAAGAATTCTAATGGTGCGCGAGATACTAGCGTAATAATCGATCAAAAAAGAATTCTAATGGTGCGCGAGATACTAGCGTAATCGATCAAAAAAGAATTCTAATGGTGCGCGAGATACTAGCGTAATAATCGATAAAAAAAGAATTCTAATGGTGCGCGAGATACTAGCGTAATAATCGATCAAAAAAGAATTCTAATGGTGCGCGAGATACTAGCGTAATAATCGATCAAAAAAGAATTCTAATGGTAGCGCGAGATACTAGCGTAATAATCGCTAAAAAAAGAATTCTAATGGTGCGCGAGATACTAGCGTAATAATCGCTAAAAAAAGAATTCTAATGGTGCGCGAGATACTAGCGTAATCGATCAAAAAAGAATTCTAATGGTGCGCGAGATACAAGCGTAATCGCTAAAAAAAAAATTCTAATGGTGCGCGAGATACTAGCGTAATAATCGATAAAAAAAGAATTCTAATGGTGCGCGAGATACTAGCGTAATAATCGCTAAAAAAAGAATTCTAATGGTGCGCGAGATACTAGCGTAATAATCGCTAAAAAAAGAATTCTAATGGTGCGCGAGATACTAGCGTAATAATCGATCAAAAAAGAATTCTAATGGTGCGCGAGATACTAGCGTAATAATCGATCAAAAAAGAATTCTAATGGTGCGCGAGATACTAGCGTAATCGATCAAAAAAGAATTCTAATGGTGCGCGAGATACTAGCGTAATAATCGCTAAAAAAAGAATTCTAATGGTGCGCGAGATACTAGCGTAATAATCGATCAAAAAAGAATTCTAATGGTGCGCGAGATACTAGCGTAATAATCTATCAAAAAAGAATTCTAATGGTGCGCGAGATACTAGCGTAATAATCGCTAAAAAAAGAATTCTAATGGTGCGCGAGATACTAGCGTAATAATCGCTAAAAAAAGAATTCTAAAGGTGCGCGAGATACTAGCGTAATAATCGATCAAAAAAGAATTCTAATGGTGCGCGAGATACTAGCGTAATAATCGATCAAAAAAGAATTCTAATGGTGCGCGAGATACTAGCGTAATAATCGCTAAAAAAAGAATTCTAATGGTGCGCGAGATACTAGCGTAGTAATCGCTAAAAAAAGAATTCTAATGGTGCGCGAGATACTAGCGTAATCGATCAAAAAAGAATTCTAATGGTGCGCGAGATACTAGCGTAATAATCGCTAAAAAAAGAATTCTAATGGTGCGCGAGATACTAGCGTAATAATCGATCAAAAAAGAATTCTAATGGTGCGCGAGATACAAGCGTAATCGCTAAAAAAGAATTCTAATGGTGCGCGAGATACTAGCGTAATAATCGATCAAAAAAGAATTCTAATGGTGCGCGAGATACTAGCGTAACAATCGATCAAGAGAGCATTCTAATGGTGCTCGAGATACTTACAGAATAACTGATTCAAAAACGATTTTAACAGTGTGCAAGACACAAGTGACAGAATCGATCAAAAAGGAATTCGACAAACAAATGAAACATCGATTCAAAGAGAATTTTAACCACCTGAGTGCATGAGGTTCTAACAAAACGATTGATCCAAGGAGTGCGAGACACTTTTGAAGCAATCGATCAAAAGACGGTTTATAGTGCTCGAGATAATAACTTGATGATCGATCAAATGAGAGTTTTAATACCGTATTTATTCGATTAAACGCCGCATTTTAGCGCAGAAATATTAATAAACGCCGCCCTCGAATAGCACACAGCGATCGATGCTTCGATCGCAGTTGGAAATTTTGAGTGAACTAGAAACAAGTCCTTTTGAATGAACCAGTTCTGATGTCGAGAAAGCATATCCGACATAAGAGCTTTATTCACTTTATTCACTCCTTGTATTGCAGTAGTAATAACATGCACATTGTCAAATTGAGAACGATATAAAATTACTTTTTAGACAAGCACTAAGACATGTTTCGCCGCGGCGTTCAATCGAATAAATACGTTAATGCATGAAATACTAACGAAATAATTTATCAAAAGAGAATGTTATAGTGCTCAAGATACTGACGAAATAATCGATCGAAAGAGAATTCTATCAGTCCCCAAGATGCTAATGTAACAATCGTTTGAAAGAGAGTGCTAACATTGTGCGAGATTCTAATGAAATAGTTCAAGTTATTAAATCTGGATGGAAAAGACTCGAAAAAAAAGACTCTGGCTGCTGCAAAAAGGGAAGTTGGAATTGAAAAGATGTTAAGAGATTTTAGTGATATACAAAACATTCTTCATACTGAGAATGAAAGTGTAACCGGTCATTAAATTTCTTTTGCAGTCTGGCCCATCACATTGTTGGCAGGGTACAAATAAAGAACTTATCGCAGTATTTTGTGAAGAACTGGAAGCCTTTATTCCCCATGGGAAAGTTAGTTAAAGGCAAAGTTTTAAGGTAATTTGTTTGAAAAGGTATGGACATACGGTGATACGGTTACACGCTGAAAAACCAACTGAGGACGGCTATCGCTTTGTTAACCTTATGATTCACGTGTCATTATTATTATTATTATTATTATTATTATTATTATTATTATTATTATCACCCTTGAATCAAACATTAAGGTCACAAGAATAGAATAAATGATTACTAATTAAAGAAGTTCTTGATTGTTAAACAAATTCTCCTTGTCAGCACCTTGGGAAATGTATAGAGAACAGTATGGAGAATATGCATACTGAAAATAGAGTGCATGTATAGGGTTTAAAGGGGAAATTAAAAGGAAGTCAAGCTTAAGTGTTGAACAGGGAAGCAGTTTTATCTGACGCGTCACGAACAGAGTGAATCCCTGGATCGTTAGCCTTGTGCAAAGTTTAAACTTGGCGATGCGTGGTGTGACACTATCGAGTAAGAAGCTAACAATTACATGTATTAACCCTTTGAGTGACTGGCGTCTAATTTCTGCTTACTATATCACCCCTGAATCAAACATGAAAGACATGAGAATACTGAGAGGAGATGATCACCAAGTAAAGCAGCTCTTGATTGTTAAACAAATTCTCCTTGTCAGCCTCATTGGAAATGTCTGGATAACAGTATGAAGAATATGCATACTGATGTTGGGGTGTAAAGGGTTAACAAAGGAAAGCCTTTCTGTAGGTAAATGCTAAACGTTTGTAGGGAAAATGAGTTGTAGTTTGCATAAGAATGAAAAGTAATTTTCATACAAATTTTTTTTTGACGTAGTATTGACCTGATCAAAGGACACCTGGAGTTGTCTTTGAAAGGGAGAGATGTCGGTGGACCCGACCCAGCACCAAAACCAACGCGTTTAGATGAAAAAGAGAAACGAGACAAAGAGAAGAAAGAGCAGAAAAGGAAGAGAAAGAAGGAAAAAGAGAATAAAACAAAAGAAGGATCAGATGATGAAGCAGAAGTTATTTTAAAGAAACTCAAAGCAGGTAAATAAAGGGCGGTTAAAGCCAAATCCGAATAATTTAGAGAGGCACTGTAGTAGCACAAACACTCTAAAGAACCCACGAGCTATTAATTTACAGGACGTCCAGCTACCAGACATGAGACATGCTTGAGAGAGAGGGGCCTATTTTTTAGAAACAATGTTCTCTTAAGTATCAGAGAGGAAGGCCGATTATTAGCGAGGGTATATTATGGTTAAGATGTTACGCCACTCGATCGAAAAGCGCCTTGTTGCTATATGATTCACCTTCCACAGATACCGATCATGAGGACAGCCCTGAAAGTGAAAGCGAAGAAGAAGACGAGACATCTGGAAACATTTCAGATGAAGAGGTCAGACAATATACAAAGTCTTAACGGGATTTTGACGAATCAGCCACACTAACATGTAAACAGGTTAAAAGCTTCGATGCATTTGAAGCAGAGTTTCCCATCTACTCTTCAGTCATTAGTGTCTTTAGCTAGTAAAAGTTTGCGCGTGGTCGGGTCGGAAGATTTGATCTCTTTGCGCATGCCCAACACTTGACCGCTGGGTTTACTGTATTCTCGTTGGAATGATATTTCATGATCAAAATGTTTCCCTTTATTTTGATATTCAAGGCTGACGACGCAAATTCGCACAAATCAAATGGAGTACCAAGATTGGAGGTATTCGTTTTTTTTCTTTTTTTTATCTGTGCTTAAATTGTTTCCTGTGATGTTCTTTAAACAAATTGCAACCAATCTTAGCGGTGTTGGTCGCAGATTGAGTGTTGTTTTGAAATAATGTTTGTTTCTTTTGCAGATTTCAAGCGGATTTGACTGGAGCGAGGACGGAAATTATAGAGAAAGGACACAAAAGAGACAACATGAGGATAATAACGACGATGATGAGAGCAGCGAGAGTGAAACTGACGCTAGCGGACAGGTGTGTTGAGCGATCAACTTTCCTTAAAATGCTACAATGATCTTTGATTTAAAGTTTTTGGTTGGTAATCGACCCAAGTAGGCTAGATTCCTCCAGTGTATTTTCTTCACAGCACGAAGCTTGCTTTCCTGCGTTAGCTTCATGAAAAATTTGCGCTTCCAACATATTTGTATGCTGAATCAGTGATGCTGACGTTAGCTAAAATATAGTTAAGTTCTAATGTTTATTTAATCAGCCTTAGCTAGTAAACCGACTTTACCAAGTTTGGGATTCTGACGCACACCCCATCCACTTTTTACCGTTGGTACAATTACTCTGAAGTCCTGCATAATTATGCCCTACTGAGTACTGAGGAGACTGAGAGTGTACACAGCATGGTACCATGATGTGTTTTAAAGAGACCCATCTTGATTTTCAGTCGTCAATGCCATGTAGAGGGGAGCTTTGTCTGATGATTGTCTTCTCTCAATATTACCCTTTGTTACAAACTGGAACCGTATTCAATGCGCACCATGATAGTGACATCAAACGAACGCTCAACCGTAAAACAGTCTTGAATGCATACCGACTACAATCAAACGAACGTGAAGGAAAAAGATGGTGTTACATTGAGAGGCTTTTATTTTCTCATTTCAAGTAGAGGTACATCGAGCGTAAGGTGAAAGTGAATCCCCCATCTCTACCGTTCAACTTTTGCGTAACTGTACCGTTTGTGAATAGCTTATTGATCAAAAGTTCACTGACAGCGTGTACTTTCGCCTTTGATCAGACTTTACTCAACAGCGAGGTAATTCTTCCTACATTTTCGCGCCTTCAGGTTGCTCGTAAGAAGAGTAAAAGACAGAAGAGGGCAGCAAAGAAAGCCGAAGAAGAGTTCTTATACAAGGTAATTCTGTCACTTTAGCAAATTGCAACTGAGTACTTTTTGTAAAGTGATGGAAATAAGAGAAGGCTGTAAGTAAAGTCTCATCATCAAGTACACACCAGTACAGGTTAATCTCTAAAATTAGCTTGTGTATGGATTTGTTATGTTGATGAGCTGGAACAGTACTCGAGTGCTTGTTCACATTTAGATCTCTACTTTGAGCTCTCATTACGTTCTTTTTATGTTGACCTTTTTGTTGAAGACATGTTGTGGTGATCAGTTTGGTTTTTGTTTACGATTACTTTTGCCCCATGGTTAGATCGCCAATTGTTAAATCATTTCTGTGAGAGTCAGATCTTTCCATCGAAAAGGTTACATCGCTCGAAGGAGAAGCTACTTCGCTCCAAACAAGTGACCTCGTTTTACGAAGCCAAAGAAATCCATCTGATTGTACGTCGCTGACTTTTGAACTTTTTGATGGAGTGATCTGACTTTCGTTAGAGCGATCCAAAAAGGAGCAATCTGACTATGGGGCGGTTAGTTTCCCAACACTCAATCTAAATTTCTCTTTCCTATGCAGTATATCTTGTTAAATCTTTCACTTTTTCTCTTATTTTTCGCAGACGGAACAATCGCTTTTAGATCAGGATCGCTTGCCAGAGACTGCCGAGGACTTCGATCGCGCTGTGTTATCATCGCCTAACAACTCAGTAGTGTGGTTGCAGTACATGGCGTATCACCTTCATACCACAGACATCGATAAGGCACGAACGGTGGCCGAGAGAGCACTGAAAACTATATCATTCAGGTAGTACATCTATACCATGAGGCACTGCGCAATTTAAACGAAAAATACATCTCAGTGAGGCCACCTATTCTCTAGAGTCTCTTACGTTCGGTGCAGACAATCAAATTAACCTATTTTGATTCCCTGAGGAGATAAAACTGTAACTTGTTCTTACTATATCAGAAGATTATCCTGACAAGATGTAATAAGAATGGACCAAGGTATCGGCTGGAGAGTGTTATCTTAATAGGACACCAAATTCTCCAGGTTCTGCTTACGCCTTTTTTCGCGAGTGCGGTCTTCGATCTCATTTGTCTTTTCCATACTTCTCTACCTTTGTTCCCTCTTTTACGTGTCGCCATTTTACCGCGGTAACATCTCTGTAGTCCACAAGAAGTTGAGCGTAATTTTGCACGGCGTAAAAATGGCCCACGGCTAAAAAAAAAACTTGTGCGTTTAAATTTCGCTTTCGTCTGGTTCACTTTTAGGGAAGAGCAAGAGAAACTAAACGTGTGGGTGGCCCTAATGAACTTAGAAAACCTTTACGGCACGCAGGAGTCTTTAGTTAAGGTGTTTGAGCGAGCCCTACAACAAAATGAGCCCAAGAAAGTGTTCTTTCAACTTATTGGTATCTACTCAAGAACGGATAAAACGGAGGTAAGACTGGGAACGAAGCATGTAACAGCGTATGGTCATAATAATAAACGATAACAACAACAACTTCAAAACAACTAAATTTTTTACCAAGTAGTAATCGTTGAAATGATATTTGATAGTAGCATGCATTAGACACGGTTGTATCTCAGTATCGCATTTTTGTTACAATCCCAGTGATATTTCTCTTATAGTTGGCCGAGCAGTTGTACCATACGATGGTGAAGCGGTTCAGTCAAAGTAAAAAGGTGTGGATCAGCTTCAGTTTGTTCTATATGAAGCAAGGAAAGCTTGACTTGGGCAGGAAATTGTTGCAACGAAGTCTAAAAAGTCTGCCGAAGAGGAAACGTAAGTCAAGTGTGGTTTAAAGATGTTTTGGATTGGTAGACGAGGGGAGGAAGTATGTTGCATCTTTCGTCATAGAATGAGTTAGCTTGATCTAAAGTTCTACAGTAGAGCACCTAAAGTAGTTGCGCAATGTTTTGAGTCATAATTTTGGATGTGCGAATCTGCCTTCAAATCAAAGGAGACTAAAAAAAATACAAAAACGGTGAGGTAGATAAAAACTACAAAGAGGCAACAGCTTATTAAAGCATTTATCAAGGATTCCGTTTTAAAAGGCGAAAAAAAAGTGGTTAGCTTTGAAAATTCCATGTGTCCTGTTACACCTCTGCCTCCCTCTAAAGGCCAGCTTTGTACAATGGAAACTTTTCTCTGTCGTCAAGGGCCTTTGTAGTGAGGTTCGACTTAAATAAGGTACTTAATATGTTATGCTTGTGTGACTCAGGATAGCTATGATGCTTTGATGTAAATTGTCATTTAATGGCGGAATGCGGATTTTAAAAGTTGTAAAATGCTGACTATAGGACCAGACCTAAACCTGATTACCAAAGCCACAAAATAACCACCCAAGGTTGAATAGAATTATGGAAACAAAGATGATTTTGTAAAACCATCGCTCTAGGTGAAAGCAATGTGATAGATTTATCACTCGGCTGCTCTTTTTTGTTTGTCGCATTGTTGCTTCTTCATTACTCTGTTGTGGTCTTTTTATTGCAGATATCGAAACTATAGTCCAATTCGCCCTGCATGAATTCAAATATGGTGAGCCACAGCGAGGGCAGACAATGTTCGAGAGCATTCTGACCAACTATCCAAAAAGGAGCGACCTGTGGTCTGTGTATCTGGATATGATGATCAAACAAGGAGACATTGAACCTGTTAGGTACGAAAAAGAACCTCGGTTCTCACATTTTATGATGAACAAAATTTGTAGTTGTGCTGCAGAGATTACCTTGGGACAACTTAAGAATTGCGCCTTAAAATGAAAACCACACATCGTTCAACCCTTTCACTCCGAAGATCCAATTAGTGATTCTCCTTACTGACTCCAGACAATTTTTATGATTCTGGTTCGGAGAATTTGGTATTGGATCAACTGATAGTTCCCAAATCGATATTTTCTTTTTTCTCATTACTTGTCCGCTTAATATTGTAAGGAGGAATTCTCTCTTGGTCAGTCATGGTAAATCAAGGGTTGACCAAACAGAAAATTTATATCAGCACCGAGATGAGTATCAAGGCTTTACTTGGTAATTTAGCAAAGGGTCATTTAACTTTTCATTTTGTTGTTCCAGCGACATCGTGTGATTATTTATTTAAAAAAATACAAAGTGTTATGATATTTTAATTTTTTTACTATTTTGGGAAAGGTAAATACACTCTAAAATGCGCTCTTGAATGACGGTTTTACGAAGTTTTAAAACTGTGCAACCTCCTTTTTCTTTTATCTCGTTGTATCTATTTATTTATTTATTTTTGTTGTTTTAGGCAAATTTTTGAAAGAGTTATCCACATCAATCTGTCCTCGAAAAAGATGAAGCTCTTTTTCAAGCGGTATCTGGACTTTGAGCGGAAGTACGGTGACGCACTCAGTATAGAAAATGTCAAGACTAAAGCAGTGGAGTATGTTGAATCAAAGGCGGCCCTGATTTAAGATACCGTTTAGTCCGTGAATTTAAGGTTGCTTCGAGGCTGTAGCAGTAGTGATTTTGCTGGCGGTGCCACTCTTTGGAGTCGCTGGAGCTCGCGATAGAAGTCAGAGATGTTTCTTAGTGACATGACATTTTCTGGGGAAATAATTTGTGACGACAAACTCGTCTTTTTTCGTTTTTGTCCAACGACAAAACAAATGAATTATTCTTATAGGAACTTATTAGATAAAAAAGAAAGGCTATAGAGAAAACTCAAACCACGAGGGAAAAACATTTTTTAAATTTTATTTACTCTACGCAAAAAGATCAATGTGAGACTACATTTTTATGCATTCGAACTTTGGCCCTTGAGTTTTGCATTTTACTGAATACAATATTTTTACTCTGATAAACGCAAGGAGTGGAGGCGTTTCATAAATGAACTGTGCTCTTTGAAAGTGAGGGAGTTAAAAGTTCTGCGAGGAGGTTTTTGATTCGGGGAAACTTCTCACTGAAGTTTCGCATGTTCGTGTCTCTGATTTTAATTGGTGCAAAGTGGTGTTTCGGCAAGTTCTCGTTTTGTGGTATTTCTCTTGTTTTCTTTTCTCTTGAAAATTCCAAATTGCCTTAATAGTGCGGAAGAAATGACCATTTTAAAGATTTGCCGTTGATTATTTATTATACGCAAGTTTGAGTTTTATGATAGTCAACTGTCAATAAATTATACTATGAAATAATTAGGCAATCCGACTACGGCTGTCGTGGTTCTTTTTTTCTCTCTAGCTTATCCGTTCATTTATTTGTTTGTGAATTGATATTTTAAAAGAAGAACTTCGAGCACAATAGTTATTCCACGTACAGTACACAACAGTATCATGCTCTTATATACAGAACAGTGCCTACAGTGACTGTATTATTAAAGTATTTCGGTACATCTATTGACCAAATTTTTTCCTCTTCAATCTGTGAAACCGCTGTCGATGCACTTGTACAAGATTAAGTGGAATCTAACGAAGTGTGTCATTAAACTATTAGCCATGATGTGATGTTCATCAGCTTTTAAGGTGCTGTTCTCATGTGAGTTACTTACGATTCTCATTTCCATTTTTCCTTGAAAATTTCGCTTTAATTTTATTGTTTCCCGAAAAAGTTCGAAATAACCAAGGGTTAAAACCACTGTTACGTCCCCAGACCACTCCTATACATTCGCTACTCCTGCCCAAGAAGAAAGAGAAAGGGGCGTGGCCGGAATAGGATGAGTGACATACGAGCAAGAATATTTAATTCCGTTTATTGATTATTTTTGTTTTTCTAAAGCAAGACAAAGGATCTCAATAACCCTTTGAGTCCTAAGAGTGACTATCATCTAAGATCTCCTTCCATTACCACGTTGAGTTGAACATTAAGGTCACGAGAATATAATAAAGGAAATGATCACCGACTTGATTGTTCAACAAATTCTCCTTTCAGCAACTTAGGAAAAGTATAGAGAACAGAACGGAGAAAATTCACACTGGTGTAGGGGTGTGAAGCTTTAAATAAGCTGTAAGCAAATAAGTTTCGCCGAACCTCTTTCAGCAACTTTCATGGGAGTGATGGTGTATTCGGATGATATTCGTTACTTTTTGATAAAACCGGATCCTTGGAGGAAAGTATTGAGGTGGGTAGGTCTAAATCCGACTCTCCGTTGAAGTGGGCTGTGATGGTCCATTGTTTTAAAAAACAAAAATGGTTCTTGTGGCAAAGTTCAATGTTTAACCTTGCGCACTCTCGTGTGAACTTCCCTTGTACCTATAGAAAAACGAAACTTTGAAATGATCGTATACATGTGTCACAAATGAAAAAGAGGTGCTCGAATTAACTAATTCATTAATACCGAAATTCATGAGTAAAAAAATAGGAAATACAGATGTATTTTTTTCTTTTGACTAGGTTAATTCTGTGTTCACTTCTGTGTTCTAAATCTCCAATCCTTAAATTTTCACGTTCCATGTTTCGCGTCCCTGCGTTACGTATTTGTTTTTCCCATGATTGCGTCACTTTCTTGTCCCATGTTCCCCGTCCCCTAGTCCAGGTCCAGTATTGAGACCCAGCAAATTGTCAAATGTGTAAGTATAACCAGGGTTCGAATCTTAATTCGGTTTTTATTCTTTTTTTTAACCAAGACAAATAAAGCTGAGAAGATGATGATTACCACACCCATTCTTTTGTGTGTTGACTTCTCTCTGATCCACCCAGGAAAAGTTTTAGAAGTAAAGACAATTGATGGACTTTTATATGACCAAAATGCTCATTTTTCAATTCCGCTGGTACTAGCTAATGCTGGCGCTTTTAGGAGTGTCAGAAAGTCGATTTCAATGGATGTCAGTGTTAGTGATTAACTTTGATCAGATCGATTGAAATTTTTCTTTTCCAACCATTTTGCTGTACGGAACAAAATCACATGGCTGATTTTCACAAAAAGATCGACTGAAAGAATAACACTTCAGCAAGTTAAAAGTACATAAAACAAGGAGGTGAGTAGCGTTGTACAGACCGCAATGACGTGTGTTGTGTCGTAGTTTGATTTTATCGCCTCGTGGCGCCGTTTGACTAAAAGAAACGTGTTTTTTCTCAGCTATACTGTACGGATGTAATATTGTCTTCGGTCGAGCTGTTTCACGTAAAATGTATTTTTATAGAATTTTCAAAGCATTTTCCGATGTTCACACCTGCAAGACTGTGGTGCATGGGTGGTGTGATGTGGGCGATTTTTGTTTTGGGGGAGAAGTGGGTGGGGAAGTGGACGAATTTGAATTCAGAAACTGAAAACTGCCTAGTAATAACAACGTGCAAGGGTAGTTTTTATGCCATGGCAAGTCATGATGTGGCCTATTTAAGTTAATAATTCACAAACCAAACTTATACCTCAACATAAAAAAACTTGTACATTTTTGGTAGAAATTTCAAAGTCTTCTGTAGGTTTAGAAAAAAAAACATGAATAATTATCCTCACTTAAAGAGAGTTTTACTCACTGGTGATTTTTTTTTTCAACAATTAGAGACTTACACTGCCTTCACACCAAGTGCAAAAATACACAAGTGAAATAGGGGTTAGGATTAAAGTATTTTGGGTAACATTGTTCCACTAGTAAGGCTGTGATGGTATTTTTTTGTGACATTTTTTCAGGCTGTCTTTGGGACAGATATTCTGTTATTTTTTCAAGACATTTTTCAGTTTATCCATGTGGACAATCGTTCATTCACCTGCCTGCAACCTATATCACTAAGGTTCACTTTTCTTGAGAGTGCTGTTTCCACTTCACACATGTCTAAGGCACTTTTCAGCTGATTTTTCTATGCCAATTTGTCATTGTCCTGCTTTCTCAAATGTGTGGTTACCCTCAAAAATTAGAGAAAAGTTAATATATAGGAGCATACTTTGCCTGCCTGATCTGTTTACTTGTGGAAAAAGATGCCAAACCATACAAAATATTGCAGTCTTCTTGCATTGTAGATATTTTGTTTATTTTTGTCTCATGAAATCAAAAGGTATTTTTTTTGTACTTTATCACATTCATATAGGTGATCATAGTCTTACATTTCTCTGTGAAAATGGTTTAAGCTGATGATTTGCTAACAGACAGTGAATGGCATGTAAAACTGTGGTAGAGTTTTGTCATATAGCTCAAATGGATCACTAAATTATTCTGCTGTTTAGGTAATCCAATCCATGGAATAGCTTGAACTATAAAAATGGTTGACAATAAAATGTGAGAGATATTTTGAAAGGGGTTAAAATTTTAACCTAATAGCCAGTCTGTCAAAGTGTTTCGCAGCAGAAATGGGTGGTGCGCCTGATGCTAAAACCATCCACTCTAATCAGAAAGAAACTGTCCAAGTGGTTTTATGAAACAAAACATGTGATGTACAAATCATCTAGCAAAAAGACAGAGTGCTTTCAGGTGCACTGAGAATGCATAAACACCTCTCTATACACACTGTAGTTGTTGTTCAAGAAATCTTTGAACATATCTTATTGACAGTTGTGGCAAACATATTTTCACTTTGCAAAAATCAAGGAATGCTCTGAAGTGCATTGATTGTGGATCAAAAAGTTATCATCCCTTTCTCTGGAATGCGAACCAGTCACTTCTGTAGTTTTGTATGGAAAAAATTCAAGTATACAGAAAATTCTATGAGAGATATCAAGGAAAATGTGTAGTATTCATCAGGCTACCAAAATAAACTTGAGCAAATTTAAATTTAATTTAAAAAAATTAAAGTGGAAGCCAAGGAATAGGTATATTTTTCATGATAATGGTAGAACTTATCAGGGAATTTTATGCCTTTTGCAGCAAGCATTATTCCTTTTATAAGTTTATTGATTAAAATAAAAATCTTTGTTTTCAGACTTCTTTTTTTTTATTCTTATAAGATTCCTCTGGTACTATAAATATAAGCATGGTGAAATAAAAAGGGTGATGCTTTTAGTCTTAATTTGGTGCAGGTTTGGCTGTTCTTGGTCTGTAATTTATGTTGATGACAACTGACTTAGGGTAACAGAGCAATAAATAACTGCAGTGCACCTTACAGATTGAAGTAGCTTATTGAACAAGACAGATAACAATTGAATTAAAACAGCAGCTAAAAAACTGACTGATAAGAAATTAAGATAGTGGGAGACTAGCCCCTTAACTTACAGTAGATAGGGGCATGCAGTAGGACATGCAGTAAGGCAGGCAACAAGGTTTGACTTGTGATAAGCTACATGAGTTTCCCTTACTTAAGGCTATGTTTGATTTAATCTTATTGTTAATTATTATTTACTGAAGTAATGACGTTAACTTTAGAAATGCTAATTTTACACTTAAGTTTTTCAGCTGTGAGGCAGCTATTTTTAATGGCATATTTGGTTTAAAGCTCACTGATCAAGAGAATTGCAGCCACTGTTATTGCTGCTGTCAAACCTTTTTACTATATTCACTGTTCTTGGAAAAAAGAACCTGTTTTATACTGATGCTGACCAACAACATTACCAGTCTCCAGTTAAATATCTACTTGTGATGAACATTTTATCCTTCCCCATTGACAAAACTAGAAATCCAGAAATATTTAATAGTTTTTGTAAGTTGCTTCTTGTGAATGCAGCTGAGTGTAAAAATTGTGACAGAGGTTACTTAAATGTTTAAATTGGTATTCTCTCTCCTTTTATCTCATTCTCAAATGGGAATAAAATTTTGAGAGATCTTTAAACGTGAATTGACATTACAGTGTTCATTGGTATTCCTGTTGAGAAGCATAGATATACAGCTCTAGTTGAAAAGCAGATCTTTTTTTCTTTAAACAACCACAAACCATACACTGCAACCAATTGAAAAAAGTGGGTAATAACAGGAGACCATTGAAATTTTGATTTGAAACAGCAGCTGAAAAAGTGGCTTACAGCAAAGGTACATGTAGTGAAAGTACATGTAGTTCTTCACAACTTACATAAGATAACTAAGCTGTATGTGAGTCCCAATGGATTCTAACATTATACACTGTTTTCTCATCATGACTTCATGGGTTTCTTTGGAACCAGCATAATGACCAGCTCCCAGTTGGCTTGTTAGCTCAGTTGGCAGAGCACTTAACTGGTATCGCAGAGGTCATGGGTTCAAATCCTGTACAGGCCTGAATTTTTTCAGGCCTTATTTTCATGACTGCTGATCAAGTAGTGTTCATTGCTGTTTCATATTCACTATACACTGTATTCTGATAATTATACATTGTACGCCATTTGTGTCCTAGAACTGATTGATAAATCTATCAAATTTTTATCAATTTTTTCCTAATGGCTTCATGAAGGGTTCTGGCTGACGAGTGCAAGCATTTGATAGATGGCCTGTTTTCTCCAGCATTTGTGGAGAAGATCTCTAATGGACAGCTAAATGCAATTATCAGTTTGACCAAAAAGTGCTAATGTGTGCGGGATCTCAATTTTAGAAAAAAAGAACAAAAAACATAATAAATTTAAAAGTCTTGATGTTTTCCTTCCCATTTTTCTATTTGAGATAATCATTTTAGGCACATCTTTCAACTTACGTGTTAACCTGAATTCTAAAAGGTTGTTGAAAAATATTAAATGCAGTAGATAAGTTAATTTAATGTTTAAAACATTTCAACTGGGCTGTTCATCAGCTTATGTATGATCACCATGTTACTTGAAAAATGTTTTAGGAGCAAATTAATTTTAGTTTTATATCTTTACAAATAAAGATGTGAACATTATTGTAGTTAAAAGTAACACTCACTGGATTGAAGATATCTAAGACACAAATTTTTGATGAATCATGCCTCACACCAAAAAAAAAAAAAAAAAAAAAAAAAAAAAAAAAAGCAACAAGCTGCCACAGATGTTTAAAGAGGGTGCTTCCTGAATAGAATATGAAATAAGCCATCATGATAATAGAATTGCAAGATTTTGGCTTGCTTTTCAAAACTTCTCTAAATTTACTTTGAGCTTATGTCTGATCACCATGTTACTTGAAAAATATTTAGGAGCAAATTAATTTTAGTTTTATTTCTTTACAAATAAAGATGTGGACATATCTTTAGTTAAAAGTAACACTCACTGGATTGAAGATATCTGAGACAAATTTTTGACAAATCATGCCTCACAGCGAAAAAAAAAAAAAAAAAAAAAGCAACAAGCTGCTATGGATGTTTAAAGAGAGTGTTTCCTGAATAGAATATGAAATAAGCCATCTTGATAATAGAATTGCAAGAATTAAGTTGCAAGATTTTGGCTTACTTTTCAAAACTTCTCTAAATTTACTTTGAAAAATTCTAAAATCTGTTGGTTGGATGAATTTTTTGGTTCCAGTTAGGACATTGAGTACATTTTAAGTCCTGTAGTTTTATGTGGATGCTAATGTACTAATGAAAATATAGTAGACAGAATGACAACTGAAGTAAGGTTATTAGTTTCTGAAGAATTATTAAGTTGCACTTTCAGTCAAGTGAAACACTTTGTTGGTTATTAACTATAAGTTGATGAAAGTATATGTAGACTCTCATGGCAAATTTCATGTTGTATTGAAAGCTGACTCTTAACATTAATAATTATTGACTTATGTCTGGCAGTAAATTCAGTTTGTAATTATTATGCATTTTTGGCTCTTGATTGTGGCATCTTTCTTTATGTAACAACATATCCATATTCACTTTCTCTCATGCTCTGCACAAACTGTGCATGATACTTACAGTATGGGCCTGAACATGGCTTCTGTAGCTCAGCTTCAGTCTAGGAAAGGGTTTTTGAGAATTGCGGATCAATTTGAGGGACTGTAAACTTACTTTTAAGAGGTGCTGTACCTGAAAATTGTAACTTGGTGGGATTCTGATCCCAATATCCAAGAAATTAGATATTTTTCATGCTTTGGACAATACTTCAAATCTTTCCTTTTTTCATTTGTCCTTTCTACAGTGATAATTGTATTAATTTTGACAACACCACTATTTTTAGCTGTTAGGCGGCTATTTCCAAAAGCATATTCATTTAAAGTTCAAAGATTTCATAAAGATGGCAATCTCTGTCACAGCTGCTGTCAAATCTTTTTTTTATTCTTAGACTATTTACAGTTTTACAAAAAAATATTCAGTCTACCAAATAGACCAAGTCCACACTCCCAACACTACAGTTCTTCATTATCTCTTACCTGCTGGACTTTTTCCCATGTAAATGAGGTTAGACGTCTACACATGCACTCACACAGTTAATTGTTATGGTTAAATTTCGCCTGTTTTTTTTTCAGTTTCTTTGTTACTTCCCATAAACAAAGCTGGCAGTCTAGAAATGTTCTCTGCATGGGACATTTTCATTATCTTGGATTTTTTGGGGTCAAACTTTTATATAAACATAGGTCAGCAGGACGTGGGAGAAGCCTTCTTAAAGTCTATTCTCCCTGAAGGAATTGTATTAATAGCAAAAATTACCCAGAAAAGATCATTTGATGCGATCTAAACTCGCAAATAGTACCTATGATCCTCCTTACTAATCTATTTGTGGGTAGTGCTAAATCCAAAACACTCTGTTATACTTTGTCTCCAAAAAACGAACAGACAACCCCTTAGTTTCCAACTTTTTGACCTCAGGTAATCACTGTCTGTAGTTGATTTTTGAATGAAATGCGAGAGGTGAACTCTGATAAGCCTTAGGCACTAATGCATTTAAGATGTGGGACATTTTCAATCTGGAAATTAGGGAAATGTTTTCCTTTTACTCTATAGTATTTCTAAAAATGTTGTTCACAACACTGAACTTTATGAATATGAAAGCAAAATTCCATCGAAGCTTCATAGAGATCGCACAAACACAGTGGTCTAATCCAGACAGTCTCAAAGATCATGTAACCATTTTGATGTCTACATATATGTAGAAAATATGAGAAAGGGCAGCAGGGGCCTGATGTACAAATTGTAATTTTGTAAACAAATGTTGTGAAGGTTTCCTTGCTGGTTGTAAGAAAAACATTAAAGTAAGCAAGTAACTTGATTAATCTAGTTTTTTGAAAAATTGATGTTCATCCTCTGGTTTCTGACATTTCCATAAGATTATGCTTAGTATGAGAAATTCATGACTTATTATATTGTAATGGTTGACAAGTTTGAAAATTAGATTTTAACAGGAAATTGCAAACCTACTATCATAGTGAATATTTTTTAAAGGAAAAATGTTTGGATTTGTTGAGACTAAAACTCTCTCAAGGGAAACGTAGCTGTAATATTGAATTTGAAATATATATTTTTTTAGATTCTGAGATTTAATTAGAATCTCTATAAGTGTATATATTAGCTGTTTGATGTACTTGAAAAAACGCTGGGGCTCATATAGTCAGTTTATTGATGCAATGCAAGACTTGATGTCTTCCCCGACTAGCCTTACTTCTATAATCCAATATTTATCAAATAATACAGTCACTTGCCCACTATTTTCAACTTCAAAAATTGTTCAAATTATTTAGGCTTTAGTCCTCATCAGGAACTGGCATTATCAGTATTGGCATGAATTCTTTCTGGGAAATTCACCCATCCTTGCATTGATGAGAAGTAGAGTAATGTCATGAATGATTGGTATGACAACATTAGTGGTTTTCTATTGTGGAGAAAGTTATTAAAAACTGTTCAGAGATGCATTAATTTGTATTGAATCTTGGAAAGAAAAATTTTGTATTGACATCTTCATATTTTAGCACTTCTGCCACAGGGTTGAAAAATATACACTGCTCTAATGAAAAATATTGAACAAGGATCTTTTGAAATAGTGGCAGTTTTCTTTACCAACGTGTATGTAGCATTAACGGATCTCCATAACTGCAAAATTCTTCAGTCTTTCTTGGTAAAAACGGAAGTCGTTGGTTTGTCAACGTCCGTGAACGTGACCGAGGTATCGTATTTTTTCGCTGAGTGATGGTGACGTCATGATCGTGGTGTGAGAACTGCTCTGATTGGTCAATGAACAAAGCTCAGGGGCAATGTCGTCACTTCTTAGAAGCAGCTATATTTGACTCGTGACGTTAAAACAAACCAGAATTTTCAGGATTTGTTACCTGAGCTCTCTTGTTTCGCTTGCCAGTTCCAAGCTATACATGTGGGAAAAATGTTGTGATTTCAGCTATCGCACCTGTAGAAATCGAAAGTAAAACTCCTGACTTAAAGAAACGAGGGGAAATTTTCGAGTGTTTTGGTCCTGTAACCGTGACAATAGCCTGTGATAGGCGGGGCGTTATGGCCAAGGTGAGCGATTTGATTGGTCAGTGATTTCCTGTTTGACAAGTCAGGTCTCGTGATGCAAGGTTCACCCGTGGCCTGCAATGAAAACAATAACAAAGAGAAAATTTACTTCGAGGGAAAGTCTAATCCTGACTGATTTTCGTTGAAATCGTACTGTTTATCTCAGTGAGCCATAGAAGTACATGCAGCAAGGAGTAGATTTTACTCCAGTACGTTCCTTTTCAACGAGAATTATTTTGAAATTATAATCTGCACTTAACTTAAAGTTTAGCAGGTTCTGCTCCTTCCTCGAGCTGGGTTGTTTGATAAGTTACATAACGAATTTTTCCAAATTGATTATTTTTCAGCCTCCATTGGACGTGGAGAGTTCGTGTGAGGAAAGTTTTGGTGTGTTTTCTCCATTCGAGGACGATGAATTCGAAGGCTCGCGAACGAGCTTTTGGGGAGAGTCGAATGGAGGTGGAGGACGAAACGGCTGGGACAACGTTCAGACATTGCCTTCTTCTCCGTTTGGCGGGCTCGGAGGCGATTTTGATATGGAACTGGAATTTTTTCGAAATGATGTAAACGAGGACTGCAAAGTTGCTGGGCCTACTTTAGCCGAACTAAACGATCACCGCTCACTGTCTCCTTTGATTAATCCCGAAATGGAGCGTCTTCATCGCATTGCCACTCGCATGGAAGGCGATTCTTCCCCTTGGGATTGCACAACTCGGAAGCCACAGGGCTACATCGCTTTAGAGCTCACGTCGGACAAGGATGAAAGAAGGGTTGCTCAAGTTAAACAAGAACCTGTTCTTCTATTTTGTGAACATAATGACAGATTTGAAAAATCGTCTTTAGTTTCTAAAGATGCGGAGAAGAAACGTCCGAGCAAACCAACATGGACTACGACCCACGAGATAGCTTCTGCACATTGCAATAATGAGGGTGAGAAATCAGTGTCCGCGGACGATCAAAACTCATCACAGAAAGTTTTATTGCTTGATAAACAGTTGGGCAGTGAAGTAAATAATCAAATGCCTAAGTTAGTTTCAGCGGAAATGAAAGCTCAATTATATTCAGAGGGAACGAATCTGCGCGAGGATGTGAGAATTGTAGCCGATCGGGACACGATTGAAGCTGATCCGGGCAGTCCTGCTGTAGAATACGATTCCGCGGATGAAGACATGGATAGTGATGAAGATTTTGATGTAGAGAACCACTCGCATGGTACAGGATTAGCCAGAAATCGGAAAGGTCGTAGGGGAGACCAAGATGACCTTTCTCCGAATCCAAAAAAGTTGCTAGAAATCAGCCGAGAGCTGGATCGCTTAAACAAAGTTATAGGTGACTTAAAGCCGATACATCAGTTGCCACAGAACGCTCGAAACAAGTCAAGAAAGGAGAAGAACAAGTTGGCATCAAGGTAACATATTATTTTCATTTATGCACGGAGCTAGCTTATGAAGGAAAATCAGCTTAAGTTAACCCCCTTGAATTTTGTTAGCTTGTAAATGTACAACGTACAAGCATTAGTCCATTTCAACGCAAATCGTCTCTTCAAAACTTGCTACTTAATTCGATGTACACATCGATCACTGAGTTTGAATGGACTGAATTTTGTCGCTTCTTCTTTTCTTCCTTAAGTCGGTTCTGCTTTCACTTACAAATTCGCCAGACAACATTTCTTAATTAAGTGTCTTACAAGGAAATGGTCTACTTTGAGGTCAGCTGCGCGGAAGTTGTGGATTATGAAAGAATGTCGAAATCGACTTTTTGGTTTTAGGTTGTTTTTACTGTGGGATGTGAAAAATACTTGCAGGCTATTCTTATACCGTGATTGGACTTCGATCTGTTTATGTCCTTACATTTGAAATTATTTTGTCTCCTACTGTTAGACGGGGTTTAAAAACTTCACAATGTCGAAGTTTCTTTTTTGATAACAGGATTAATATGTCCATCTGTAGGGTGAAATCCTACTGGTATTTATGTACTAAGCACATATTTGTTGGAGGGATTTTAAAGGGGGAAAAGTTCTCGCTATTTATGGTCGAACATTTACATATAAGATTATGTGCACGATGCATTTCGTCAAGCTTTGTGAGCAATGTATGAAATTTTCTTGACTTTCTGTGCGAAGTGGCAGCAAAGTAAATTTTTTTCGTTGAACAGATTGGAATTCAGCAAAGTGCCTGAACCTGCTGATTCCTTACATAGAATTAGTAGAATGTATTTAAAAAATTCAGGTTTGTGATTCGAAGTTGAGGGGCGACAAAATTAAAAATAAAAATCAAGATAGTCATTTATTCAGTGTTATCTGTTGCAAATAATGCAGCTGCAGCAGATATTAGACTCCACAACACTGGACACATTTCCCAAAAAAAAATCACAGCTGAAATTTTTTTTGAAAACAAAACTCTATTGTTAACTTGATATTAGGCTGCATTTTCATAGTTGTAATATTACAAGTAATATATCATGATTGTAAACATAATGTGTTATTGTTGTGGTCCTGTCACAAAGTTCAAGTATATTTGAATTTGTGGGAATTTCAAGTAATGGAATTTTGTTTATATTTAAACAGTATTCACTTTGGCTGAGAGATATATTTAGACCAGCTGGCAAAAAAGAGTGAGGATGAAATTTAAAACCGTCTGCCACTTTTTTAATACAGATTATCTTCACAACAAAGTAAGATAAATTTTGCCAAATGCTCTACTCTGGAGTTCAAATTTAGGTTTCTGTTGCTTTCTACCTTTATGATATCATTCTGGTTTGCTACTTACAATCAGACTGACCTTGTTGTACTTTAGATTTTTTCCTTTATTGCAAACTATGAAAAACAGCAAGGAATATATAGCTTCTTGATCATTTTGCCTTGAAATTCTGACAGATAGATGGGAGTGATTATTGACAACACTTGAAATGTTTGGTTAACCATACTGCATGTTGTGTTAAGTTTGGTAGCCAATCAAATTGTTTATTTTAAGTCAATGGTTTACTTGGTAATACCTGTACATTATGTACAATGTAACAAACCATGAATGCTGAACATAAAACCAGGACTGGTGCTTTTAATTCCTTCTGGAAATGTCATACAACAATACAGTGTGCTATATGTAACAATACCAACATGGGCAACATTTATATTGCTTTTGCAGTTGAGGTTGGAAATGGATTTTCTCTTCCTTCTGTTTTTTATTTATAATTGATTCTTTGAAATGATGCAGACAGCATCACTTGTCTTAACGCATTTTATATTACAGTACCTAAGGTAGCCACACTCTGTTCTACAATAAGGTCACCACATTTTCATTTCACTTTTTTAATGTCCACATATGGCAAAGACCTGGTGTTACCAGGGGGTTGCAAATTGTTGATTTCAATATAGGGTAGTTTCTGGTTGAAGTGTTTATCATTTTGGTTGGCTATAGGAAAAATTCACAGATTTTCCAACTGTTTGCCAGCTGAAGAAATAAAAAAAATATTTTTTACAGATATTATTATGAACTTTGACCATGGATGTTTTGATTTTTCCTCTTTTATCTCTTTTTTTTTAATATTTCAAATCTTTGCTCTTTTATATATTATAGAATTTTTTGTACTCACATTTTCAGGTATTTGTCTGGAACAAATGCAGAACCCAAGAATTTGATTTTTAGAAATGAAGTTATTGAAAAAATCGTTATTAAGGGCCAAAACTGATAAATTTAAAGGATTTTATGTGCAGTGAATGTTCCTGACTTATTGTACACACAAAAGCTTTAACCTGCAGCACTTGACATAATTTTAACAAATAGGCTGTTGTAGCAATATGAATTCACTATTGAAGTAAATTCTTGCGAACTTTGTGAACATATTTCAATTTATATCTACTGTAGCAATAACAATTATAACCACCCAATATGGGCAAAACTGTCAGGTCACAGTAATACACTTATTTGTCCATCACACAAGAAGCAAAATGATTGGGAGAAACTCTGTCAAAGGGGCATGCAACGAATCATTATGAGGAGTATTATAATTACTTTTTGATTACTATTATTATCTAGAATATTGCTGTTATCAATACTATTATCATTACTGTTATCATTATTACTGAAAGACTGGGTGGAATTTCCCTCAAAGCTGGCTATATTTATTTGTTTGACCTACAATTTGATCAAGATACATTATTTTGCCTTTTTCTTTGTCACTTTTCACTTAATGTTGGTTTTTTGGATCTGTACAGTAGGCCATAAATTTGAAAGGATCAGTAACAAACACTTTTAGTATGTAGCTGTTTTATTGTTGATTTTACTGTGCTTGTTGGTAATAAAATATGGGTTGTTCATTGTGGCTTTTAAACTAATTGCAAATGAAAATATGCCTCTTGCAAGATTTTGTTTCAACAAGCCATTTTGTTTTACAGTGTCACTCTGTGTTGACAGTCTTGACCTGAAACTCAATCCTCAACTTTCAAAACCAAGTTTTAGGGAACTGTATCAACTTATATTTCAGCAGTCCACTTTCATGTATACTTCTTTACAAGGGCCCATAACTTTTAGGCATTTTTAGCTTCATAGATACAGTAGCATCAAAAAGATAACCACATGTACTTTTGCATTTCATAGGGCTTGCAGATTGAAGAAGAAAGCTCAGCATGAAGCAAATAAAGTTAAGCTGCAGGGTCTGGAAATGGAACAACGTGAGTTGAAAGTAGTCTCTTTCCTCTATAGTTGACTGATATTAAACAAAGTTTGCCACCAAGCATGATAGCCAGTGGTCAAGTAAGAAACACACTTACATATATCTTCGACACTTTCTCTGGATTTGTAAACATGATCTTGAAAATTTTTCTTGGAATGGTTGCAGGTCTGTTTTGAAGGTGACTTATTTGATAACAAGATTATCTCTTTATTTATTTTTTAATTACTTTTTTTTAAATATTTTTAATAACTTTTTAAAATAACTTTTAAATTATCGTTTTAAAACTGAACTGGTGAGCAGCTCTCTGCGAACAGTAATTGTAAAACTTCTTTATTCTCCAACGCATCTCCATTACAGCTTTAGCTAAAACCATGGCCCCCAAAATATTTTTCTCACCTTGGCCACAGACTTTTCAAATTTTCCACAACTTCGCCTGTTCATAAGTTAGGCCAAGCCTTTATGGTCACTGGCCCCTGTATGGCTGCTAACTATGGCTTATAGATACAAGCGTGTAGTATTTACTGGGAAAACTCCCTGAAGAAGTCTACAATTGTTGGACAAAACACGTCGGAGAGTAAGGAAGTTTTACAACTACTGTTCGCAGAGTGCTACTCCCTAGTTCAGTTTTAAAAAAAATTAATTAAAAAAATTATTTTAAAAAATTAATTAAAAAATATTTTAAAAATAATTTTAAAATTTATTTAAAAAATTTTTTAAAAAAATTTTCCCAGATTCTCAGTACATTTGTTGTGAAACTAGAGAGAAAATTTGGTGTTACATGTATATCAAGTTAACCTTCTCTGGAAGATTATCTTCTTATCTGGTCACCTGCTTTTTACAATAATTTATGTATATTGATTATTGGATCAGGTATTGCTAGTAGGTATTCAAGAGTTACAGGTTAAATAAACTCATCCTAGTCAATGTGCATATCTAAGAATACTGACACATAAATAATATAGGTAATGCAATGTAACAGATATTCTAAGGTATGCCAGTGCTGATATAGGTTGTGGAAAGTTATGTGAATTGTAATAAATTACTTTTTGTAATCTGAGCTGATCAGTGAACATTCTGCTTGATCCATCATAAATGTTTCATTAGTTCTACAGAATTTTAAAGTAGGAAATAAAGGTATATAAATGATTGATGACTTAACTCTTGTTAGGTTTAGTAGAACTGATGTGTAGCTAGACTGTGGACATGATTGTCATGCAGGTGCCTCTGAAATCACCTTAGCTATCATTTGTATGAAAAGTTTTAGAGATTTCAGGAAACTTGAATGTCATTTTTGCAGACATGGAGAAGGAGAAGCCATACGTCTTGAGAATTCTTGCTGTGTCTGAGTGTTTTCATATTTTGCACATGAATAATAACATCATACTCTTGAAGATTTCTTTAATACAGTTTATACAACCTGTTACTGACAAGCTGCAGTATTCAGGTGTTATGAAGTAATCTTGCTACTTACACAGGCCACTCTAGATGTAAATGTACATATGTGCTTGTGTTTCATGTCATTAAATATTTGTTGCTCAAGGTGTAGTTGAATGTAAAGTAAAAGTCTGTGTTCTTGTTTGTTTAGAGCGCCTGACAGATGTCATTGACAAGGTGAAGAAAGAAATCATAGTAAAAGGCAATTCTCCGCCTTTGGATCCAAAGCCAAACTTGAGCGTACAGATTGAAACTCTTATCAAGGGCACATTTGGTAAGTTCTAGGTGTCTGTGTTGCATTTTGACAAGATACTTCAATTACTTGTATCTTAAATCTCAAAAACATACCTGTGCATTACAGGGTGTGAAATTAATTTTTATTTCTGATAGCCACTTGGCTCCTAAATACTTAAAAGTGGTAGCCAATTCAGAAAAAGTTGGTCGCCATTTTTAAAGACAAACAAAACCTTTTTTCAAGCTGTCAGCGCTCTGGCTAGACCCTCCAAAATTAAATTAGGAAAAAGATCTTTAATGTGCTACAAAGTGGGCACTAGGATGAATGATGTTCAAGCTCACCTAAATCCAAGATCAAGATGCATGTGCTGTATTTTGGAAACAAACTTAACAAGGAAGTTTGCTGCTGATTCATCTTTGCAAATCTTTTTAATTCACTATATCTCTAGGTAAGGTTATGATGAAACATTCTAGTCACCAATTTGGCAACCAATTTTCAGGATTTGGTCGCCAAAGTGAAAAATTTAGTCACATTGGTGCCTGTAATAGGCACAATTTCTCGCCCTGCATAACTACATGTAGGACAGCCTTAAAGACAAGTTGTGATACAGGAGCAGTTTGTAGTACTGGCTAGGCAAACATATTTGTCTTCATTTTTGCAAGATTGCATCATTAGCTGTAGAGTTAACCAATATTTATCTTTTTCAATACTGTAACAGAAAGAGTTTTCTATTGTATGTAAGATAGGGAATATTTTTGTCTTTCATTTCTCACAGGTTGCAAGGTGGGGAACTCTAGATTTGTTATGGCACAGCCCCCTCACATTTCATCCCAGAAGTTACTACTTTCCCCTAGCCAACTAGTGGCTTGGTTACATTCAGTCTTGTAGTCTGTTTTTAAATTGATTCCTTTGAATGCTCTGCCAGCTCCCTTTTAAAAATTATTTTCTTCTCTGGTTATTTGTTTTTCTTGCATGGAGAACATTCAGAAGAGAACAATGTTAGTATCTTTTGTATGTGAAATTAGATCTATTTTAGCATAACAATCATGATTCAGTAACTGGTTCTCTTTCTCTACCCAGGGAACCAAGTAATTGCTGGTCATACTTCAGATTTTGTGTATTCAGTTCTGAAAGCCACAGCAAGGGAGAACCCATCACTTGGAAAACTGGAGGACCTTTCCCTGTGTTTCTAAACTGATCTGGGGATCAGGGATTAGAGATGCATGGATACTTGATCCAGGGGTGCATGGTGAACTGTCTGTTGTTAATTAGTAGTTATAGTTGTGTTTTGTTAAGCTTGAATGGTATTTACATTGATGAGTTACTTCGTAACAGCTTAAATCAAATATCAGGACTCAGTCGTGTTACCTTGATCAGCAGCCTATAATAACACATACATAAACTTTCTCTTGTGGTTTGTGCACCAGGTTAAGAATGCCTTCATTATCTTTAGATGCTCTAAAATCCAGAAATGCCTTGATTTGCATCCTATTCTGGTTTTTGCTGTGAAGAGATAGTGTAATGTTTGTACAGACACTTCTGCATTCCACATTGTCTGTAATGTGTACTGCATTGATTACGGCTTCGTGCTTCTTTTATTCACTAGCTTTCCTTTTTGGCCATTGTGTTAATGGTGTCTTACTGATGGCAGAGGACACCTTCTTGTGACAATTTTCATTCAAAGTCTTGAAAACTTAATAATCAGGAATGGCTTTGATACTGACAAAGTAGTAAGCTTTATCAAGAAAGCGTTCTTTTCACTCTTTACATGTAAAATATAAAACAAAGTGATGATTTTTTTTGTGAACAAGCACCAGGCATGCAATACATGTTTGGTGTGATGTTTAGAATCTATTCATATGGTCAAGGTAAACACTCTAGAAACTTATTTAAAAAGTTTCTGTTGTATAATCAAAGTATGGGAAGTATGCTTTGCATTTGCGAGAAAAGTGCTTGTTTTTTTGGGTACATATAAGTGATTGAAATATGTTTTGGGATTCAGATATTAGCTTACTGGTCTATTTGCATTAATTTTTTAGTGCAAAGGATAGATCATTGTTTTGATTGGTGGAAAATGGTTGTTGAGTGCTCTGTCAGCAAATTGTACATGTACATGTGTAATGTGTTTTTTACATGGTATGGACTATGACTGAAATGCTGTTTAAATTATACATGTACAGCTTTTGAAGGACTAAGTAATTGTCCAAAGACAATTTTTTAAAACAATTATGATGACAGTAAAGTAAATTAAAGTCTAGGAAAGCTGGAGTGCATCCTTTACACAACCTAACTTGAAAAAAGCAGCTAATTGAAGGGTGCATGGAGTTAAGCTTCACTTGACTTTTGATTCAACAATGACCTCTCACTGACTTTCACATTGAAACATACAACAATTTGAAAGGAAAATCAAGCAGTTTAACAGATGTCACTGTGGGTCTTTTTTCCATGCACCCTTTCAACCAATCTTCAACAAAACAATGATTTAAAAATGTATGTTCCGTCCCTGAGTGTTATTGGGTAATATGTGTAACTCATAGATGTTCAGGTGTGCTGGAATTGTTTATCAAGTCCACTTGCTAATTACTTACCAAAGATAACATTCTCAAAGATAGTCCATGTAGATGTAGCTGTGCATGTATTGCTGAAAATGGTATAAAAATGGAATCGGCTATTGGAAAGTAGTTCAAATTGACAACAGCAGTGTCCATAATTGTCAGTTGGCCAATGTGAGGTACAAGAGTGAAACAAAATTGTTTAAGTTAGTGTTCCATGTAATTTAAGAAGTGGGTAATAATTAGAACTGCTCCTCTTGGCTCTTACCGGTAATTGCATTGTAGGGTCACACAACGATTCATACTTCAACTCCTAAAGGAAACTTAATGTAACCTTTGCCTTTGTACTTGATACTTGTTTAAACAAACAGTCAGGTATCTGGTACAAAAGAGGGTTCTTGAAAGGGTTCAAGACTCAAATTATTTCACAGTAGCTTTTTCTACTGCAGGTATTATTAGCATGGCCTCTGAATATCAACCACAAAAAATTTTGGTGCCTGATTTATTGATATTTTATCATACACTTTCTGAAATAATAAGATCCATTGTATTGCATGAATACAAGGGCTTTGCAGCTATAGCATAATATTTTATATCTGGTATTTGGTATTTAATGTTCTTTTTTAAGTAGAGATTCACTGCTCCTCATAGGAGCTGAAAAGACACGAAAGTCTTATGATATATGAGGGACAGTAGTTGATTAGGGATTATATTTATAACATTGGTTGACAAAGAAAGGTGCCCTTATCTGAATGTTTACTGTTAATGAAACTGACAGTTAAGTAGAGAAGGAATTTGGGTTCACACATTCTGGGTTTAGAAGTTTCAAAAAGTAATATTGAGGAAGTCGTTTGTTGGTTTCTTTCATGACTATACATAGAATTTATCTCAGTTGAGATGTGACTTCATTGTATTGAGGGATAGACATTTGAGGGCATCTTATCTCCCATTGTAAATAAAATTGGAGTGGAGGAAATGGATCAAAACTTTGTTTGTTTAAGGATTGTGGAGTTCTATTTGCTAAACGCTTGCTTTGTTTGTGTTTACAACTATGGTATTTACATTGGTAGTCCAAAGATCTGCAGGCAGACTTGTGTCATAATTTCAATTCTAAGAGTGCACTGGTGTGTTCTATTCCAGAGTGATAACATTTGGATTTAATTCTCAAGTATTGGTGTTGTTTTGCCATTAAGGGCTAAGGAACACTGATGTTTCCTTTTGTATTTGTATTGTTCTTTTATAATGTTTAAAGCATCTGGAATTTAAAAATCAATTTAATATGTAGACTCCTTGGAAATTCCCAAGTATTCTATTTGTAACATAAGAGGAGCAGTTATCTTTATCATATTGTAACATAGATCTATGTATATACAGTAGGCTATTTTGTTATCTGTATAGTGTAAATAAACAATGAGGGTTGACGGAACAGCATTTTATAACTTGTAACATAAACTTACTTGAATCCTCATCAAGGATTCAGCAGATTGTATTTTCATATTATTGCGTTTCTTGACATCGGGGACTTAATTTATCCAGCAGAAGGGTGGACTTAATAAGTTATGTTGAATTGTTTGATTTCTCAAAGCAATAAAGGTCAGTAGATCAAAACTGTAAGAGCTTTTTTTTTCCTTTTTTTTTTTTCTTTTTTTTCACTTATTTGTTAATTGTTCATGATTTGTGAGTTGTTGTTGTTGTTGTTGTTTCCTCTTTTTGACATTTTTGTATGAAATCAACTGTCCCCTACTAGACAGCTGTAAAGAAGGACAACTTCCTGTAATAGTCCATTTTACAGTTGTGTGCTTGGTTGCCAAGCATTTGAACAGAAGCGAGGGTAAGGGTGACCTTACTGCAAACCTTGTTGCTTTTCTATTAGAAATTACTTTGTTATCATGCAAACTAGATACTGGTCTCTATCACGATAAGGTTACTTTCAGCCTCACTCAAAATCAAAGGCCTGACAACTAAGTGCACTAAGAAATGGCCTATTGATAGTTTTTAACCTTTTAACTCCCATGAGTGACCAGGACAGAATTTCTCCTTACAATATCAAGTAGACGTGAAGAGAATAGAGAAAAATATCACCTAAGGTTACCAGTTGATCCAATATTAAATTCTCAGACCTAGCATCATACTTATTGTATGGCAGACAGTAAGGAGAACTATTAAAGAGATCTTAGGAACGAAAGCGTTAAGAATATGATCCCAGCGACTCCGTTTGGTATGTCACGCAGCGTAATGAGACTCTACTGCGCGACTCTTCTCCGGTCAACTGCATGAACAGTGAAACGTTACTGCAACGATTGTGTTGTAACTTCACTCAATACCCGCAGTTCTTGTATGTCTCCGTTTCCTGGAAAATGTTACATTCATTTCTTGAGGAACTAAATTGTAGTTAATAACAAATGCACGGGTGCATTCGTTTACCACGTTTTTTCATCTGTTGTTGTTAAGAAAGTCACAAATAGACACAACAGAACTTTACTTGTATGTTACGCTGCATCCGTGCATTTGTTGTTGAAGAAACGAACAACGCTTCCCTTTGTTGTTAGAAACAAACAACGCTTTGAGAGTTGTTACTCAAACATATTTAAATTCTGACCATACAATCGATTTCTGTGTCGTCTAAGTCTTCATGGTATTGTTAGAAACCAATAAAAAGTTTCTCAAGCATACGAAATGTCCGTGAATAAGAAACGAGTACATACCAAACGAAGAGCGCTTCCCTTTGTTGTTAGAAACGAACAACGCTTTTAGGATCGTTACTCAAACATATTTCAATTCCGACCATACGATCGATTTCTGTGTAGTCAAAGTCTTCATGGGATTGTTAGAAACTGAGATAAAGTTTCTCAAGCTTACGAAACGTCCGTGAGTAAGAAACGAGTACATACTAAACGAACAACGCTTCATTTGTTGTTAGAAACGAACAACGTTTCCCTTTGTCGTTAGGAAAGAGCAACGTTTTTAGAATCTTCATGGTGTAGTCGGAAACAAAGAGCGCTTTAGTGATAAGAATGTCTCAACTTTATCGCCTATTTACAGTCTGAAATTCTGATCTTTTTAGTATATGGTTCTTCGGGCGACTTGACTTTTTTTGGGGTGACACTACTTAAATTTCGGACAACATGACTTAGGTTTCAGGCGACATGATTTTGGGCGAGATGACTCTCGAGCGACTTGATCGATTTCCTTCAGAGCTTTCCACCTCACATTTCCCGTTGATGAAGTCATATGATACCTCAAGGTCACCCTCAACTCTCATTCCAAGGGTCATCTCTCCCTCCTACTCGTCACATGATCACGCCGTTGTATGTCATGAGTATGACATACTACCTGCACATGATCAGCGAACAGTTTTGAAAAAAAGTCGCGTGCGGTGTTGATGAGTGAGTAATGCGTGCTGTGATATATTATTAAGACGGGAGAGGAGCAGGGACAATTTCCTAGTCGATCGCCTGAGTGGCTTACCACGAATAACAGAATATTTGTTGGGCATGCTGTGCATACCGTGATATGAGATCGATTTAATGCTACGTTTAACGTGAACGTAAAAACTGACGTTTTATTTCGTTAGCCTTCCAACAGAAAACTTAAATTCGGTGACAACGCTGTTGACACATTGATCCTTTCAACCCGCTTTTACTTGAGTTTTATCTCCTTTGCCCTTGTTAAGTTACCCTATTCGTTCCCTTCCCCCTCCCCCCTCCCCTTCGCTACATACAGACAACACTTAACCCTTTAACTTTCAAAAGTGATCAACATGAAATCTTCTCCCTATAACATCCTTACATTATCCAGCAAACAGCTGATGAGAATATTCAAAATTATCAGGTAGAAGTTGTTATCTTGATCTTACACCAAATTCTCATAACTAATTTACAAGGATGTGTGTAGCAGCTTGAGGGGAATATTAACATTAGGATCTTGGGAGTTTAAGGGTTAATGGCGGAGGGGGGTCTTGCCAATGATTTAGAGTGTGGTAGAAACAGAGGGTGATTCTACACACGAAAAGGAACTTTTCAAACTTGATGTGTCAACTAATTTTGACGCTGACCGTAGGTTCGATGAAAACAAATGCTTTCCGAATAATACTCACAAAGGAATGACAAGTCAACGGCAAATTAAATTTCTCCTGCAAAATCTTTCTGTTTTGATACACCATCAATTTTACAGGCAAACTACTGCAAGGGTGGGACAAAATGCGTTCAACGCATAATCACCCAGATACGATTTCTATCCCAACAGTTCTCTTTTTTTCTCTGCGTGCCATGTGTCTGCCATTAAATTGCACTATCCGGAACAAGAACCATTCTCTACACAGACTGAAACAACCCTGAGATGGAGGCTCTCAATGTAATCGCTTCTTTGGTTGAAGTAATTTAGACGTAAAAGAATCCCGTCTATACTCACGTTGTTGTCAATTAGTACAATGGATAAAAAGTCCGTTTACCATTCAGTCGGCTTAAGTTCGAATCCGGGTGGGGTGGTTATTTTTTTGTTTTGTTTTATAAGAAAGGAGCCTCCCAAATTTTATCATAAATTTTTCACTACAAGACCCAACTGTCTTCTTCCCTTTCACCTCATGACGTAGTTTTATCAAAGAGCAAGGTTTTGAAAAGTTTTCGAAACATATCCTTCTGTTCTAATTTATCCTAATCCACATCTGTATTGTTCTTTGTGGGGGAGAAGTAGAACGCGGAATGTTTGAAGAACACAACAGTGCTCGAGTGTTCAACTTATATTTCAAGTTCGTTGTTAACTATTTGACCCTTAAGATTGACACGCATCTTATTTCTCCTTACAATATCACCCTGGAATCACACACTAAGGTCAGGAGAAGAAAGGAAACGATCAATAACTAAAGAATCTCTTGATTGTTCAACAAATTCTCCTTGTCAGCACAACAGGAAATGTATAGAGAACAGTATAGAGAACGTGCATACTGATATTAGGGTGGAAAGGTGAAGCTGTTGGAGGAATAGTAAGTGCGGTCTATTGCTTTTCGAAAAAAGTTACAGATTTTTAGGTGCAACTAAGTATAGGGTTTTGACCAATAAATATGAAGTTATATTTTCACATAATGTGTTGTGAAGATAAAACTTGGGGTGAAAATTTCTCGACGGTCAACAGAAAATATATAGGCATGCAACGCGTGCAAAAACATTTTTGTTCCCTTCTATTTCATAGTAAAATCGCAAGCAGTTTATCTTATTCCTCTGTAACTATTTTAAGATAAATTTCGACGAATGTGTATTAAAAGTTTTTCTCTTTTATGTTCGCCTTTCGTGCCACTTGGTTTCGTGCTTTTCGCGTCCCATTAAGATTTCCAGAAAGCCGCTGACCTTAGCATAATGTCAGGTGGCTTAGTTGATGCGAACTCCTCTTAGCAAGCAGACGCACCAGGTTCAATCCCCCGCAGGAATGCGCGTGATAATGCTCTCTTTTTCTCTGTCTCTGAGAACAACTGCAAAAGATTACTTGATTTCATTTTTTATTCATCCTTAGAACTTGTCCCAGCCTCGACTGTATACAGTTAACTATATTCCTCATCCACAGATCGCTTAACCTCTTTATTCCTTTTCATACTCAACTATCCGCAAAATATTTTTTAAAAATAAATAGCTAATGAAGCAAATACAAAGTTTTAGCACCCCCAACATGCAAAAATGTAAACATGAAAATGAACTATTCTTTCGGCTTTCTCTCTGATTTGCCAGCTAATAAAATGAGCCTGAAATGCCAACATATTTGTGATGTAGTCGTCAATGACTGGATGTTGTTTTCTAATCCATATTCATGAGAATCGTAGAATTCAACTCAAACTACGTTATTCGTCGATGAGTTAGGACTTGTATGATGAGCTCTGCGAACCAGTTAAAATGAACTTTGAAGATGTACGAAGAAACGTTCATGACTTGGAAGAAAGTGTGTACTTTACTTCAACAAAGGTAAATACAGAACTGTTCTTTTGGCAAATATGAGAGTTGAGCTGCAGAATGTTACCTTAGCTAGTCAACACGTGCGCGAGTTGTAGGCTTTGGGAGTCGGTCGCCAAAGGCAAAAAACAGTACATTTATGTACTAAAACTCGAGTTTCTTACCGAGTCCTTTAAACAGAACAGAAAAATTTGAAAAAAGAGAAGCAGTCAGAACATTTTGCCCAGAAAAAAACTAGAACACGTTTCAAGTCGTCTACGTGGCCTCGTGTATCAATGATTCAATTCTAATGTCCTGACGCACTTCAGTGTTTCATGTTTCTACCTTAACCTATGGAGTTTATGAATTGGGGAAAAATCCAGTTAACCATGGTTTAGCCTGTTGCTTATCGGTGGAATTTTATGTTTGTGTTTTAGGAAGCCACATTGGTGAAAAAGGAAAAGAATTGTGGACTGTTGATCAAAAGGACAACTGGAACCACTGGAATGAAGGGAAGATTCGACAAAGATAAGAACTTTACATCATTAAATATTTGTAAGAAAATGGTGACTAGACTATGTCAAAATGTATTCATGAAGTTCACTCTTGGTTGCACGAGCCAGATCAGATCTGTGAATTGTCTGCATTGACTAAAGATACCAGAGTGATTAAATGGTACAGACGACATAGTTCAGTGAGGTAC